ATTGCACAATATCTCTCTTTCTTCTCTCTCTCTCTCTCTCTCTCTCTCTCTCATTTTCTTCATCCAAAAGCTCTCGCACACACACACACTCTCTCTCTCTCTTCTCTCTCTCACTTTGGTACGGGCCGGAGTATTGTGCAAGATGTTGCTGCCATCACCGGGTCGCTTCCTCTTGCTGGCATTGCCTTGTACCTTGTTCCCCTTGTCTTCTCTTGGTCGTCGCGGTACTGGAGGCCTTGCGCGTTGGGACCACGATCAGGGCCAGTGGGGTGGGGAATGGCTTTTCTTTCACACTTTTCAAGAGGGTCTGCTACTGGCTGTGGAGGCGGTTCGGCCAGTGATTTTTTTTTTTTTTTCCTGATGCCTGTCCTTGGCTGCCAATTCACTTCTACCCGCTGCTCTCGTGCATCGCGCGCAGCGCATCCACAGCAAGACGTCGTCTTGTTGAACAGCTTGCTCCAAGGAACCCGGCTTGAAACGTGCCAGCATGCCTTCAGACCTCCCGGCCGATCTCCGTGCGGAGACAGCGGTCCGCATCGGCGAGCTGGACGCCTTGTTCGAAAAGGTTCGCGCCTGCTTACCGATTGGCCACGTGCCAACCTGCACGCATGCCTGCACAACTAAGATTTCTGTTCTCAACTTTGTATCATCCTCCCTCTCCGACATACCTATTGCAGCTATTACCACTGATTCGCCAGTACGAAATGGCCGGTGGTCGCCCCGATACCAAGGTTGTCGAGTTCAAAAGCCCCGAGGACTTGCGCCGGCTCTTTCCGATGGCCTTGCCCGAACAAGGGCAAGGCATCGACAAGGTGGGCGAATGGCGCGCCAACTTGACCTTCAAGACCGTTGCCCGCGAAGCGAGCCGCCTCTCACCACGCTGGTGGGCTCCAGGCCGTGGCTGCTATCAACGACATGATGTTGTACAGTGTCCGCACATCGCATCCCCGCTTTATGAACCAGCTCTTTGCCGGCAGTGACCCCATTGGCCAGGTGAGGACACGCCCACCCCTCGCAGGTCAACCCCTCCCTCAAGCCTAGTGCCTGCTCATCACAATCTGCACCCCCACCTGGGGTCTTGAATAGATTGCCGAGTTGGTGACAGCCATCTTGAATGTCAACTGCTACACCTACACCGTTGCTCCTGTCTTCTCCATGATGGAGGTGTGCATCTCCTGCTTATGGTTGAAGCCCGATGAAGCCATTGGCATCCGACGCTTCCTTCATCCGTCCATCCCCTGTCTCAAACCAACAGGTTGAAGTCATGCAACGCATGGCCGATCTGGCTGGCTTTGATGTGGCCGAAAGCGAAGGTATGCTTTATCAAAAGTTCGCTCCCATGCCTCCTTTTTCGAATTTTACCTATTTGTTTGCCCCTTTTCAAATCTTATACATCATCCAATTCCTTAAATTGCAGGCATCATGGTGCCGGGAGGCAGCTATGCCAACCTCGTCGGCCTGATCACCGCCCGCCATCACCACTTTCCCCATGTGCGCTTGGAGGGCTGGCGCGGCGTAAGTCTGGCGCGGTGCAACGAGATCCGCTATGATGGGTCTTCTGGGCCATCCCCCCACCTCATTTGGCGTGTCTTCAGGATGAACGCCCAGTCATCTTCACCAGCGCCCAAGCACACTACTCTATTCGCCGAAACGCCATGGTATGCACGCCTTGCCATTGATCACCTGCTGACTTGCCGCGCGTTTTCCATCCGGTGCTACCGTCCGAGTACCCCCTCATTGTTGTGTCTGCGATAGGTCCTCGGCTTGGGCATGAATGCAGTGGTTGCCGTGGCTGCCGATCGCAGCGGACACATGCTAGCTGATGACCTCGTGGCCAAGATTGCCGAGGCGCGCGCCAAGGGCCAGACCCCTTTTGCCGTCAGTGCCACAGCTGGCACTACCATTATGGGTCAGTCATATGGATGAGCGCTTGAACAGGTCAATGCTGGACAGACTGGCGCTGTGCCCAACCACATACGTACAGAGTGCATTCTTCACCTTTGCATCATGCTTACCCCCAATCTGCTGGCTTGCTTCAGGCGGCTTTGATGACTTCAACGCATTGGCAGATATCTGCCAAGCTGAAAACCTTTGGCTTCATGTCGATGGTGCTTGGGGTGGCGCCTGTCAGTAACTCTGCCACAATGGTGGCGGACTCATGCTACTGCCTACATGTCAACCTCAACTTCCCGGATGCACAACGCTGACTGCCATTCTATGCCTTTTTCATTCCTCCCTTCGCCTGTCGGGCTGGCCGACCGTCTTCCCTCTAGGTTTATTGTCGGACCGCCTACGCTCCCTCATGAAGGGCGTCGAACGCGCCGACTCACTCGCCTGGGATGCCCACAAGGTAAGGCCTGCTCTCGGTGTGAATCATCTTCGCTTTTGCGAGTAGAACGGGTAGAGAACACGTTCAGACGTTGCCTGCTGACTCATTGGATTATGTTTCAACTTCACGTCATAATAGGGTCTGGGTGTCCCCGTTTTGGCGGCCGGAATCTTGTTGAACAAGCACAAAGGGCTTTTGCGCGCCTCCAATAACAGCTCAGCCGACTACCTGTTTCATCCTTCCTCCACATCCGAATATGATCTTGGGGACATGACGCTGCAATGTGGCCGTCGTGCTGATAGCATCAAAGTCTGGCTCTCGTGGTATTACCACGGGCGTGCTGGTATGTTGCAGATCGGCGGCATGCTGTGTTCGTGTCACGGCTGGAGCATCAACTCACCCTGTCATTCTTTGTAGGCCTGGGTGCGCGCGTTGAGCATGCCTATGATGTGGCCCAGTATTTGCATCGCAAAATTTGCAAGGTAAGGTGCTGCTCTGCTCAGTTCTCACCATACATGTTGCGCTGATACGCTCGACTTCCGGTTATGGTGTGGACATGCCGCAGGACCCGCGCTTCTTGGTCGTTGCCGAACCCGAGTACTGCAATGTCACGTTTTGGTATCTGCCCAAATGCCTCCGTGGCACGAGTAAGTTGTTGGGAGGGCGCTGCATTCGTCGCCCGAGGCTTTGCCCTGAATCGCTGGTCAACTCACAATGTTTGACACAGCGGCAGAGGACATTGAAGCCAACTACGAGCGCTTGGATCAGGCAACTCAGCGCACGTTTGTGTACGTTAGCGGCGCGTCATTTCCATCTGCTCCCACGAACATTCCCTCATTTTTCTCTTTTTCCGTTTTTTTTTTTTTTTTTTTCTTTCTTTCTTTGACCCGCCATGATCCCGGGCACAGTGCAATGCAGCAGGCGGGAACCATGATGTTCAATTTCAACCCGTTGACCGACCTGCACCTACCACGCTTCTTTCGCCTGATCACCAACTCCCCTGTGGTACGTCCATGTTAAGTTGATTCTTTATGCTTGGATTCGGGCATCAATGTTCTCTGAACTTTGGCATGGCGCGGCCTGTCCCTCAACACTTGAGCTTAATGCGGACATGCATTGGTCGTTCGTCTGTGTGTAGCTGCAAGAAAAGGACATGGATTTTGTGATTGAAGAGCTGGACCGGCTGGCTGAGGATATTGTGGTCTAGATCATTAGTCTTTGGTTAGGAAAATATGTCAGTCGTGTGCGTTATGGGCCGCAGGTTGAGATTCATGTCTAAGCGGGCCATGTACAGCTCCTGCCTTGCTTGTGGTATTGTCCGCCAGTTGATTGATAACTGCAAGCATGGTATCGATTCTTGCAGACCATTTGACCACTCTTGCCCGCGCACACACAAACACACGAGGACTCGTCACAGTGTGAGGACGCAAAAGAGGGTTTGGGCAATAAACAATGATTTAAACAAAACCAAAACGTCAGGAAGCAGTATGAAGAAAACAAGAAGAAATAATCGAGAAGATGTGTCTTGTCAAGAATAAGAGACGGCTACTCCCACCCCCGGGGCAAGATCGAGACAAGCATAGCGTCTCCCTGAGAACGAAAGGAAACATGATCTACATGTCAAGGTAGCCAGCATCGGTCGCGCCGGCGTCACCGCTCGCGGGCTTTGTCGGATCCACATCCACTGGCGTCACATCAATGTAGCCGCCTTCCTGCTGCTCGGGCCGCACGTCGCCCTTGAGGCGATTGCCATGATAATAGGGGTTCTCTATAAGGTTGGGGCATCAAAAAAAAAATGCATGATGTGAGCTTTCCCAGCGCAGCAACTCACGTCAAGGGCCAAGAGAAGCTGCAGCTGGCGAACCAGTATAGTATTTGATGAGCTTGGGCACCGTGTTGAAGAGCAGCTTGCTTTGAGAACCGAGGCGATATTGCGTTTGTCCAGGCGCGTTTGAGTTGGGACCCGCCTATTGTGCAATCGTCCAACGAAACGACATCAACCACAACCGCCGACGGTAAGGATTGAAGGAGAAGCCCAAGCAGACTGTTCAAATTGTAGGTTTGGGAGCAAGAGGTGGGACGCACCCAGGTGGGAAGGATGAGCATGGACACAATCTTGTTTTCAGATGTCTTGGCAGAAATGGCGTAGTGACCGGGTTGTGAAAAGGAGATGCGCACAACAAATGCGCCCGCTTCTTGTCCGGCGAGTTCACGCGTTGCGTCATCACGGCGATAATCGTCCGACCCGCGGAACCAGGGTTGCGAGCTCAGAAGCTCCCATTGTCCCTCGAGCCACTATCAGCAGGGGTGTAGCGTCAGATCAAATCGATGAAACAACGTGTCCGAGTGGGCTTCAAAACTTTGGCCAACGCCTTTGTAATGTTGTGCCATCAAAGATGAGAGCGCACCTCGGGTTGGACAGCAAGATAGCCGCTCTCCTCTGTAGCCTCGGGCCGGCGGTCACCCTTCCATTGACCATCGGGCTGCACGGAAAGGTACGAGTCGTTCTCAGGTTGAGCCTGATCAGCCATCATTTCCAAAGCCTATGGGAAACCGCAACGAAGAAGCGCAAAATTGCAATAGTCAATAGACCACGACTCGCACTCGGTCGCCAACACGAGCACGCCAGCGCAGCGAGAACAAGGAGAACACGCTCTTGGCAAACCTTAAAGTCAAAGTCCAAGGTATCCATGACGTCACCAAACGGATCAACGCCATCCGCACCATCATAAAGATCGCCCGAGGTGTGGACTGCAGCCGACAAGTTGTTTTTCTCATCAAACCTGAAGCATATGAACATGTGGAAATGAGAAAGGGGCACGGCGGGTCAAAGCACCCCGCCAGTCAGACAGTGTTTGGGGGGAGAAGTAGCAGGGAGGATCGGGCGGGCGAGGAGAGTGCCAGGCAGCCCATGTGACGCACATGGGGTTTGAAGCTTCACTCATGATGCCGGTCCTGCTACTTCTACCAAGATGCTTTCACCCCTGACATTGGGAGCATTGCACCAGCAATACCGAGGGCATCAGAGCAGAGCGTCAGTGTTTGTCAAATCAAGTCAGGAAGCACGTGAGAAACATCCGACGCAGCACACCCAGCCAGACTCGCACACCCTTTGGGCGCCCGCTTTCTTTTTTTCCATCATCCCCAGCCTGTTATCCCCCAACCCAAATCCTGCTTGGCACGGCACGACCACGACACGGCACGACACGACAAGACACGGCACGACAAGACACGGCACGACACGACACGACACTCGATGAGACGGCACGACCCCTTGGGCATCCCCCTCCCACACACACACACACACACCAGCACTTTAAACTGAACAGACGTTACAAGAAAAGAGAGAGAGAGAGAGAGGAGAGAACACACACAGACACACAAAATTAGAGAAGAATTAAGTTTAAAATAGAGAGGCAAGTAGAAGTGCTGACACCATAAAGGCATCTCTCTCTGTGTATCCGCCCCTTTGCTTGCAGTTGATTTGAACGGGTTGTGGCTCGAGTGACCGCGATCATCCAGCCTTGGGTGGCGTTGCGCCGGCGGCCTTTTGCTTTTTGCTTGCCGATATTGTTCGCTGGTGGCTTGGTCTTTGTGGTGTCTTCGAGTTTTGAGTTTGGCTGCGGCGCGACCATCCGCATGTTGCGGTCTCTGCGCGGCAAAAAGAGCCCCAAGCCTGACAAGAAGGATCGAAAGGCGCTTGAAGCTCGCCTGCGCACCAAGCTCTGGGAGGTTTGTGACAGCGTTGATCAAGCCGTTCCCGCTGTGCCCCCTTGTCGCTCACTTGGCCCGCCCGTGCGCAGCTGGAAAACTCTCCATCGCGCACCGCTGACCTTGCTGCCTGCGGGCTGACTGAACTCCCCGGCGTCCTCTCCAACATTCGCCACTCCAAAACCACCCTGCTGCTCTACGACAACTTCTTCCAGCGCTTGCCAGCCGCCATTGGCGAGTGGTCCGAGCTCCAGTTGCTCGACCTTCACCACAATTTTCTAGAGGCCCTTCCCCCGCAGCTGGGTCGGCTCAAAAACCTTCAGGTCTGTGCCTACAGGTCAACCACTATTTTTCAACCTACCCCTCAACTTCCCCTTGATTTGCCTGTTCTCACACCAAGCTGTGATATTTGGGTTCGCTTAGGTTCTCAATCTGAGCCACAACCATCTCCGGTCCGTGCCGGCAGAGCTAGCACAGCTCCAACAACTTCAAAGCCTCAATTTGAGCCACAACGATTTTCAATCTTTACCAGAATGTCTTACTGCACTTGCAGGCCTGCGTCTTTTGGACTGCAGTCACAATGACCTAACTGCGCTGCCCCCTGCACTTTGGCAGCTTCACATGCTGGTCCGTACGCCTCTTGTCCGTGCTTGACGATATCGTGCTGCTGCCTCTGTTTGTGCGTGTCTGTTTGAGCGTGTGTCCGTATGCTGCTGTCTGTGCCTCTCTCTCTCTCGAATCTCTCTCGAATCTCTCTCAAACTCCCAAATTCTCTCAAACTCTCAAACTCTTTCTTTCTGAGCTCATAGCTGTTTCGCTTGCATCTGCTGCCTTTCTGCCCCGTCCATGTCAGGAATCGCTCAACCTTGCGGGCAATGCGCGGCTAGCTTTACCTGCCGGCGTGGCGTTTGATGACACGGTGAGCGTCATGACCTGGCTCTGTCAGCAAGCGGGCCAGCCCTACCAACCACCCTCCCACTACATTGGAAAGACGCTTGCTTCAACCGATTCTGCATCAGGCCCTGAATCGCATGTGGACAATCTGCGGCGCCTGCGCCTGCAGGAGGAAGAACGGGTGCAGCACTTGCTAGCCCAGCGCCAGCTGCAAGCCGAGCAGGCCGCAGCTGCCCGACTGGCAGCTTCCCAGGCCCTTGAACAAGACGCCGCCCGCCACCAAGAGCTGGCCCAGCAGGCAGCACGGCAACGCCTAGATACTGCCACCCAGCTACAGCAGGTCGAAGCTGCCGAGGCGCAGCGACAAGTCAACATCCAGGCTGCCGCGGAGGAGGAACGGATGGCACTTCTGGCTCGCCTTGCAGCGGAGCGGGCTGAAGAGGACCGCATTGCCCGTGATCTGGTGGCACTGTGGGAAGCAGCGCGCAACGATCCGAGCAAAATGTCCATGCTCATGGGTCAAGATGACCGGCAACAAGAGCTGTACATGGCCGCGGCCATTGCTCGTGATGCCAGTTGCCAGGCCGCAGTGGAGCAGGCCCGCCAAGCAGAGCGAGCCGCCGAGGATCTGGCGCGCCACCACACGGCCACGCAGGCTGAACTGCAGCAGCTGGCCCTCGCACAACTGCAAGCGCACCAATCGGCCGTCGATCGAGCCATGTCTGCTTATGTGGATCAGCTCAGCGAGGCTCGCCAGCGCACGGGCGAAGCTTTGCGTCAGCAAGAACAGCAGACCCTCTCACTGGCGGCAGGAGCGAGTCAGCATCTTGCCCTGCAAGATCAAGCGCTGCAAACAGAGATCCTAGAACTGCAGCAGAGCCTCGAGCGCTTAAGCGCCAGTCGCAGCTCCACTAACATGGAACAGCAGCGGATCGCTCAAGAAGCTGCCAGTCAACAGCAAAAGGAACTCGAGCGCCAAATTGCTCACCTGCAGGCGGAAGCCCAGCGGCGCGAACGCGCCCATCAGGAGGCCCTGGTAGCACTGTCAGCTGCAGATGAGAAAAACTATCGCGCATACTGGCAGGCTCGCCTGGAGCATGCTCTCGCAGCCATGGCCAGTGTGCAGCCCTGTGACCCTGTGGTACAAGGCCTGCTGCACCAGGCTGGTGTCGAACAATATGCGCCTCTGCTCGCTAGCCATTGCGTGGACGCGGTCGTGTTGCGCGTTCTTTCGGACACAGATCTCGAGAAAATGGGGGTGCGCACCTTGGGCCATCGGAAAAAAATCTTGAAAGCCCGCGATGCACTATTTCGTCTTGAATAGCTGTTCTGAGCGGAGCTCGCTGGACGAGCTGGTCTCGATGAACAATGTCACGTCGATACCATGCCCCTCAGTCCTGGTGTTTCGATTGGCCATCTCTATCGAGAATAAGAAAAGAGCGGTAAATAGTCTGCGACCTGCCCGTTCGACTTCTTTCCAAAAATTCAACCTAAACATACAAGTGCTTCATCCCGCGACCAATCTCAACAAATCCCTCCCTCGCCATCCACCCCGGTCGCCAACAACTGCATCTTTCAAGTACCCTCAGAATTAATCCACGATGTTCAGTACAACAACGCTCTCTCCCAACTACTCTCAAGTCTCTCTCTCTCTCTCTCTCTCTCTCTCTCTCTCTCTCTCTCTCTCTCTCTCTCTCTCTCTCTCTCTCTCTCTCTCTCTCTCTCTCTCTCTCTCTCTCTCTCTCTCTCTTCTCTCTCTCTCACTCTCTCACTCTCTGTGCTTACACATGTCAATTTGTTTTCATTTCTGATCATCTCGGAACAAGACCGACATCATCTCGCCACTGCCGTTCAGTGTGTTCTGGCTCATTGCTGCTGGAATAGCATTATCCTCCCCAAGCACGATGGCTACCAGTACGTGCCATGTTCCTGGCTTTTGCATGGTCTGCCCTTTTGGTCAGGGTGTCGACTTTGCGAGATGCCCCACACAACTGACTCACTCACCCGGGTCGCAGCTGCCACCTCAGAGTCGACCATGTTCGCCATTGACCTCGACGGCTTTGGTGCGCCAGAGGTGCGGTCGCCCCTGCTGCAAAGGCGCGCGCTGGTAGCTTGAGCAGCCGCATCTTGATGCTCTCACTCTGCCTGTCTTGACCTCGCTCAGGTCATGAAGTGGAGCTCGGTCCCGCGACCCAACCTCCAGCCTGGCGAGGTGTGTTTCTGCGTCTGACATGCTCAGGTCTCGCGACCAACAGTTTCTGACCCTGTGCACTTCATGACCATGGGAGTTTGCGCCATCACCCCTGCGAGATAGGTCTGCATCCGTGTGGCTGCCAGCGCCGTCAACCGTGCTGACACCCTACAGCGCAAAGGCAGTGCGTAGGCCCCCAGCCGCCAACTTGCCACATCGCCCCCTGCTGTTGCCCGGCAATTACCTCTAACTTTGCCCCTCTTGATGCAGACTACGCTCCTCCACCTGGATCCTCTCAAATCCTCGGGCTAGAAGCCGCTGGCGTGATTGAGGCCGTCGCTGATGATGTTACTACCCTGAAACCCCAACAACGCGTCATGGCCCTTCTCGGTGGTATGGTCAAACCCTCGTCATGCGTGCGGCTTCTCCTGATGTAGCACGGCCCACGCAATGTGGCCAACTCCAACTGCAACGCTCATTATCAACTCAACGCACAAATACATCTGCTGTCGTAAAAGGTGGTGGCTACGCCCAATACGTGTGCGTGCCCGCGGGACACGTCCTTCCAGTTCCCACTGGCATGGAGCTGCATACCGCTGGTGGTCTGATGGAGGTCAGCACTTGTTTAGTCCTGTACTGTGTGCATGCCCGCATGACGGGCGGCGCCTGGAACCGCGCTGATTTAATACATATTTGCTTGCACAGACCTGGTTGACAGCTTTTCAGCTTCTGCACCTTGTGGCAGGTGTCAAGTCTGGTCAGTTCACTCGCCTTGATCATGAAGTGCTTTTACTCCAACTTAGCTCCGTGCTTGCTTGTTGGCAATTTTGCCCTTGCTTCGAACCGCTCTTCACATGTGCACTGCGCATCTGTCGCTTGCAAATTGTTGCTTTTGGATACGGGCCAGGTGACCGCGTGCTGATTCATGCGGGCGGCTCTGGCGTGGGTCTTGCCGCCGTGCAGCTGGCAAAGGCTGCTGGTGCCATCCCGCTGGTCACAGCTGGTTCGGACGCGAAAATCGCCAAGGTGTGCCATTCAACCCCCAACCCCCTTTCTCCAAACAAAATAAATCAAAATGTTCGCGTCCTCTATCTGCCCGAGGCGCCACTGCAACAAGACGCCTCAATCATACACAACCTTGAGCGTCGAGTAGAAGAGAGACCTTTCAATCACTTGAAAATGAGCACTCAGTTCTGGCAATGTCTCATCCCCCCTCCCTCGTGCGGAGATACTCTGCGCCCACAGGCCCAGAGTTTGGGTGCCACAGCTGGTTACAATCGCCACAACGGGAGCTGGGCAACTGCTTTGAAGGAACAGTATCCTGATGGCGTCCAGGTGAGTAGCCTAAAATCACATCTGCGTGTAAACCTGGGTGTTGCGCGCTTCTCCAGGAAAATTCGCATCTCCTCCTGCGGTGCGTATGCTGCAGACTCAATCGGCTACGCACTAGGTGGTACTGGACTGTGTGGGGGGTAGCTACTGGCAAGACAATACGGAGGTCCTGGCCGTTGATGGTACCTGGGTTGTGTATGGCCTCATGGGTGGGCCTTCTGTGGAAGGCCCCATTCTGGGCAAGTAAGTTTAACAGACACATCACTGGCACAGAGACTTTAAGCAAAAGACCGAAGAACAAATATCTTTAGCGATTGGCTTTCGTCGGTCCTTGTCATATCTCATTTGTCGTGCCCACCCATGCCATAGAATTTTGCGCAAGCGCCTGCGCGTGATTGGTACAACCTTGCGTAGCCGAGATGTCGCATACAAGGCTGAGCTAGTGGCTCGTTTTGGTAGGGAAGCTCTGCCACAACTGGCCTCAGGCGAATTTGAGTACGTCGCATAACCACTCGGAAACTATTGCAGCACGTTCCTATCCTTGACTACCCCGGGCTTAATGCAACTGCTATTTTACTCTTTTCTTCCCTCAGAGTGGTGATTGACCGCCAATACCCAATCCAAGAAGCCGCAGAGGCACACCGCTTTGTGGAATCCAATGGCAGTACGGGCAAGGTGTTGTTGATTGTGGAAGCACCTGTCTCCAAGGATGAGTTGTGAGGCACAAAGTTGCCCAGATGCGCAGGATCAATGAATGTTCGCTTCCCCTTCCAGCTCTGGCGGGCCTTGACTGGAATATCCCGAATAGGGTGTCTGCCTGAATTGATTGACGCTCAAATTACACACTGGCTGTACTTCTATTAACACACAGGACTCAAACTAACGTGCAGATTTCAAAATAATGGCCTCAACAACCACATTAGAGCTGAACCTCATACTGGTACTCTTGTTCGTAATGGTTTTGATGAGAATGATGGTTGCGATGACCGAATCCATGCCGGTCGGAATGTCCTCGGTGTGTATCCTTCAATGTTGGCTGCAATCGAAACAGGGAAGGCTGCCCCAACAAAGCACTATGACCTTCCTCATGGCGGCTGTGGTGCTGTGATCGGAGGCGATGTTGATGCTCTCGGCGGTGCGCGTGGCGCGACTCAGCCTTGCTGCTCGATCGAACCGCCAGTTGGTCAGATCGGTTGGCCCCTGACGTCAACTCCAATCTGCGGGCGACATGGTGGTCGCTACCAAACAAAAACTTTTCTTGTTCATAGTCATCCGAGGGCGATGTCTCCTCTTGGCGCAGTGTCAGGCGTGTTCCTGAGACCATCTCAGACGATGTGATGGCCTGTGATGCAACAGACCGCGAGAAAAGCTCTTCTGCCTAGAAGTTTGCATCATGCAGTGGCAAGCCAATTAGCACCGCCAGAATACTTCTGCGACTGCAAGGCTCATAGTTATCAACCCTAAACACAAAACAAGAGTTTACCTTGGCGTAAAGGTTGCGCTCACGAATCTCGACTTCTGAGAGCTCACGATCGTTCTGTTCAATCTCTTGCTCTGGTTCTCGATCGTCGCTGTAAAACGTCGTGCGGGTTACTGTTTGAATCTCACGCACACCAACCAACCGAATGTGTTGGCCCTACAAGGAATGCAACCAGATCAGCGCGACCAAAAGAGACAATCAAGGCCCATCACAAGCGTGGCATGTAAGGCGAGTCAGCAGTAAAGCAAAGTACAGGCGCAGAACACACCTCAGTTTCCGTCCAACTCTCGTCTTCACTGTCCTCCTCGTCAACCTCGCTGCCCTCCGAGTCCTCACTGTAGAGATCCTCCACGATCTTTTCCTTAACGACCATACGAGGGGAGCGGCTCTGCAAACAAAAGAGGCAACGTCAACGTTTACGCGCAGAGGTGATGATATCGAAATGAACGGGTTTGCATGCGCTGCAACAGAGGAAACCAAAGACACGGTGCATTCAACCATACTTACTACAATGGGAGGATGGCTCTTGGGCAAGCGTGCCAAAGGCAAATACTCCTCCGAATCGGCCCCCGTGCGCACTTGATATGACCCCTCTGTCACCACCCATTCATCTACTTCTGACTTGTCGACCACCTCACGATAATCCGAGTGTTCAGCCAGGCGACTCGAGCTCTTACTGCCAGATCCAACCACTGGCACGCGCCGCACAGGCAACGCAGACTCGCTGTCATCCACTGCCTCATGCACAACTTCCAGGCGCTCGCGAACGCGGTACTCGTCGTCTCGAAGCACGGGCTTCTGGTAATCGCTTGGCACTTTGATGGGATCAGGCAATTGTTGGCGATGGCCTTCCTCGTGAAGATGAGAATGTCGTTGCTGTCGTTCGTCGTCCATCTCCTCAAAGTCGGTGCGAACCACTCGTGAATGACGCAAGCGAAACTCTTCATCATCCCGTGCTTTTGAAACATAGTCACTTGGGGCACTTACGGGTGCTGGGAGAGGTCGACGAGAATACTCCTCCAGAAGGCGAGGCTCGCGTTGGACCCCATGACCTGCGTCCCGCTCCTCCGCGTAAACACGCCGAACAACGCGCCTCTCCTGTCGGTCTTCTTCCGAATGGCGGCGAGGGGTTGATTTATAATCCTCTGGCGCTACGATGGGCGCAGGCAGCGGACGGCGCGTGATATCTTCAATGTTTCGCGGTTCGCGGTGGGCAGCCCCCGTTGGCTGGTTGTCGTCCTCATCTGTGTAATACTCGCGCTGGATGACGCGCCGTTCCCGGATGATCAATTCATCGTAATCACTCGAGTCTGATTCAGAGGAGAGAGCATGTCCCTCTGACTTGCGGATGGCGCGGCTCTGGCCGCGGTTGTTCACGGCGTCCAACTCGTCCTCATACTCGCGAACAATACGACGTCGCTCACGCATCGAGCGCTCGTCATCGCGATGAGGCTTGTGCACATAGTCCGCCGGAACCTCGATCGGGGCGGGCAGCGGCCGGCGCGACGACTCCAGCGCTTCGGGCGCATCCGACTCGTCCTCATACTCGCGAACAATACGACGTCGCTCACGCATCGAGCGCTCGTCATCGCGATGAGGCTTGTGCACATAGTCCGCCGGAACCTCGATCGGGGCGGGCAGCGGCCGGCGCGACGACTCCAGCGCTTCGGGCGCATCCGACTCGTCCTCATACTCGCGAACAATACGACGTCGCTCACGCATCGAGCGCTCGTCATCGCGATGAGGCTTGTGCACATAGTCTGCCGGAACCTCGATCGGGGCGGGCAGCTGTTGAGGGGGAAGGTCAACAGAAGCTTGGCTAAGATTGCGAACTGGCTGGTGTGTGCTTCGAGCGAGTCGGTGGAGTGACGAGTCACGAGAAACGGGCCGAGAGCTCCGCGGTTGTAGACGAGAGGACGCGTGATCTTCGCTTGATGAGACATCCTCGGGAAAAGGAAGAACAGTCATTCGATGGACGGCGGTCGCTCCGCGCCGACACATCGTACTCCCGAGGGTGACGCTCCAGGTCCTCATGCTCCCGTCGCTTCGGCACATACTCGTCCGGCGCACCCACGGGGCCCCGGCGTCGTCGCTCCTCCACATCCTCGGGCATCTGATCCGATGGACGGCGGTCGCTCCGCGCCGACACATCGTACTCCCGAGGGTGACGCTCCAGGTCCTCATGCTCCCGTCGCTTCGGCACATACTCGTCTGGCGCACCCACGGGGCCCCGGCGTCGTCGCTCCTCCACATCCTCGGGCATCTGATCCGATGGACGGCGGTCGCTCCGCGCCGACACATCGTACTCCCGAGGGTGACGCTCCAGGTCCTCATGCTCCCGTCGCTTCGGCACATACTCGTCCGGCGCACCCACGGGGCCCCGGCGTCGTCGCTCCTCCACATCCTCGGGCATCTGATCCGATGGACGGCGGTCGCTCCGCGCCGACACATCGTACTCCCGAGGGTGACGCTCCAGGTCCTCATGCTCCCGTCGCTTCAGCGCATACTCGTCTGGCGCACCCACGGGGCCCCGGCGTCGTCGCTCCTCCACATCCTCGGGCATCTGATCCGATGGACGGCGGTCGCTCCGCGCCGACACATCGTACTCCCGAGGGTGACGCTCCAGGTCCTCATGCTCCCGTCGCTTCGGCACATACTCGTCTGGCGCACCCACGGGGCCCCGGCGTCGTCGCTCCTCCACATCCTCGGGCATCTGATCCGATGGACGGCGGTCGCTCCGCGCCGACACATCGTACTCCCGAGGGTGACGCTCCAGGTCCTCATGCTCCCGTCGCTTCGGCACATACTCGTCTGGCGCACCCACGGGGCCCCGGCGTCGTCGCTCCTCCACATCCTCGGGCATCTGATCCGATGGACGGCGGTCGCTCCGCGCCGACACATCGTACTCCCGAGGGTGACGCTCCAGGTCCTCATGCTCCCGTCGCTTCGGCACATACTCGTCTGGCGCACCCACGGGGCCCCGGCGTCGTCGCTCCTCCACATCCTCGGGCATCTGATCCGATGGACGGCGGTCGCTCCGCGCCGACACATCGTACTCCCGAGGGTGACGCTCCAGGTCCTCATGCTCCCGTCGCTTCGGCGCATACTCGTCTGGCGCACCCACGGGGCCCCGGCGTCGTCGCTCCTCCACATCCCTCGGGCATCTGATCCGATGGACGGCGGTCGCTCCGCGCCGACACATCGTACTCCCGAGGGTGACGCTCCAGGTCCTCATGCTCCCGTCGCTTCGGCACATACTCGTCTGGCGCACCCACGGGGCCCCGGCGTCGTCGCTCCTCCACATCCTCGGGCATCTGATCCGATGGACGGCGGTCGCTCCGCGCCGACACATCGTACTCCCGAGGGTGACGCTCCAGGTCCTCATGCTCCCGTCGCTTCGGCGCATACTCGTCCGGCGCAGCGGTTGCATTTGGCAATCTTACATTGCCCTCTAACGGATGTCCCTTGTACTCAATCAAGTCTGGGGCCTTGGACCGTGTGTTTTCACCGATCCCGCCTGCGGGTGATGCACCGTTACGTCGCTGATCCTCTGGAACTAAATGAGACTGCTCTCGGCGACGATGTGTGCTCTTTCCTGGTGCGCCTTCTTCGACCTCGGGAATGTCATATACTCGTCGAGAGGGAACATCGTCGTACTCTGGTGATGTGCCGTAATGAGCCCCCTCTCGAGCTGTCGAGGATCGTGGCATGCGTCCGCTTTGCTCCGGGCCATTGAAAAACGAATGACGACGAGATGCAGCTTCGCTAGTGACCGCAGAGCTACCCATCGAAGGCTGATCTGAGGAGACTGAGCTCGATCGACTTTGCCTCAAGACCTCGCCCTGCAAGTCGGCCAGTTGTCGCAATGTTGCAGCTGTTTCGGCTCGATCTTTCTCAGAATTTGTCTTTGATTCGTTTGCTCGGCGGGCCATGGCATCCTTTGCAATCTCGGCCTGGGCAGCGCGCCACCGTGAGGCGGCCAAGGCTTTTCTCAAATCTCGAACTTGGGCCTTTGCGCCAGCCAATTCTTCGGCGTCTGCGCGATGTTGCTCTGCTTGTGCGGTCAGTTCGCGGTCCAGATCAGCCAACCGAGCCTTTGCAGCGTTTTTCTCGTTTTCCAAATCCTTGATGGCGTTCTTCAGGTCAGCCATGTCTTGGGCACGATCTTTGTTGGCAGCACCATGATCACGATGAGCCTGGTCCAGATCCTTTTGAGCTTGATCAAGAGCTTCGGGGCTTATATTGGCAGCAGCCTGCTTAGCGCGTTTGAGTTGCTCCATGCGTGCACGCGCGGCCTTTTCAGCGGCCTCGTTGTCCTTTTGCCTTTGACGCAACTGATCACGGGCCTGATCAAGATCTTTCAAGAGTTCTTGCACCTCATTTTTCGCTTGAGCGTGAGCATCCTTGGTCTTGTGAAACTTGGCAGCTTGAGCTGCATCTGCCAACCCAACGGAAGGACGACGCGACTGGCGTGTTGATGGTGCACGTAAGCGCTGCTGTCGATCGTGCTCCAGCTCGTCCTGCAATGCAGCCTTGTCTGTCGCAGCGTCGTTAAGCTGATTCTTCATGTCAGATACATCGGCCTCAGTCTTGTCCAATTTATCTTGAAGCACATCCATGGCAGCTTGTGACGCAGCTTCGGCCGCTTCTCGCGCACGTTTCTCACTTTCGATCGTGTCCAGAGCATCTTGAAGCCTTTCTTTCGCCTGTTTTAGCGCTTCGGTGCCATCGTTTGCAGCTTCGAGTTTGTCCTTCTTGAGCTGCTCGAGTTGGGCCTGTGCATCTTGCTGTGAGCGCTCGAACTCGGCACGAGCACGATCATTGTCTGCACGAATACGATCCAACTCGCCCTTGGTATCGTCCAGCTGCTGCATGGCGTCCTGGTAGTTGTCTTTGAGGGCCTGAAGATCATCTCGAAGCTTCTGCTCAGCTGCAGTCTCCTGGTCCATCTGTGCGTCCCGATCCGCTAGCTGCTTGAGGAGTCGCTCATTTTCCTGTCGAGCCTTGTCGCGCTCGGTCTGAAGCGCATCCAATTGCGCTTGCACGTCAGCAACCGCCTTTTCTTTTGCCGAGATGGCATCCTGTATGTTGGCCACCTTTACCAACGCCGCAATGTGAGTTGAATGGTGGGACAAACAGCAAAATTCTTAGCATGCCCCTGGGCTCAAGTGTGCAAATGAGCTTCGAGCACAAAGTCTGGGGTGCACACTGCTCACCTCATCTGCGTGTGCCGTGTGAGAGGCACGGCGTTGAGCGCGCTCGGCATCCAAGTTCTGCCTTTCCTTCTGGAGGTCGTCGTCCAGGTGTGCAAGAGCAGCCTGGTCTGCCTCGGTGCGCTGCTTCTCCAAGTCTGCAAGTCGATCCGCAGCCCGCTTCAGTTGCTCCTACAGTGCAAACAGGGAACGCGGTGATCAGTAACTTTGAACATATCCCAAGAGGCTACCAAAGTTGCATTGCTTAACGAGTAGCCCAAAACAGCGATCCAAACGCATTGACGACGGATGTATCATGCTTACTTCGCCTTCTTGCTTGATGCGCTCCTTTTCTTGCTCAGTGTCTGCCAGCTTTTTTTTGAGCGCCTCGAGTTCCTTGAGAGCATTGCCATTTTGGCCCTCGAGATTTTGTATCTGATTTTGTAGCTGTGCAGCACTTTGTTGAGCAGCCTCGCGTTCGGCCTCAGCTTTGGCGCGCTCCGCCTACGCGTACGAGGTTGAACGGATTGCATGTAGATGGCATAGCCGGGAGGTGATATGCAAATCACACGTTGAGGAGACAGGGTCGTGGAAGTGAGAATTAGAACCGATCAGCGAGCAAACAGAAGCCAATGGCAGCATACTTACCTCTAGCTGCTGACGTTCGGCCTCAGCAGCCTTGAGCTTTTCTGAGTTTTGGCGTTTGAGCTGCTCAAGCTCACCGGCTTGTTTTTTTCGGCGCATGGAGGAGTCACGTGCACGTTGAATTGATTGTTTCATTTGATCCTGCATGTTGCGCAGGGCGTCGGGCTAAGGTTCCAAACGGAAGCCCGACGAGAGATGATAAGCATACTTTGCAGCAAAGACGCAGGAAAGCGAGGCAGCGACGACTTGAATGCCGACAGTAACATACACGTCCGCTGTTGAGTACACGAAGGTAATGCTTGAGCGTGATCCAGTCGTTCTCCATGGGTACCATAAGATGTCGACCCAGTCGACGAACAAAGACACCAGGATCACCGGCTCCAAAGCGATAACTATGGACAGCAAGAACAGCAAGGACTTGAGGTGAGGGCAGTTTGAAGTGAAGACATGTTGGGTCAGAATTGCATGAGACGTACCGGCCCAGGTCATCCCGATCGTCCGCCAGAGTGGGGTCCATGTTGAGTTCTCGCAGCAGCTTCCGGATGGCTTCGGTGAGATCTTCTGCGTCGGCATGTTGATGTTCCATGACACCCTCCAGCAGAGCTTGAACCTCATGCTCCATTTTGATGAGCTGGGGGGGCTCAACCCCGTGTTGAATGCGAGCGATCTCCATCAGACTGCGGAGAAGGGGTCAAGCGTGAACAAATGAACATTAACTGCTTCTCAAACGCGTGGAGTAGAGAAGAGGCAACGAGAAGTCTGGGCCTACCAGTAGAGCACGCGTTTTTTGCGGCTGCGATCTTTACGCATTTCTACGACGTCGTTGGACTCAAAGCTGGATGTCGAAGGTTGAAGATGAAAGTGAGGCGAAATATGGCGAGTATTTTTACAAAGACATTTTGCCTTCTCACCACTCTGCGGGTTGCGCAGGGGAGCGTTTGACGTACAGGATTGTGTCTCGGACGCCAAGGTTTCGTGACCATTGGATAAACTGGGCGACGTTATCGCGCGCTTGCCAAGTACCGCTATGAGTCTTGGCGTTGAGATGTAGTTTCATCGGAGGTGAATAAAAGGAATCAGGAGCATCGGGGTTGGTCTGCTGCGCCTTGTGCCATTCAGCCTCGCCCACGTTGATGGCCTCTGCGAGCTGTATGAGATAGACGCCATTCTCTGTTACACCAAGCACACGACAAGGCAACCATTGATTGAGGTGGCAGATGGCTTAAAAGAATCCATGACGGGGCAGCGTTTTGGGAAGGCAACGTCGCATCATCCGGGTGTGCTGCCATATGCAAGGTGAGCCAAGCCTGCGATGGGCGTACCAATGTCGGAGAGGAAGGAAGAAGCCTTAATGTTGGCATTCAGCACGTCTTTAAACCACAGCGCCAGGTCTTCCTTGTATGCGTCGAGGCGATCACTTTGCAGCTCGTCTTGCCAATCATGCATTTTTCGATCAAACTCAAACTAGACAGGAGAGAGTGGGAGGCAAGGCAACGGGCCGGGACGGGTAAATAATGAGATCAGAAGCGAATGCTGTTAACTCGCAGGTTCAATGTGCTCGGTCCGAGGTCGGCGTGGCATACGTACGGCGAGATGAGCGCGCTGGCTTTCGTTCACATCTTGATCGGCAACATGAGCCGCATGCTGTCGGTCGTAGAGACCATGCCCGCGATGCGTATCCACATCTTGGGCGTGCAGGAGGTGTTGCGCCATGGCGGCAGCGCGCCGCCGCGAGCGGGAAGACTAGCAGTCAAGCACACTACCAGTGGGCCGGCGGCCAGTGGCACGCCTGTACACCAGGGCAGCGTCAAAGCTAGTCCAGGACAACCGGGTTCAAGATATGGTGGGATGAGGCGGCTCAGATGCGATTGCTCGGAACCGGCCGCACAAGCGAGTCACACGGATGGCTGGATCGGCTGGCGACGAAAAATGGCCACACTTTCACACATGAAAAGAGAGAAGAATAACTTTCGTACTTGTCTTTGCGGCGCTCAAACGATCCGAGTCTCGGATTGTCTCGGGCACTGCAGCGCCACTTGACCTAATAAGGAGGAGTGGAGGGCCGCGTTCGGTATGCCTCTGTTCCCGGAAAAAGGTGCGTCTTTGTGAAAGCACGAGTTGATCCGTTCAAAGATCTTTACCCTGGAGTCGGCCGTGCCGATAGCCAATAGCAGGCGTTAACTTCATGCACTAGATCTCAATGGGGTCGGGGGGAAAGGGGTCGGGGGGAAAATGGTCGGTCGCCTGGAATAAGAAGTAGGGGGCCCCCCTGGTTGCCGGGTGGGACGTGGCGTTGCTCAGTAGCCTTCCAGCAACGTTACCACACGCTACCTGGTACATCCACAAGCGGCGGCTAGTGGAAAGGAGGTGGTGGTCTACGCGTTGCAGTTGGGCTTGGCTTGACTGATCCTGGCCCTCTCCGCTCGCCTGGGGTGCGCTCGTGCTTGTGTTGCAGGGGCAACACGAGACAAGACCAACAGAGCCTAGCAATCCTTCCTGGTGAGCTTCTGGATCTGGCTGACTTTTGAACTTGCTTGCAGGTGCGACCACCACACTCACCAACTCATCGTGTCGAGGGACGTCACCTCCGGCAACAACCGCGTCTTGGATGACTCAGAATCCATCTTCTGAGACAGACCACCGCCTGCAGCTGGATAAGCGTGTGCATACACGCAGTCACACAAGCAATGCCGTACTGTGCAAGACAGGAGAGACTCGTTCTTTGTGTGCTCGTCGCACTTGCGCTTGCGCGTGACCACACTCTCGCGCGAGGCCATCCATGCGTGCGTGCATGCAGTTGTTTGCACACAAAACAGTATATCGGTGAAAACAGTTGTTGTGATTATGGGCCGTTGACAACCAGATTCGCGCTCTCTCTCTCTCTCTCTCTCTCTCTCTCTCTCTCTCTCTCTCTCTCTCTCTCTCTCTCTCTCTCTCTCTCTCTGCCTCGCGGCACGCGCCCCGGACCTGGCCGAGGCTCGATCACCGCGCCCACTGGTGCTGACCCTAAAGATGCGGAGATGGCATTAAGTGCCGTCCTCAATGCCAGCAGCAACGCAAACAATGCCGCGCCAGCAGCCGTTGGGCCGACAGCCCGGCCCCGGCCAGCCCCAATCCCGGCTGTTGGGGGCACCCCCCCTGCGGCGGGCGCTGCTTCCACTGAGCCCACTGGCCCCGAGGCTGCTAGTCTGCCTGAAGAGGATCTTTTGCTGCGTCTCTTGGGCCCGGTCGAACAGACCCCCGCTGATGCGCAACTCTACGAACGGCTGCTCAAGGGTGACGACGAGCAGATGGATGATGCCCGCACTATCCTCAAGCGCGTGGAGGCTGAGGTGGCCCTTCTCGATTCCTGCTTGCATGAGCTCTGTCGCCGCCTCACCCTCAGTCTGCCCCGCGAAGCCGCCTACCTCAAGCGCGTGCAAACTCGCAATCGCCACACCTGGCGCAGCGTTCCTTCCGCCGTATGTGCCATGCTCTGCTGCCGCCAGCCCCTTCCAAACCGTGGTGTCCCTCTCCGCTATCAGTCTCTAACATGGGCCACCATTTTGTCCTCCTGCGACCCGGCTTGTCACAGCTGCATCTCATGGAACAGGAGCTGGCAGTTGTTCTCAACATTGATCAAGTGTTGCAAGAGAAAATTGGGGCCTTCAAGACGGAAGCCACTGATCTGGCCGCCCATCTCCGGTATGCCCAACCTGAGCAGGCTTCTAGCCACACACCTGTGACTGACGTGCCAGCAACCACCATGCTCAGTCTTGCCAATGCCGCCGTTAAACCTTTCACAGGACCGTGCAAGAACAAGCCTTTATGAAGGCCTTCCACACTCGCATGGGCGCTAACTTAAACCCAGACAACGATGTTCCTGAGGACTACACTCAGAGCCCAGCAGACGCCAAGCACGAGCTCAAAGGTGCGTCGGATTCATAGCTCTGTTCTCTCCTTCTTTGCACCCACACACAATCGCACTCCGTGCGCGCCAAGCGCGGCATGACTGACAAACGAGCGGTATGGGTGCATCAGATTTGTACGAAATGCAGCGAGCTCGTATGCAGTCGGAAATTGATACGCTTCGCCAGGAACGCGATAGCTGGCTCAAAGTATGGCTAACCCCAACCACCATTGCTTTGACCCTCACCCCTCATTCGTTCAGGTCCCGCTTGGCCTCGGAAGAGGTGGTCAAATTTTGCTTTTCGCCTACTCACGCTGTTCGATGCCAACCCTTGGCTTTGCTAATCATAGGCAAGCATGGCAATGTGTGATGTCCTGGCCAGTCGTCGCAATATGAGAACCATTCAACGACTTCGCATCCATCAGTCGGCCTGGTTTGACTTTGCTCGGCACTTTGGCAACGTCATTCGGGATGGCAGTGGCGTCATGCTGGACGAGCTTCGTGGTATACTAACCAACGTCAAGAAGCAGGTGCGGAACAGAGCAGACGCCATTGGCCGGGGCACAAGCCCGCCTACATGCCCATTTACTGACCTTTCCACTGTTGACTTGCCGCTCTGCCCCGTGCTACCAGATCTCTATTGTGCGACGCCACTTTATCAAGGACGATGAAGCCATGCGCTCAAAAGTCAAGGTACAAACGCCCGAAATTGGCTTGCCGGCGCGCTGTTGACCGTGACATCTCGCATGGCTCAGCTCTGACTTTTTGAAATGGCATTGATGTGCGCCTGCTCACTCTGCCTGGTAATCCATTGCGAACAGCGCGTGGCCGGCCGCCTCGACACCTTGCGCACCACCGCCGGCGTGATTTTGCTCACCAACACGGCTGCCACCATCGATGCCAACCGAAGCAAACATGACAATGCGCGTGCAACCGTCTCGGAAACTGAGGCGGCCCGACAGCTCTTGCAGAATGACGTTCGCTTGACTGATGCTCTTCGCGAATTTGCTCGGTCTGTGTCGCCCTGCTGAGTAGAAAACCTTTTTTTTTTTTTTCTCGATCGGTCTTGTGGTTTTTTTTTTCTTTCTTGTTTCTATGCATACATGTCTCTCTCTTTCTCTTTCCCTCCCCCCTCTCTCTGCTTCACTCTCTGCAGCCCTCACTCTTCGTGGGTTGTTTAATGTATCCCCGTCGGTGCGGCTTGCCTGTTCCACTCACAACTGCTATCACTCGCTTCGTGTTGACGACAGTGTTTTGGGCGAGGAGCTGCACTCGTTGACGACAGACCGCCTCAATTGGGTCAAGGTCAGCCAAGCCATCCCTGACTTTTGTCATCTCTTCCCACCTGGGCGCCATTCTCACTTCATACTCGCGCGTCTTTTCAGGAGCAACGTACACAAACCCGTCAGCTCATGGATCAGTGGTCACTGACGGCCGAGGGCCTCTACAAAGCTCACAAGTCTGTCATCACTTTGGTCCCGCCTTCTCAAATTCCTCTGAACCCACTTGCTGGTGACCCTTCTGAATGACCGTTGGCATCAAGACATATGCGCAAGGCTCATTCGTTTGTTTTTCCGCTTTCGTCACGGGGGCTCTGCAGAAGCACTCTTCGCCAAAGTCTCACCCCCAAGCTGACACAGCTCAATCAGGCTATTCACGCCACCTTTGATGCGGTTTGTAGAAAGCATTTTGTTGATAAGACTGCCTTCAATAATAGCCCGCTCTCTGACTCATGCCTGCCTCTGCTTTGCAGCTTGAGTCGGGCCTCTCGACCTCTGGGCGACGAGCCGATCTGCTTCTTGAGTTGATTGGCGGGTTTGAAAAGAGGTGCAGCCGCATCAGCCATCCTTGACATGCTTTCCAGTCTGCTCGCGGCACTGCCCTCAGCTCACTCGCTTTTGCCCTGGCTTACACTTGTCCCCGCCCAGTGCTTTGAAGCTGCGTGGGAGTGCTCTCAAGGACCGTTGTGTAGAGATTAGTACGGTTGCAAACCACTGGTTCGTTTGGCATTCTTCCTGTCGACCCCACTGCAATGTGCGTCGTTGGCGCTGATCTAGACACGAACCTCACTTCGCCGTCATGATGTGTGGGAATAGGGTGGACCGGCTGTCCAAGCTAGAAGATGACTTGAGTCGCCAGCCCGCCTTTACAGCCATTGCCACACAAGCCGATCAACTCGTACTGGCAGCCACGATTGACACCCAAGCTCATTGCGAACGTCTGGTCACGCAGCTCAACAAGGCTCACCAGGAGATGACAGAGTGGACCATCGCCATGCAGCACGCTTGTGTTGGGGTTCCGGGCACTTCTATCGGCACCGTCTGCGACTGGGCCGAAGGCGTTGAAAGTCTGCTACATTTTGGATCCAGCGAGGTCCGTGTCTCGTATTCGAGGACAGCTGACCGGGACCTACCCTTCGTCTAACAACACATTCTTACACAGACTCGCGCGTGTCTTCCCGCTGTCTCTCACAATGTTTCTCCTGGCGGTAGCTGGTTGACTCGGCCACGGGCACCCTCGACATTTTTGTACTCCGAGCACGACACAAGGAGGACGAGGAAGAGCTGCACACGTGGCAGCAGGAGCAGGACCAAGTTCAACGCGTGGCCTCGGAATGTAATGACTGGTGCCGCCTCGCCAAATCAGCAGCGCAAGCCTTGCGCTCCGATGGTGGCTTGGCTATCATGGACACAACGTTTCAAAGCAATGGCCAATCTGGTGATGCTCTTGATTCGGAGGTAAGTCCCACGAGCTGCCCACACATCCTTTCAGCCTCTTTTGACCACACGGTTTCACGGTCTCGTGGGATGTGTCCGATGATCCACATAGGCATGGGCCAAGCCAGAGGGTGAGCTGACAATCAATCATGTTGAAGCAGACGGTCGTGTTGTATCCGAGCCCCTTGACCCTTACACCCGACCCGAGTGACGGTGTGCTTGATTCGGTCAAGAGTTAGAACTGGACGGTTTTTTTTTTTTGTTTTTGTTTTTTTGTTTTTTTTCGTTTTTGTTGTTAAGAAGGAACCCACGACCAGAAATCGAGTAGGATAATCGAGCACCATAGCCTGTGATCCACAATCTTTCCTTGTTTACCCTCCCCCACCACCATTGCCGTCTCTGACACACGTCGCTGATAGCGAACACAAGACGAGACGAGCCATCACAAACCAATAAACTCACTCACACACACACACACACACACACACACACACACACGAGCACATAATCTGACAAACATAACGGTGGTGGTGTTGCACTTGCTGTTCATCGCATTTCTTTTTTTTTTTTTTTTTTTAGGGGAGGAGCGATCCGATCGGCAGACGGTTCGGTGGCCAGCGGTGACTGTTGTGGGGCGGCGGCCATTTGTTCGCCCGATCGGAGGTTGATAGCTTTACAAGCTTTGTCTCATCCTCTGAGCTGCAGTGCCAGGCGCAAACAGCATCATGGAAACTCGGGAAGAGTCAGAAGGTACGCGAGGTGGCATGTGCGCGGCTTCGCGTGGCAGTTGTGGTTTGAGAGGCGCTGGAGGGAGTCGTGCAGTGCAGTGCAGTGCAGTGCACGATCGCTCACGCTTTGATGTGATGACTGCAGCTTCAACCGAGTGGCTGACGCATTTGGAAGCCGATGCTGCCGTGCTCAGGCAACGCCGTACTGTCCTCGATTCGGCCGTGGGCGCAGACATGGTGTGTCCCCGTTATGAAGTCCTAGTTGCTGCCCTGGATCTCCAGCCCTACTCAGTCAATGCTCATCGGCATGCTGTCTGTCTCACATCTTGCCGCCTCACGCCAATCACTCCCTCCACATGGCTGATGTAGAGTGATGCGATGCTCACGGCCCTGCAAAACTATCGACAAAGCACACTTGATATTGAGCTGAGGTTGAATAAAGGTACTTTCAAGCAATGGCAATGATTTTATTATACTCTCGCATTCCAACCTGAAGATGCCTGTCTGAAACCACATTGTCGGCCCGTGTCTACAATTAGTATTAATGCTGTTGGTGACTGAGCAATCGACCCGAGTCGAGCTCTCTCGCGTCATTGAGACTCGTGAGGTATTCCACCAGGTTTGTCAGGCAAATTTGATGCAAGACAGGCACATTCATCGCTTCACCTTGTCGTTACAACGGGTTGCGTGACATGTCAATTGTTTCGTTTTCCAATTGCCGCGCATGGACAGGAAGAAGTGCAGCGGATGAAGCACGAACACGATGAGCTCAAGTCCAGATTCACTGAAGCTAAAAGTGAACGTGACGAACACGCCAAGGCGCTGGCGGCAGCACGTCAAGCGCAAGCTGATGTGGAGAAGAAGCTGAAAGAATGCGGCAATGACGACAAGGCTCATCAGGAAGCACTCGGCAAGCTGGAGAAGAAGCTGAAAGAGCAAGACGAGGAACACGTTAAGGCGCTGGCAGCAGCACGCCAAGCGCAAGCTGATGTGGAGAAGAAGCTGAAAGAATGCGGCAATGACGACAAGGCTCATCAGGAAGCACTCGGCAAGCTGGAGAAAAAGCTGAAAGAGCAAGACGAGGCGCACGCCAAGGCGCTGGCAGCAGCACGCCAAGCGCAAGCTGATGTGGAGAAGAAGCTGAAAGAGCGAGACGAGGAACACGCCAAGGCGCTGGCAGCGGCACGCCAAGCGCAAGCTGATGTGGAGAAGAAGCTTGAAGAATGCGGCAATGACGACAAGGCTCATCAGGAAGCACTCGGCAAGCTGGAGAAGAAGCTGAAAGAGCAAGACGAGGAACACGTTAAGGCGCTGGCAGCGGCACGCCAAGCGCAAGCTGATGTGGAGAAGAAGCTGAAAGAGCAAGACGAGGAACACGCCAAGGCGCTGGCGGCAGCACGTCAAGCGCAAGCTGATGTGGAGAAGAAGCTTGAAGAATGCGGCAATGACGACAAGGCTCATCAGGAAGCACTCGGCAAGCTGGAGAAGAAGCTGAAAGAGCAAGACGAGGAACACGCCAAGGCGCTGGCAGCAGCACGCCAAGCGCAAGCTGATGTGGAGAAGAAGCTTGAAGAATGCGGCAATGACGACAAGGCTCATCAGGAAGCACTCGGCAAGCTGGAGAAGAAGCTGAAAGAGCAAGACGAGGAACACGCCAAGGCGCTGGCAGCGGCACGCCAAGCGCAAGCTGATGTGGAGAAGAAGCTGAAAGAGCGAGACGAGGAACACGCCAAGGCGCTGGCAGCGGCACGCCAAGCGCAAGCTGATGTGGAGAAGAAGCTTGAAGAATGCGGCAATGACGACAAGGCTCATCAGGAAGCACTCGGCAAGCTGGAGAAGAAGCTGAAAGAGCAAGACGAGGAACACGTTAAGGCGCTGGCAGCGGCACGCCAAGCGCAAGCTGATGTGGAGAAGAAGCTGAAAGAGCAAGACGAGGAACACGCCAAGGCGCTGGCGGCAGCACATCAAGCGCAAGCTGATGTGGAGAAGAAGCTTGAAGAATGCGGCAATGACGACAAGGCTCATCAGGAAGCACTCGGCAAGCTGGAGAAGAAGCTGAAAGAGCAAGACGAGGAACACGCCAAGGCGCTGGCAGCGGCACGCCAAGCGCAAGCTGATGTGGAGAAGAAGCTGAAAGAGCGAGACGAGGAACACGCCAAGGCGCTGGCAGCGGCACGCCAAGCGCAAGCTGATGTGGAGAAGAAGCTGAAAGAGCAAGACGAGGAACACGCCAAGGCGCTAGCAACTTTGAAGGATAAATTGCACCTTCAAGACAAGAGTCTATTGGCGCGTCTTCAGGGCCTGGAGGACACAAACAGCGAGCTTCGAGCAAAGTTGGACGAGACTGCGAGCCTATTTGAACAGGAGCAGACCGCTGCGCGTGCCAAACAAGCTGAGCTGGAAGAAGAAATTTCGTCCCTTCAGGAGATTATAGCTCATTTGGAAGGCTTGCTAGCCCAGATGGATGATGATGCTAGCAGTACCGCCTCTAGTGAAACTGGAAGAAAAAAGGCACCCGCGCGCAAGGGACCTCGTCCTTCCCAAGATGACAGCGTACACAACGTCATGAAGGAGCTTTTTGATAAACATGGTATTGATGCGTCCGTGCTTCAGTATAAGGCGCCTGGTAAGTATCAAATTGCTGGCTCATCCAAAGTCATCAACGTGCAGTACAAGGGTAGCAACCTGATGGTAAGTTCTGATCATGAATCTGGCGCTAGAGTATCTTTCTCTCGCACACTCGGTTTTACCATGTTTTGCTCACCTCGCACATCATGCTCTACCTTGTTGTACTCTTGCAGGTGCGCATTGGTGGTGGATGGCAGTCTCTAGAAGAGTATTTGCTGGACAAGCATCACATGCACCATCGCCCTGATGATGCAGCCGTCAAATTTTCTCAACGCCATCATCAGAAGATTGAGGAAATGAAACACGGCTCAACTTCAAGCTCTTCTTCCTCCACAATCCCAAAGTCCCCTAAGGTCTCAAAGTCACAGAGATCATGAAATGGTGGCTGTACATTCCCGGGAGTCTGGTTGGGTGTTTTTTTGTTTTTTGTTTTGACATGTGAATCGATAGTTTGATTAAAACTTTTCTATTCAAGCAAAGTGGGCGCACGCTTAACTCTTTTGAGACGCAAAACTCGACGCCCTCTCGTGTAGCCATAAACAATGAACATCAATAATAACCAAGCAGCATAAAAAAAAGGACACTGTCCATGAAAGGAGCTCTGGAATAGGCGTAAAACTAAAATGGTGTCACATTACAGCACACCTTGACGCAGCTCCCAAAGGTCTAGACCGGAGCGTACATCATCGAATCGGGGTTGCTCGAGCGCGCCACGGTATCAGCCACGTAAAAGTTTTGCGAGGTGGTCGTCGCGGTTGACCCTGATGTATTTCCAGTCATGTCAACAGACACGAAGACACTGGCCTCGGAAGCGCGCACGCTGGGCACACTTGGCGCGTATTCGTAAGCGTCGTCACCAGGCGCGAGAAGGCACTGATTGGGAGTTTGATTGGGAGTTGTTGAAGTTTGCTCGACTACCACGGCCGTATTGTGCGCCATAGCCGTAGCCATGGCCAATCTCTGTGACACGTCTCTCATGCTTGGGCGCATCTCTGCCTCGGCCAGCCAACATTCATTCATGAGCTGAGCCACCCCCTCTGACATGGATTTGGGAGCCGTAAGGCGATAGCCTTTCTCCACTATAACACAGAGAAGCGAGAACGACCACCCCATTGAGCACATGCATCCAACAAATGAGCAAACCTGAGTACCGTCGATGACTGCGGGCAATACGTATGTTGGGCAGACAAACCTTGATGTAAGATCTGTTGATTCCCGATGCCAGCGTATGGCAACTGGCCGTGAGAAAATATTTCAAAAAGGACAATGCCCATGGCCCAAACATCGCCAGCCAGGGTAAACCGCCCATAAATGAGCGTTTCTGGAGACATCCTAACAACGGCGATCCATCACAGAACGGGAACGCGTGAGGCAAACGCTGTCTGAACGTCTGAAGGATGACCGCAAAAAGCAACATGGCGCTTAGACATAAGAATGATGCAAAACGTTACCAGCGGATGGGGACCGGTGTGGTGTCGTTGGCATTGCGGGCGTAATATCCCTTGTAACTGGCGTCCTTGGAGAGTCTAGAAATGTCGAACAGTCAATAAGCTCTTCAATCGCCAGCATACGGGATGAAAACAACTCGTGCTTTCAGCGCGAAAATGGTTGACTCAAGTACAACGCAACTTGCGATCGCCGTTTGCAGGCATGAGGTGTGGTTGGCGCATAACTCACCCAAAGTCTGCAATTTTCACGACCCCGTTGGCATTGACGAGGCAATTGCGACAGGCCAAATCGCCTAAACTCGGTTCATGCAAGAGCCCATGAATATGTGCAGCAACACCAAGAGTCTTGAAACTAAACTCTATCTGACAGCATTCCTTCGTCATTTCCAAACGAGGCAGCAACATAGAGCAACGAACGAACCGTGTACGAATTGAAGGCTGTGCAGGTACGACATGCCCTCGGCGACATCAGAGCTCATGGCCGTCAGCTGGCGCGTCGTCAAGGACTGAGAAAGTAGCAACGGAACTTGGTGAGATGTGTGCCACAACAAAAAGAAAGATTGCTGGCCAGATGCATGGAAGCGCAGATCCACCTTAGCAGCCGTGCGCAGGTATGACAGCAAGTCGCCTTTCTCCATGAGTTCGGTGATGACGTAGAGAGGCTCTTCCTGTAAGCAAACGCCTAGCAGGCGCAGCACCTACAGGGTGTGATTGGCAAGAATGAGCCATATGTTGGGAATGAACTTGCCAAATGCCAGCGGGCTGATTAGAAGTAGAGGCGGCTGGTATCGTGGGCCGCACTACCTACATTCCGATGGTCGAAACGCTTCATAACGTTTGCTTCCTTGACAAAGCGGTACATGTTTTCCACGCTGATGCTGTCCGTGGTGCCAGATTTGCGAGAACCACATTGCTTAACAGCAACATCAACCTCACCGACTTGATCTCGAATATCAAGCGCGCGGGCTCGACTGACGGTGCCAAACTGTCCTTCACCCAGATGTCCCTTGAAGAAGAGTTGCTGACGATCGTACTCCCACTGATCTGGTTGAGGTGGTTGATAGACATCCAATGCCACGATCTGCGGGGACACGGTACCAAACGGTGCTTGAGTGGAACTGAATCCCTGAGCCGAAGTTGCGTCATCGACTGGTGGCGGCGTACCTTCATCTTGTTCTTCTTGTGGCGGTAGAGAAGGTAAGCAAGCACGAGTACCAATGCAGTCAGGGGCAAGACGACGGCAAGCGCAATTGTGGCACTGCTATTTTCAGTGGAACTCGAGGCTGCCAGCTCACAGTTTTCACCGCGGTACCCACGCGTACAGGAGCACGTGAAAGCCTCATCATATTGCACCTGGGCAAACCACGCAGAGAGTGAGCGGCACGACAAGCGCGGGTTTGCAGGAAGATGATAATCAGCCAGCAGACTGCGTGCGCGTGCGGTAGCAGGAGGCAGAGAGAAATGTGAGCTTTCAACAAGGCGGACCTGATCAACGCAAGTTCCAAATTCACCACATCCTGCGCCGTTGGGCCCATTTGCAGCCGTATCGCAGTCGGACCCCTGCACTGAAATGGCAAGGACGGCCACGATGGCCTCGTCGTAGCTGGAGGCGGCATAGACGATGTACTGCCCATAGTCACCGGCCTCGAGGGGAGTGCCTGAGATGCTACCATCCAGAGGGTTGAGCACCAAACCTAACCCAGGCAGGCGTGCACACGACTTGAGGACCTTTGGCATGGAATCGAGTATGGCAGACGAGGCGTAGCCATGTGTGCTGTCTGTTGCCAAATGGCTTCTGCTGCGGATAACCCAACCTACCCGTGGGTAATGTCAGGGGAAGAGTCGAGTACACGATGTCGTCGTTGACACTGCGCCTCTATGTGTCAGAACACAAGAAGTGAGGATGGATAGGCATGGACGGCCAGGGATCAGACAAGGATCTGCACGGGGTACAACGTAGATCAGATGCTTACACGGCGGCTTGCTTCGCCCTCGTCGTCATCACCCTCTTCATCATCATCGTCTTCTTCATCATCATCATCCTCGCTGTCAAGGTCACCGCTTTGAGCTTGGGCCGGCATGCAGTTTTGGGCGACTGTGGGTAGGATTTGCCCATAGGAGCCGGCTTCAAAAACCAAATCTTGCGCATCCAGCGATTGGACGGTGCAGCTCTCCGTGTTGCTGGTGACAACGAAAGAAACGACCAGGAATGGGCGAGTATGATTGGTGGTTGTATTAAAAAGATTGATAGTGGCGGGTCCATATGAGCCTGCTATGGTGGCTCGACCCAGAAGCTGTGCATGCGCGAGTTTACAGGATACAAGCAAGATGAATATCAAAGTATGGGGACATGCCACGGATCGCTAGGCCGTATGCGGCCACCTTAAAACCATGACCCGCGTGCAACACACCTGGCCGGTTTCGGGTACCAAAGAGATGCCTGTGGGGAGGTTACAGGGCAGAGGGCAGCGAAACTGCTTGTCCGCTTCCTGGACGACGGGAAGAAATCCGGCGTAGGTCACATGTTGTTTGACGTAAGCCACCAAGCGAAGGGGCTTTTGTGCATGTGACAAGGGTGCCAACGCAGCTAGAAAAAGTAGCAGCCAGGCCGCCAAAAGGCTTGGCGTTGAGCGCATGGTGAAGCAACGCCAGGTCGACGAGCGTCTCCCCGATATGCAGCTGGCAAGATCAAGGCCGGCGTGCGACCCAAAGCGTGCGATCAGAGACCAGGCGCCTCAAGCCAACGCATAATCAAGCCAAATAAAAATGACCAAGATCGTCCAAAAAGGAGATCAAGGTCCAAGCGCGGGGGTGGAGTGGGCCGCGATCAAAAGGGACACGCGAGAGGCAGCAGGAGACAGCAGCAGGTCAAAGAAATGCGGTGAAGCAAGCGGGGGGAAAGAAAAATTATCAGGGAGGAGGAGAAGAAGGAGGAGGAGAAGGAGGAGGAGGAGGAGGAGGAAGAGGAGGAAGAAGAGGAAGAAGAGGAAGAAGAGGAAGAAGAGGAGAAAGAAGAGGAAGAAGAGGAGGAAGAAGAGGAGGAGGAAGAAGAGGAAGAAGAGGAGGAAGAAGAGGAGGAGGAAGAAGAGGAAGGGGAGGAGGAGGAAGAAGAGGAAGGGGAGGAGGAGGAAGAAGAGGAAGGGGAGGAGGAGGAAGAAGAGGAAGGGGAGGAGGAGGAAGAAGAGGAAGGGGAGGAGGAGGAAGAAGAGGAAGGGGAGGAGGAGGAAGAGGACGGGAGGGCGGGAGGAGCCGAGCACGAGGAGGAGTTGTTTGGTTGTGAAGCACAAACAACTCCTCCCTTTCTTACATGTTAAGTAAAGTAAAGTCTCCTCTCTGATTTGAATTTATTGGAGTTGAAAGTGTGACTTTCAACAGAGTTCCTCTTACAAGAATTTTTCTCTCCCTCTCTCTCTGTCTTCCTTCACACACACACACGACCGGCGTCATGAGTACTGAGAAGGCGGCAGGACAGGGGTTTCGCCTGGTATTGGGATCCAAGTCCAAGGGTCGTCAGGCTTGCCTGCGTCAGGCGGGGTACACGTTTGATGTGCGCCCGGCTGACATTGATGAAAAGGCCGTTACCCTTGGAGAAGGTGAACGAGATGCAGCTGATCCTACAAAGGTGCGAGGGACCAGATAAAGCCGTCAACGCTGATCGCACTCAGGCCTCCCCCACAACCTACTGGCCTGCTCCATTGCGGTCGCTTGAATTGTGTGCATGTGTGTGCCTCTCTTTCTCTTTCATCCTTCCCTCTGTCTCCCCCTCCACCCCTTTTTCTCTCTGTTTCTGTATGCGTGCATGTGTGCGCGTAGCTGACAGTCGCCATTGCGCGCGCGAAAGCTGCTGCTCTACAAGACCTGCTCAAGGCTGAACTGGCTGCGCCCACCGCCGAACCCGTCTTTTTACTGACTGGCGGTACGTTGTGTACAGTGGTCTCCGTCGCAAAAGCATCCTTTATCGATGCAACGTGTATATAACATTGTGTACAAGGCTATGTCGCTATCGCCGCTCCGAGCTCAATATGTGTCTTTGACCCCGCTCTTGTCCCAAAACAGACCAGGTGACTCACTATAATGGCACCATTCGCGAAAAGCCTGAGAGTGAGGCTGAGGCGCGAGCCTATCTCAAGAGCTATGAGACGGCCCCTGCCTGCACTGTCAGCAGTGTTGTCATCACTGACCTAGCCACGGGCACACAGGTTGATGGCGTCGACATTGCCCGCCAGTGGTTCAAGCCCATCCCCACAGAGGTGCGACGGTTGCTCACGTGTCTCTCTCAGAAACACCGCACCGTGGACAGACTGGCGGCTCAGAATTGCGCGCGCACACACACACACACACACACACACACACACACGCACACACACACACACACACACACTCGAAAGCTCTTGACGGAAACTCCGTTCCTTTTTTTGGCTTGCAATAAAACTTGCTCATGCCTCTTTTTGGCAAACAGATTGTGGATCAGCTGCTGGCCAAAGGTGATGTTTATCATTGTTGTGGTGGATTTTTGATCGATGACCCCTTGATCGAGCCCTATCTGGACAAGCGCGAAGGCGATGAAGATTCCATTATCGGTCTGCCCATGCGCTTGGTCAACAGTCTGCTTGAACAGCTACAACAGCAACTGGCGACCACACCCTAGATTGAAAAGGACTGACTTGAGCCTGCAATGGGATCACACGTCAATTTGACCATTGACTGGCCGCATCCACTGGATATCGCCACAGGCGTTTCATTCACACTTTCACGCTAATTGATCCACCAAAACGTGTCATCAAACCCGAGGCTGGTGAGTGAATTGCACAATTGCTGCTTGTAGGCCGGCGTTGCCGTGACCACGGGTGTGGTCGTGTTGTCAATCACGTTGATGGTGCCGTCGTCCCCAAATTCCGCAAGCGTGAAGCGTCCGGTATGTGCCAAGACAGAAACCATGTTCAGAAGTACCTCGTGCGCCGCCAGCTCTGCGGCCGATGGCGTGTACGTCAGGCCAAAAAAGTTCCAGGCTGCCTCCATGACAATCCAGTCCCAGATGTGAAAGGGGTACCTGACAAAATCCACCACGCGTGTCAGCACAGACCCTTCGGAGTTCCACTAGGCTTTGGCCATCTCGCATGGATAAGCCGGGTTTAGCCCCACAGGTGTTACATACGCCAGTCCAGGCTCGTTGAAGCTCAGGTGTAGGGGTTGGGACAGGGGCATAGCATATTCTACACGCCATGCGTCCGGTTTAAGGGTGTCAAGTGAGAAAGCAATGGGCAGAGCATGAGCCTGAAGCATACACTTTGGGTGCAGTCCAAACGCACCAATAAGACCACTCGGTGATTGAAATCCAGCATGGGCCCAGGACATGACTTGTTGCACCCCACACACCATGCCCACATCTGCTGCAAAATCATAGTACGTCTACACCAGCATTTGACAACATGGTGTTGGGAGTCTCGGCGACACTCGTTGGCAGCTGAGACCGACGCGCGCCGGTGGAACAGTTACACAAAACGCTCACCTTGAGTGGGTTGGTAAGAGGACTGTACAAACCAATCAGCTTTTGACCAACATCAGGGCCCATGTGACTAAAGTTTGTCTTGAAAAAGTGTTCGAGATCCGCGCTGGTCCAGCTGAAGACCTCATCAATGGGTTGAAGCAAAGTTTCGTCGCTGGTGTAGCTGATTACCAGCGGCACATCAACCCACGCTTGTTGAAGGGCTACATGTACACCCCGGCAACAAATGTGAATCAGAAACGCCCGCACCCTTCGCTACTCTTGACACCTGAATGGTTTTGTTCGAAGAGACAAGATCTTCGCCCAGTTGATCCGATGCGTGTACGTGTGTGTGCATGGAGAGAAAAAAAAGGGGGGAGGGGGGGGGGGGGGGGTTCATACCATTCTTCAGACTTGTTTTCATTGTGACACCATCGACGTAGACAAGTGGCACAAAGTCGTTGTTATTCTCCCGTGTTGCGCCAGGTGCCAGGCTCTTGAGGTCCATATTCCATGTGGAAGGCATAGCCTTGACCAACTACCACATAGCAGTCACGTCCACCGCGGCAACCAGCTTAGTACCCCAGCTGATGAATGGACAGGAGACTTTCCCCCGCCCCCGCCCCCATTAGGTGGCTGGCACCCAAATGCATCACACTTACGTCCTTGGCGTCGGCCGCGTAGCGCAGGCAGTTGGCTAGATGTTGCTTCTCCAAGCCTTGACACACCGTGCTCGCCAAATAAGGCGTTTGGCGCTCCTGGATGTGTGCCTGGGTAAAGTCAAGGCGAGTTGATGGTGATAATGCGTAGGCGGCGGAAAAGAGCCCGGCCACCTCATCGTTGGCCAAGAGCGCCAAAATGTTGGTGCCACCAGACGATTGACCTGTCAAATTGAACAGCAGGCCCACAGTGGCATGAGGGCATGAGCCGAAGAAGGGTCTGCGACGAACGACGCTGATCGCCGAGAGGCAGGCTCACCGTAGATGGTGACGTTGGTGGTAGAGCAGCCAAACGCGGCCCCGTTGGCCTGGACCCATTGCAAGCTGGCAATGATATCCGTCAAACCATAGTTGCCTGCCACCCCGCGCGCATCATCCAGGGCCAGCGCGTCGACGGCAAGATAACCGAGCGGGCCAAGGCGATAGTTCATGGAGAACACGCATGCGTCAGCAGCGGCTGCAAGCTTGGGCATGCCAATGTACATGCTGGTTGAACCCTCCACGTTGCTACCACCGTAGACCCACACCAGAGTTGGCCGTGTTTCGTCCTGCGATGTCATGGGAGCACTACGGTGTGCGACAATCTCTTTTCGTTGAGCACACATGCACTTGTTGGGATCAAGAAGGGGACGGAACACTCTCGCAAATGGCAATGGTGACTCGGATCAGCTCAGTACATACCTGGGCACATGGACATCAAGGTTGAGGCAATCCTCGCTCTGGGGGCGGTCAAGGGTCGGCAGTTGCTGATGACACGCCGGGCCATAGCTGGTGGCGTTGAGGTGGCTGCTGGGGCACGTCACCAACTGTGCGGGCTGAAACCGCAAGCGAGACACCGGTGGCTCTGCGTACGGGATGCCTGCGCAACATCATACAAAAGCTCAAGGTATGAGTGCCACGGCTACGCAGCGCCTACCTCGGCCGAGCGCTGTGTCGCCAACGCCAAGGAGCCCACCAAGCACCACGTACCCAAGTAGGAAACGTGGTCGCCATGATTCACACCGGTCACGGTCTGACCACAAGGCAACGCAACCGTCGGGCCAGATGCCTGCACCTGGCCATTGACTGGTGCCACAAGACTGACCAGCAAGCAAGCGCTTGCCACCGCCAAGAAGAGATTTATGGATCGTTGCTCTGCCATCTCTTGCTCTCCTTCCGTTGTAAACGCCACACACACACTCAAACTCTCTCTCTCTCTCAAACTCTCTCTCTCAAACTCTCTCTCAAACTCTCTCTCAAACTCTCAAACTCTCTCTCAAACTCTCAAACTCTCTCTCTCAAACTCTCTCTCAAACTTTCTCTCTCTCTCAAACTCAAACTCTCAAACTCAAACTCTCTCTCTCTCGCTTGTCATGTCTGTTTGCTTATTTGTTTGCTTGATTGCTTGTTGGCTTTCAAATTGATTGATTCGAGGAGGCTTTGGAGCGGGTAGGTGAAGAAGAACCATGACGTGTTGGGAGGCTGTCTCGCATGAGGAGAAGAAGAGTAGGGGGCAGATGACAGGGACACTATCAGTTGATCCACCAGTACGACGCGTTGATGCCAAGCTCCACGAGCCGGGCGCAGCGCGCCGCCTTGTACTGGCTTTGTGGGGTGAGGATGCCCTGTGTTGTGTTGTCAATCACATTGACCACCCCATCGTTGAAGGGTGCCAAGGTGCTTTGACCCCGTGCAAAGGTATGTAGGAATTGGACCAGCAAATCATGTGCCCTTGTCTCCTCGGTGCTGGGTTGATACACGGGCAAAAACATGTCCCAGGCAGCCTGCAGGACTATCCAATCCCATAAATGAAAGGGGTATCTACACTCGGATTCGAGTCCACAAGCAAGCATCTGTCAGGAGGCACAGATTGCTGTGGATCCAGCTGGGGCAAATTTGTGACAGCATACGCACGGGATTGCAGGCTCTTCAAAGTCGAGCGCATACGGTCTCGATAGCGCCATGGCGTACTCTATAAAATCAGCAACGAGACGCGACAACCACGACAGCAAGGGCGTCCGGGCACATGAGGCGGGCACAGTAACGAGCGCTTCTCAATCTGCTTTGGTACCCATGAGCACAGACGAACCCAATACTGAGACAGGCGAGCGGAAGCCCGCCGAGGCCCACGTAGCCACCGCATGTACTCCGCAGGCCATGGCAGCGTCAGATGTAAAGTCGTAGTACGTCTGTGAGGAAACCGATGTGTGACATGCAACCCAAACACGTTCAGCCAAAAGCATGGTCGGCTGATTGAGCCCTGAAAAGGATTGGTATAATCTGAGCTTTGACTTACGCGCACGGCGTTATTGATGGGACTGTAAAGCTCGATCAAAGCCGACCCGGCTTGAGGGCCCAGGTCTGTGAAATTGGATTCGAAAAAGGCTTTGACATCAGCCGCCGTCCAAGACCAAACCTCGTCCACCGGGCCCAAAATGGTCTCGTCACTAGCATAACTCAAAACCAAGGGCACATCGACAACGGCCTGCTTCAGGGCTGGTGGGAGGTGTGGGTAAAGTGCAAAAAAAGTGTGAGCAGCATCTCTGCCACTGGCTCGGCACAATCCATGACGAAGGCACGCACCGGCTTGCAAGGTCATGGGCACGGTGACGCCATCGACAATGTTGAGCGGCACAAAGTTTTCATTGTGGTCATTGGGTACCCCTGGGGCCACCTCATGGATCCCCAGGTCCCAACTATCCGGCATGGTCATGATCAACTAAAGCACGCGCACGCTATGTCAGTCGACAGGCAGCACCGAACAGGCGCTCTCGCCTCCAGTTACAAACACTTGAGTGCAAAACGCAGTCAAAACCAGGTCAGCGTCGAGGGATGATCGAATGCATCATCAACGCTGCAACTTACGTCGCGGGGATCAGCTACGGCGCGAAGGCAGTGAGCAAGGGCGAAGCCTTGAAGGTCTCGACAGACCGTGCCGTTGAGGTACGGCATTTGCATCGAGGCGGCATGCTCGCGTGAAAAGTCTTGACGGGTGGAGGCAGACAGAGCATAGGCCGCCGAGAACAAGCCAACATGGGCTGGATTGGTTAGCAGCGCCAAAATGTTGGTGCCACCAGAGGATTGGCCTACGCCAGCCCAAGAGGTAAGGGGGAAAACGACACGAATGGGATGAGGGCGAGACAGATGCAGAGCTCCGTGACTGGACAGAGGAAGAGAGGCAATTTCGCGCACCGTAGATAGTGACGTTGCTGGTCGAGCAGCGGAAGGCGTTGGCGTTGGCCTGGACCCACTCGAGGCTGGCAACAATATCGGTAAGACCGTAGTTACCCGCTGTACGGCGTTCGTCGCCCTCCACCAGGGCATCAACCGCCAAGAAGCCCAACGCCCCGGTACGATAGTTCATAGTAACGACGCATGCCTCGGCCAATGGCACAATGTTGGTGAGCCCCATGTAATCGTTTGTTGATCCGCCCGTGTTACTGCCACCATACACCCATACGAGTGTGGGCCACGTCGTCGCTCCGGCGGCGGGGTCCCCGCTGCGCAATGGAAACTTGGGTTGAGACAAACCCAGCGCATCGACAAGTGACTACGGTGTTGGCTGTGGCCAGTAGATGGAAGCAGGTACGTACAGTGGGACGTGCATGTCCAAGTTGAGACAGTCCTCAGACTGCGGTCGAGCAAAGGACGTATCTTGCTGCAGACAGGCACTGCCATAGTGGGTGGCGTTTAGGTCGGTGTTTGGACAGGCCTTGACCTTGGCGGGTTGCAGACGGCGTGGGCCCACAGGAGGCTCGGCAAAGGGTATACCTAGCATGCGATCCACGTCCATCGTCGGGCCAGCGCAGCAGCAGCAGCAGCAGTAGCAGCAGCAGCAGAAGACGATCAGGGTTAGGGATCGCGTAGTTGCCGAGTCGCAGTCAACCGGGCGGGAAGAGCGCACCGTAGTAAGAGTGGCGGTTTAGGTGAGTCAGCCCGTGAAGCGTGCGCCCGCAGGACAGCGTCACGGATGGCTGTGCCCACCCATCGCTCAGCGTGCCCCACAGGAGCAGCGCACCGAGCCAGTAGAGCCGATGCGCCATGACCGTGAGACACCACCAGCTTGACAAGGAGGTCAAATAACAACTACAATAACTTTTATATTTACTACGATAACTTGATTCAGATCCCCGTTTATATTTGTCAGAATCTGCAATAACTGAACAGCTTTTGATAACAAGCTGTTCATCAAGCGAATAACGTCAGCCACACTGCCGCGCCGGCGCTGAGGCGGAGTAGCTCACCATTGACCACGGGCATGGGTCTGCTGAGTGATCCAGAGAATCAGCGGCGTGTGTTGCGGCTGCTGCGGTCACGCAAGTGGCCGTTGGTTGGCTGTGTGGTTGTGGTTGCGCTGGCCGCGCTGCTCGCTTTGCCTTACGATGAGGTCTCGCAGCCCGACCACATCCAGGAGAACGCGCTGAGCCCCCACCTCGTCTCAGCCAGTACGCCATACCCACTCGCCCAAGAACACGTGCTCATTCTCATGCTGGCTGATGCTGATCACTCTCACAAACAACGCTGCCCCCGCCCCGCTCCCTTTTTTTGGTTGTTGGCAACAATCTGCACAGCCGTCTCGCGGACTTTTGAGGAGCGCGCCGAGCAGCTGGTAACGAGCCTGCAGACTGTACGCACCAGGTTGGTTGGACTGATTTTTGCCTTTGTCCCATGAGATACCTCTTTGCTGCAGCACAGGGCGATTGCGCACAGCTTTTTTCCTTGAATTGCTGACGGCCTTGGTGATCATACAGCAACGAGCAGCTAGAAGAGATCGCCTCCTTCTGGCAAAAGCATGGCCTTGAACATCACTGGGTCGATTGTGCAGAACCATCGCCACAACGATGTGCCGTGCTGGGTTTGGCTCGCAGCCGCCGTGGGGATGGAGCCGAAACCCTCCTACTCACGGTGGATCTTGCACACTCGACAACCACGGCCTTGATTGCGGCTGTGACGCTGCATCTCGCAGGCGAGTCCCACCTCCCTCGACCATCGTCTCCCACACAAGCTCGGTGGCAAAGCACATGCCAGGCAGGAAGAAGAAGAAGAAGAAGAAGAAGAAGAAGAAGAAGGACAGGGGAAAGAGCATGCTGCCTGCACGCGTGTCTTTTGGCTGACCTTGTGCTTCCCGGTTGCTTCGATAGCTACGGAATGGCTGCACAAAGACGTTTTAGTCCTGGTGGCTGCCCACCATCGGCCAGCCACGGAGAGCCTTGCACGAACACTGCTGGAAGACACGACTCATTTGGGTGTGTATTTGAGCGGCCCCGCCGCGTAGCTGAGGGTGGTTGACTTTGGCTGGGCAGGCCAGCGGGTAGAGACCGGTTGAGGTGGTCATGAGCTTTGAGTGGGGTGCTGGCTCAGCCGGTCAACCGGTCATCTCACGGGGCCTGTACATGTGTTTGCTCTCCAGCTTGGTCTGCAGGGTCATTGCAAGCAGTGCTCTGCGTGGAGGGTGATGCAGCAAATTTTCAACTGGTCAAGATCATGCTGGGTGGGGACGCAGGCTCCATGCCCAACTATGATATGGTGCTTGCCGCGCGTGCCGCCATGCGCCAAGTTGGCATTAACAGCATCATTGGTACCGAGGTGCGTTCAGCAAGTGGTCGCGAGCCACTAGAGCGTGAACATCCCCAGTGACTGATGCGTGCTTAACTGCTGGCCATGGATTATCATCAGGTCACGGAAGATTATAAGCGCGGCACTCTGTCTGATCCTGTGAAGCGGTACATGGCCTCGCTCAAGGTTTTCTGGCGGGGCCTGCGCGATATGGTATGCGTTGTTTTCCAGCTGGGCCGCGTGGCAATCGCCTGTCTGCCAAAACTCATGGCCCAACGTTGCATGCGTGGCACAGGCACTGGGGGTGCCTGAATCGGCGCATGCGCCATTTTTGCGCCGAAATGTTCCGGCTCTGACCCTTACCCTAGCGGCTGCCCCTCATCAGCGCCCCGTTCGCGCCGAGCGGGTACGTTTCAGATCATATCGCTCCGCCAAAGCCGATGTGATTGGGTGCAGGTCACCAGGAGCACCCTCACATATGATCTTTTGTGCTAGTTGGGTGGTATTGTGGAGGTGGTGTTGCGCACCCTCAACAATCACTGTCAGCGCTTTAACCTCTCCTTCAACTACTACATTCCTACGGGCTATCAACGCATCGTGTCGATCGGGCGCTATCTCGGTCCAGCCCTGGCGTTGCTGGGTGCTGTCTTGTTGTGGGTCTTGGGCACCCATGCTGCACCAAAGGAGGTGGCCAACGCTCCACCAGCCACCCCTGCCATGAGCCAGAAGCCGAGTACAGCCTCTCCAGACGACAAACCTGAGGAGTCTACCGCAACTTCGCCCCGTTGGCGGTCCGGTCCAGAGCCATATCTGACCGAGATTCCCAGTCTGTCGCTGGCAATGGCGGCAAGTCTGCTGGCCGTTGTGGCAGTGGCTTTGCGCTGGCAGGAGACGCGACCTGATGCTGTGCTTGTCAGCCTGCCGGTTTTGGGACTACCACTGGCCCTGCGAGCTTGGCAGGGTTCATATGTCGAGGTCTTGGCAGTGTTGGTTGTGGCTTTTGCCGTTTCTTTTGTCTATATGCCACTGGGTCTGGGGCTTGGGGCGCTGCTCCTTGCTGTTGTCCTAACAACCATGCGGGAGCGACCGCTTCCAGGCAGGCGCACTGCATCGCCTGCCCACAGCACCGTAGACCGGTGACGGCATCAGGACATCTCGCGTGATCAGTACGCAGTATGCTTGTGCGGTTGCACTAACCGTACGGTACTGTGTCCCTGTCCCAAGATAGTTAATCGATTCATGTCGTTGAGAGCTTCCCGCGTTTATGAGCCATGGCATTGACACTGGAAGGGGCAAGATGGGGCATACCTTTGAAACACCACAGCAACCGACAGTGCTTGGCTGCAAGCTCAATAATACAGGCGCGGCAAACACAAACGAGATGCTTGCGTTGCCGCGACCCCCGTCATTGGCATGAACAATGACCATATGACTCCTTTCTCAACGTCCATGAGACATGCGTTTATGGTTTTGATTATTGAAAGATGAGTCGGTAGGCGGCGGAAAAAAAAAAGAAAAAAAAAAAAAACAAAGAGCAAAACAGACAGAGGAGGGAAATGAAAAATAGGGTTTGCCCAGGCTCCGCTCACAAGAAGCATGATTTCAACATTAGCCTGGCTAGTCAGACTTGACAACGTCATACTCGGCTGGCCCGGTCGGCGCGGGACGCGCTCGATGCGGCACCGAGTAGCTGACAGCTGGACCCTGCGTTTCCTCATCGCTGCTGTACATGTCATCATCACCTTCGTCTTGCTGAGCGTTTGTGGGAGGTCGCATGGTCGGCGCCGTGTATCCGGCATCGGGCGTCAGCTCGGTGTCCGAGTCAGGGGCTGGCGCTGGACGCTCCTCCATCACAAGGGCTGGGCCTGATGAAACTGGGTGGGCATCGGAGCCCTTGGCTGCGCGAGGTCCGGCCGATTTGGTTCCACCAGCGCCGGGCCGCGGTGCACCCCCACGGAAGACTTGCGTGTTGAGACGTTCCAGCACGTCTGAGACATCCTCGTCCTCACTACTGTCGCTGCTGCTATCACCGTGGGTATCGTTTTTTGGTGCATTCTTTCGAGGCCCTGCCTCATTGGATTTGGCATTGGGATTGCTCGTGGCGCTTGCGGATCCGCTGGCGTCGGATTGCTGGCGAAGAAAGTGCAAGGCAGCTGGAGGGAGTGTATCTTCAATCACGGGGGGATCGCCAGGCTTGAGGGCGATGAGCACGGCGTCGTCCTTGATGGCACGCATCTGCTCGACCTCACGGCCCTCAAAGTCCACGACCCGGGCAATGGCTACGCCATACGTGACAGCGCACTTGGAGAGCAAAAGATCCATCGAGGTGGGCAAGGACAAGACTCGGCCCGAGTCGCGGTCACCGTTGCGATACACCGTGATTCGAATGTCGTAGTGGCCATCGTCTAGCTCAGTCTCCGGCCGCCGAGGGCGGCGCATCGACTTTCGAATGGAGCCCACGGGGCGTGCCGTCTTCCATGAAGCCGCGATGCTACCAGGCGTGGCCACGAGTACGTTTTCGGGTGTGAGGCGGGCTATATTCTGCAGCCAGCTGCGGGTTTCCTCGACTGTTTCCGCATATAGGTACAGCTGGCGGTCGCGGGTCATGATGCCAAAGCAGCAGTTGGGGTCGGCAAATTCGGAAAAGGTGACGGGACAATCACCACCGGGCTTGACCACCGTGCACTTGCGCAGGTCTACCTTGCCAGCCTATCCCACGAGATGTTATTTAAGCCAGGTGTGTCGAGCCACCAAAAATTAGAGCAAAAAAAAAAAAAAAAAAAACTCGTGCTAGAACATGGTCATGGTCACCTGGCTTCCGCCAAGCACTCGATGCCCATGTCTCACTCAGTCTCAAGATCGGGGCACCGTCTGGATCGAAAACGCACCGGTTTGGAGACATCCGCCCCCTTGAAATATGCCAGCTCATGGTTATCATAGAGCTCAAAATAGCGACGCTTCCAGTTCTATTCAAAATGATGATGATGAATAGGAAAGCAGCGCAGTGCGAGGGCCCGCCTCATATCCACCCAGCTCTATGCGCTTGGCAACCATTCCATAGTGGGCAAGACCCTTGTCTTGACCCCCCATCGCCTGACCCGTGCCCTGCCCCTGCCTTGGAAGCTCGCACCAAAAACATTTCCACACACAAGCCCGACTCACCTTGCGAAAGCGTCCCCGCTTGGTCAGGAACCCAGACCACAAGACCTGTCGCTCATCCAGCTCCCCAGCGATGAAATCGGGTGGGGCCAGTCCCTCTGGTGGACCTGCCTCCTCCATGACGCCTCGGCTCGGCGCGTACACACACACACACACACAGAGGGATTTGAGAAAAATCTCAAAAAAAAAATTCTCGCGGCGCTGAGCTGGGTCTCCTCTTGTCTCCTCGAATCTCTTTGGAGATTAGGTCTCTTGGTCTCACTCGAGACTCGCAGAACATGTCAAACTGCTGACTTTTCAAGCTTGGCGCTTGACATTAGACAATCAGTCATGTGTCATCTTGCATCGATATCATCAACAGCTAACATTAAGGCTTGGACGTCGCCCCATGCCGCAAAAAGATTGGGGGCATCCGAACGGATGCTATGCAACATTAGAAATGCAATTGCAACAATGGTTAAAAAAAAGGGGGGGATATGATTGGTATGATGATGGCGGGAGTGACCACTATGATGGTTGAAGCAATGAGCGGACAGTGAGGGAGGAACAAGAGAGAGGGGAAGACGGGGAGAAGGCTGTGGTGGAAGAGGCAGCCCGTGGCGCAGGCGCTGGTGCCGGCGGGGGCTTCGAGCGAGATGGAAAGGGTCGCCCCTTCTGTTAGAACGTAGGCAGCGCGGCAGCACCTGGCCAGCTGCAATCAGTATCATCACTCTTGCCCAGCGCGAGCGATCAGCTTTTCTGTATACTCTGTGCGACCCCTCGTCGTGCATTGGCACGTCAGGGGCATGGATCAGAAGGGGGGCCCGGGCGCGCGCGACGCCGTGGGGTATCCAACGGTGCTCGTAAAGAAACTTGATGGGTTGCCCACTGACATAAAAGGGAACATGGGGTCATTTGCCCCTGCAAATCCTGGCGCACCTGGGAGAAAGTGACCACTCGGCCCACCGAGGAGGAGGCTATCCCTCAGCTGCATGCCCAACTGAGCGCCAGTGGCTGCTTGGAAAGGATGTGGCTGAGCCGAGGCAGCGGCAAGAAAAGCGGGGTCTCCCGACGGCGCCCGGATGGGAATGGTGCTGGCCACGATGTGATCGTACTCATGTGTGAGACAATCTACCAGATTCTGAAATTCGAGGCCGCAGATGCGGCACGACCATTGCCCTCGAGCCCAGTCCACATCCAGAGCATTCCGTTGCAACGCCAATACGCCACCGTTGCTAAATGGCACCCCGCGCAACGCACACTGCTCCTTGTATCTGCGGCTAACAGCGTTGGTGACGACACCGAGGCGGTGGGGCAAGCACACTTCCAAATGCCCTGCCCACTGGCTCTGCACGGAAATGGCAGCAACAGACGAAAAATAAGAATAGCGATCGCGCCTCCACAAACCGATTGAGATTTGGCGCTCCTAAGGAGAGCTGCCGTGCCCTTTGCTCCATGATAAGGGGAGCCGAGTCCTTGCCTCGTCGAAGAATGTGGCATCACAGCCATCACACGTAAAGGTGACGCGCGAGTGAATCGCACCAATGTGCCTAGAACCCATGGACGGCAAACATTTCAATAAGACCGCTATTCAGGTCAGGCTGGACAGCTAAGCGACAGGCGCTCCCTTTGGTAATCAGCAAGGTTGCACGCTCATTCCACAGAATGACTTTGCTTTTGTTTTTGAGAGAGAGGGGCGGGGAGGGGCTCGCCAGGCTGAGGACGCTGCCTCAGACCACAACAATGTGCGACATAAAACCATCTCTTAAGATATCCCCGAGTCACGGCACCGAAAAGAATCCTATCCTGCTTGTGCCCCTGCTCAGTCTGTCATTTTTCTTCCCAACACCAAAGATACCAAGTCCAGCACACAAAGAACAGAGCTCTCATACATTCCTCCCATCGCCCCAAAAAACGACCAGAACCCCAGATCATTTCCCATCAGGTATCAAAACTGCAACTTTGACATGGTTTTCCATCTCACCCAACGAGATCAGCAAACACGCTGTTGGGACAACTGACAGACCATCCTCCCCCCCCCCCCCCCCCCCTGCTCTGCTCGGCTGATGCGCCCCATTGCCCATCAGCAACGATTGATCTGTCAGCATATCTGCCCCAGGTGCATGCAACATGACACACTCACCGCTGCAGATGGCTTGGCCGCTGAAACTTTGCATCACACAAGGCACACTTGTGTAAGCGACGCGAGCGCCTAGTCATCGCCTGGGCCTACCGTTGGTTGTGGCGTACCAAGCAAGAAAGGAAATGAGAACACACAAAGAAAACGAGACCAGAAGCGAGACATGCCTGAGTGCAAAGGAAAAAGGACCGATTGTCGGACCGATGATCGTACAGGCGCGCGTTGGGCGGGCTCGGACCCTTGAGGACGGTGATTCGACATTATAGTAGTCGATGGAAGGGGCACGACGACGAGGTTTGCGCTTTAAAGATGTCTCTGGCCTGACATTTCAGAGACCAACAAAGAGAGAGCAGGCGGTTCTGGTCCCGCCACGGGGAGGGCTTTGACTGCATCCGAGGCGTCCTCACGTTTGGTTCTAGGAGAAACCCAACTTGGGCAGATACGGAGTCTGACTTGACACAAGCGCGCAAAGGCGAGAGAAACGTTGATTTGCACACAGGAAAGACCCAAAAACCGATACTCATTCACTCTACAGGCTGTTCGTGGACCCTGAATGATAGCGAGCGGATAAGAGGGGAGGTGCCCCTTGCGCCGTGAAAGCAAACCGTGGGCCTCATATGACTTCATCCAGGCTGATTGTGAGCTTTCAACTGGGATCTGATTTGGGGAACTTTACACGCTGACCGGAAGAGATGATGCTCACGTGTCGGCGAGAGGAGGGGGAATCCAGTGAGTCAAATCCAGCGAGCCGACTGAGAGAGGCGATCGTTGGAAATGAAATGGCTGTTCAACGGTGCAAGGTCGACAGTGTCGTCGCATCAGTATCGGAATGTGAGTGCAATGACTCGGGTCGAACCCGCAAGGGCTGATGGAGGCTCACGTGTATCGATGCTGTGCATGCCCCATGGGTTTGATTCGATGTCGGCACAAGGATAAAGAAGGTCGAGTCGGTGAGCAATTGGAAGCCACAACCTCGTGGAGGGGAACCAAAGCCCTTTGCGTTGAGCACGCGCACCACCACCACCACCACCGCAACGACGGAAACAACCAAGGCAGGCGTTGGTTGATCGATGCCGTCCTTTTTGATGTTTTTCACTTGACGTTGTCGGAACAAAACGTGCTTTCAAGCGTATGCAAAGAACCGCCAACCACAGCCAGCCCCGCCACCGCCGCCACCGCCATGTAACCCAACAGCAACGGCAGCCGCGCACTGACGGATAAAAGAAAAAAAAATGCCACAAACGCCACAAAAGAGAAAACAGACCGAAAACGAGAGAGAGAGAGAGAGAGAAGAGAGAAGAGAGGTGAGCAGTGAAAAACACACACTCTCTCTCTCTCTCCTTTTCTATCTCTCTGTCTCTCTCCTATGTCTCTCTGTCCTCCTCTGTCTCTCTGTCCCTCTGTCTCTGTCTCTCTGTCTGTGCCTCTCTCTCTCTCTCTCTGCCTTTCTCTCTCTCTCTCTCTCTCTCTCTGCCTCTCTGTCTCTGCCTCTCTGCCTCTGCCTCTCTGTCTCTGCCGCTCCCTCTCTCTCTCTCTCTCTCTCTCTCTCTCTCTCTCTCTCTCTCTCTCTCTCTCTCTCTCTCTCTCTCTCTCTCTCGCTGCCTCTCTCTCTCTGTCTCTGTCTCTGTCTCCCGTCTCTCATTTCTCTTCTCCTCTTTCATTTCTCTTCTCCTCTTTCTCCTCTCTCTCCCTCTCTCCTTTCTGATGCTCTTTGATGCTCTTTGTCTCTCTCGCTCCCCTCTGTCTACGCCTCTAACCAGACCTTTAACCAGACCTTTAACCAGACCTTTAACCAGAGACCAATGATGACCAGAGCCCTCACCCGACCTGCAAGTCGTCAATTGGCTTGCAAAACAACCCTACCCCATAAGGACGGTGGAAGGTGTGCTGAGCCGAACGATGTAACAACAACAACACAAACAAATTCAGGGGCAGACGAAAGTGCACATCAGAGGGTAACTCCGTACTGATTCGACCGATCGGGGGACACGAGCAAGAAGCCAACAAGAAGCGGGTAACTTAAACCTGGCCTCATGGGAGATCGGCATTTCAACGTGATGAGGGTCCGTCAACAAGTGATGGCAGCCATGTTAGCAAAGTGCTGACGCTCACAGGCCAGCTCAAACAATTCCCATTCCCGATCGATTGCTTGAACTGTTTTCCCATGGGACAGTAGGAATGGGAACGTACGCTCTTCACAGTCGACTTGGAGAGCTCCACCACTTGTGTCCCTTACACCACCTCCCCCTGGTCTTTTCTCCACACGTCGGGCGCACGGTGATGCTTTCCCACAACACCCATGCACTCATGCATATGGTACGCGATGGCTCTTTGTGCTCAAAGTGTGGGGCCACGTTTGCACAGGCATTGCGTTTGAAGATGAGGGCATACCAGTGATCCTCTCTTACCCCTCTCCCCCCTTTGCCCACTCGTCTCCTTCTCTCTATCTACAGCATCTCTCTATCTCCCTCTCTCTCCCTCTCTCTCCCTCTCTCTCCCTCTCTTTCTTTCTCTCTGTCTCTCTGTCTCTGTCTCTCTGTCTCTCTGTCTCTCTGTCTCTCTGTCTCTCTGTCTCTCTGTCTCTCTGTCTCTCTGTCTCTCTGTCTCTCTGTCTCTCTGTCTCTCCCTCTCTTTCTCTCTCTCTCTCTCTCTCTCTCTCTCTCTCTCTCTCTGTAGGCAAAGGTGAGTCACACCATCGTGGTCTTGAGCCAAGACACCAACGAGGGGCTCATTGGTGAGGGTGCCGTTCCCCAGCACCTGTCTCTGCGCACTTGCTGACTCGCTCGTGGACTGTACTTGCGTTGTGCCTCGCTTGGGACTGTGTGCAGTCTTGGTTTCAGGTGCACCATGGAAATGCCAGTCACTGGTAGCACCACCAATGAGGTCGCGCCACGTTGAATGATTGAGAACACCACAATGCGCAACCGTGAACGTGGAAAGCCGCCAACTCTTCTGTTGGCGGGATGCACACCACCGTCTCCCTGCGCGACGCACATGCGTACAGCGCCTTGATCCTACCCCGTGCCACGGGCCTGATTGGCCCATGCGCCGAAGCACCACACCCCTACATGATGACCCATTCATCTCATCCTCACCTTTTGAGGCATCGGGGCCAGCTCTCTTTGACGCACGGCAACCAATACGGCCACCATCTAGCTGGTCAACTCGGATGCGAATGCGCGCGAGCGTCAAGTTCGACCTTGCACCCGTCAGAGAGCCTCACAATGCAACATGTGAAGCTTTGTTCGACAAGGTGTTTCATCCGACGTGGGGCATCATTTCAACGGCTCAGAAACACACCGTGTGTGAGTGCTATCCCTGCGCTTGCGTGGCGGCGGGCTTTTCCTTGAAGCCTTGCATTCAAGAGAGTTCGATAGGTGCTCGTGGCATTGATGCCAATTCTGAGATTCCTTGCTTTTACTCGCCCCCAAGAAGCGTCTTGATGTTTGCGTCTTGATGTTAGCGTCTTGATGTTAGCGTCTTAGCGTCTTGATGTTAGCGTCTTGATGTTAGCGTCTTGATGTGGGCGTCAAATCCGCACTCCGTGGCGCCTGCTTTCTGAAGAGTCCATGTATCTTGACTCCTCGACACAGTGTACCACTCGGCACCAAATCCTCGTCTGCACAACGCAAGTGAACCTACCCGGATACGCTCCCCTGCCCGCTTGGAGAGAGTGAGCGTTTCTTGCCTTTGCTTCGTCAACAAGCAGTCTGAGGCGCACCAGTCCTCGGGAGAAACTTGGCGAGTTTGGGCCGAGGTTCTCGACAATATGTTCATCGGCGCAAACAGTGGGCGGATACCATGAATCAGGCACCACAACGTGGGAGAACGGATTTGTGGCCTTGTCTTTTTGAAAGGCAAGGCTTCCCATTGTCTCCGTCTGCTCTAGTGAGCCCAGTTGATGGGACTGACACCCAAACGCTTCTTCTAGAACGGTCAGCGACTTGGAGCCTGCTTTTCCCGACGCCTGACCGGCCTCAGCGTTGTGTGTGTGTGTGTGTGTGTGTGTGTGTGTGTGTGTGTGTGTGCACGTCAGTTTGCGAGTGGATTTCCCATCACGACGGCTCTGCACTTGCTTCTAGGACCTTGCGCATGCCGCATTGGTGTCGAGTTCTACCCCATGTACTGTACCCTTTACGATCAGGCAAAGTTCCTTGCCTCAGCGCCTCAGGGGAAATACCCTTGACGAATGTATGACGGGGCTCACAGCAACCAACGAAGTGACTTGTGTCGACTTGACGACGCACGGCAGCGAGGGGACCCTGCCTCTCTCGCTTCGATGGCGTTCCAGTGCTCTTGCCTCAATCAAATATCACTTGCCACGACAGCGAACAGTTGTGGCCCACTGGCTGAGGCCAGATGGCTTCGTCAAAAACGAGATCAACTGAGGACGCACCGCCCCAACAGCCCTCGAATTCAGCTTTGGTTCTCCGTGCCGGCTGTCTAGATCCCCACGTCTTACTGATGCATTCTGCCGACAAGACGAATGCGCCGTCTGGCGCCCACCTCACCCCTCCTCACTGCCACTAGCACCCGGAGTGTTCAAGTTTTCACGACTCCCCATCTGCCACCTTTGGCTCGCGACACCAGGCCCCATGCCCCCTGATTGGTCCCGTTCGTTTACTGCTTGATGCCGGCTCACCAGTTCCCCAAACTGCAACCGGAGATCGCAAACTCACGGCGCATAGTACTAATCGCAACGCGCTTGAATAACCCCTGGACGTTGTGGTCTGCCATGGATCCGGCACACGAGCTCCCAACGCTCAACTTTGCCCCGCACTTCCCTGGGCACCACTTGGGCCACCTGACCATACCCCCAGACGGCGTGCTTTACCCAAAACAGTTGTTCTTCACAACTATTCTTAACATGTGTGAGGCGCAGTCAAAATTCCGACGAATGGAGTTAGCAGCACGACCATGAGCGTTGGTGAGGTGCGCGCAGCCTCCAAAAAACCCGAACTGATAGGGTACTCCTGTGACGCACCACGACGCTGCCACCACGACTGCCAAAAAAAGTCTGACATTTTCATTTCGTTCGCGTTCTCGAGTTACAGCTTAATCTTTGATGAGTCAGAGACAACTACCCCTTACAGCTCGCATGCATAAAACAACCATAACTTGTCTCAGACATCAAGCCCAGAAATTTTTTTACATGATCAGATGGGCAAAACCCAACTCTTCAAAAGTCGTTTGAGAAAGAGACAGCTGTTTCTCGAGTCTGACAAAAACTAGTTAATAGGAATTTCGACTGCACCTCACACACATGTAAATTCATGACCGAACAAGTTGTCTGACATTCCTTTCTTCGTCGTGTTTCATCATTGCTCGGTTGCTACCATCAGTCACATGGTGGGTGACCATCAGTGGCGTCTCAGTCATTCTGCTTCTTCTTCTTGACACCTCGTGTCGGTTCCTCGCCGTGCCCTCGTTGCGTTGGACAACATCCCCATCCGTATGTCTGGTCGTCGGCCCGGACTTCCTTTGACTCGACCCGTTCAATGACTGTGCCTCATCTCGAATGCTTTTCACTCGCGAATAACGCAGCCACACCCACCATGCTTGGCCGCCTCGTTCCCGTTTTGCGTCAAGCTACTCGCGGCGTGATGGGTGCGTTGACTTGAGTCATCCTCTTGTCTGTCTTGCTACCAGGCCCCGACGCTGCTTCCCATGCGCTATCCTTGCTTACCCATGGACACTCCATCTCCACCCATCTAGCTGTGCGCCAGGCCCCCTTGGCTGCGCGCACGCTGTCACAGGCCCGCCCCAGCTTTGACCGCCTGCGCCTTCTGGACATGATTGAACAGGAGATTCAGGATGAACAGACCAACGGTGTCGCAGCCGAAATTCCGGCAGTGTACGGCGACTTTCAGATTAGCCATGTGGCCGGCACTCCTCAAGTCAAGCTCACGGCTAACAAGGACGGTGACAAGTCAGTCAATCGCCTGGTTGCATGCCAACCTCGAAGACGTGCCACAGCAGTCGGAGATACGGCCCTACCTCATGGTCTTCTCTTGCTCTAGGGTCACGGTTCTGCTCAACATTAACGAATGCCCCATGGAGGAAGCCTCGGAGGGTGATGAGGACAGCGTACGTGCGCGTGGTGTGGCTTGAGTCCCCACGCGGAGATCAATGCATTGCACCCCGGCTGGCGTTGGTCCTGCCTGGGACTTTGCTGTCCCAACTCTGGTTGACCATACCCCATACTCTCACGCTTTCTTCCTTCTCCCCTTCTTCTTCTTCTGCCTTCCTTAACATCTTTGGCGGGCACAGGAGTCCGTCCCCGCGCCTCACTTCAGCGTCGAGATTGAGAACGGCAAGAGCCTTACCATGGTCATGGACTGCAGCATCGAGTCCTCTGGTGATTTGGTCATTACGCGCGCCGGTTTCCACAACAAGGGCGTGTCTGCCGCTGACCGCTACGACAAGGTCTACATGAACGAGGTTGACTTCTTGTCCGATGTACGTGGGTGCTCACCTTTGCAACGCTCGACGTGCGCTCGACGACGTGCAACGAGTGTATTGATTGTTGTGTCGCTCGCTTTCTTGGTGGGTAGGAGCTGTACACCAGCATGATTGAGTACCTTGATGAGAAGGGCATTGACGGCGACATGTACTCTTTCATTGAAGGCCTTGTGGCTGATAAGGTCGGTCGTTCTTTCTCGTCATGCCTACCTATACCTCGTGTCGTGTCTTCTCTGACCGCTCCACACCGTGAACGCCGTCGTAGGAATACTCCGAGTACCTCAAGTGGCTGAATGACGCAAAGAGCTTCCTCTCGCGCTAAACTACCGACCTCCAACCTGAAACAAGATGGTGATCTCGCTCGCTGCCCGAGGAGCAGCTGGGCCCATCCTTGCCAGGATCATTTATTAGCATCAAAGTACTGAAGAGCAAAAAAACAAAACAAGTAACAAGATCTCACCAGCGGCCCTGCTCCTTATTAAAAAGAAATTCCGTTTGCTTAGACTCGGAAGAGCCGTAATTGTGTGGCAAGAATCGATTTTTTTTTTTTTTTTAATTTTTTTTTTAATTTTTCTCCATCTAGATTTGTGGTTTGTTCCTCAGTTGATGCGGGTTCTCGAGGGCCAGCCAAACGCCTTTTGGGTGAACAAGTCTGCTCTTGCACTACTCCTTGGGAATCAAACCGCGGATACTGAGATCATAAATCACACCCTCAGTCTTCTTGACATCGTACTTGAGTGAATCGAACCTGTGTGCCATGCAGACCGGTCAGACAAACCCACTCACGGCTAACGACGATCGGTGGGCAGTGGGTGGGAGGTCTCATACCGTTTGCGCAGGCTGTCATTCTTGAGGTTGAGGAGACGAAAGCCGTTGTAGACGTCGGCCACAAAGGCATTGATGCGAGTGGGGCGAACAAAATCCCCCATGGTTACGCAGTTGGTGGCCAGACGGGCCTGTGATTGAAAAAAAAAAAACAGAGGCAACCCGTGCTTGAGTGTGCGGTCACGACCAGCCGAGTCCTGCATGACGCGAGCGAAGATTGCAAACACATCAACGCACCAGTTCCGAGGGAAGAGAGCAGATGCCGTGCAAAAAGTCCTCAAGGTCGACGTGGAAGCCTTCGCCCTGGGGTTTGGCTATAGTCCGAGCATTGTCGGTTCAGTGAGCCAAGTCACCGAGCCAATGAGATGCGATCCAGCGCCAACAAAGTCCGTACCACCGACGAGGTTGGCAAATTCCTCAAGCTGCAGAATGCGGTCTTGCTCAAGATATGTCCAGAGCGCAGCCATAAACACCAAGTTTTGTGTCACTTGACGCCACAGGCCATGATACCTGAGGGAAGAGAGGGAAGGCGTCAGGGTTGGAGTGGCGGGAAAAGGGATGCCGCTCACGGGAGGAGCGCAAAGCTTTGATGGCCTCGTACCGGTAGTACTCCTCCCCATGCAGAGTGTCGGCGAGGCGCGCGTAGAGGCCCTTGACGTCGGTAAACATGCTGCGCACGCTCTCGTACACATCTTGCACTAATGTTTGGCCCGCACGCGCAAGCCGATGAGCAACCAGCGTAGGTAGCATATACGAGGGCATTGGCCCAGACAAGAGCAAGCGACACGTCGGCACCCACTCTCGGTAGGCTTGCGGGCATGGCATTGCTGCAGCTGGCGGTCCATGTTACGCTGGATCATCTCCAACTCCTTGGTCACCTCGCGAATGGCCTGATGTACTCCAACCCACGACAAGATGGTGAGAAGCGGCAAGACTACAGTATTGCAGTACAGAGGCGGAAGAGGCATTTACGACTCGACCTACATCTTTGCGCACATTCTCCTTCTCGGCATACTCCTCGTACCACTGGAACAGGGGTTCACTCGCCATCGCTGCCAGTCGGGGGTTTTTTAAAAAAAAAAAAAAAAAAAACAGAGAGAGAGAGAGAAAAAAAGAATCTGAAGCACAAGAGAACGGCTTCAAGCCAAAAACATCCGCCCGACCCAGATGCAGCGTGCGAACGCAGTCAACTTTGAAAATTAATTATTCTGACAAACGAAATACCTGTCTCCATACACGTCAAAAATGGCGTAACCCAAGGGTCACGACGGACTCACATGTTTTTACGTCTTGAGGCTCGGCGCAGAATGAGACTGACCCCAAACCGAGACGTCTCCATATGGGCTGGAGCACCCGGCAAAGTCTTGAGCCGGGCCCTTTGCATCGACCCCGGATACGCAACGTTCGCAGTAGCGTCCTATTATACAGTCGCTTCCAACACGGCATCCTGCCATAGCTTGATGGCTGGTGATGCGACCACACACAAAGTACACTTAGCCCCAACAAGCTGATTGACACGGCTGAGCCGGGTGTGGCCAACGCGACTGTGAAAAAGAAAAGATCAGACTCATCTGCCCCAAGACACATGTTCTTGGATGGGATTGACTTCAAAGCATTTCGATCCATGGACAGGAAGACCACCATTCAGGGGCACAAAGAAGCCAGCCGATCGATTCACATTCAGAGCGCCTGTCGTGCTCGCACCCCGTGAGATACATCCGGGAACGCGACTTGCATCACATTTCACCGCCCAGACATTGCATGCTGGGCCGTCCATCTCTTCTTCCCTATGACGCTTGCCGTTTCCTCTCTCTCTCTCTCTCTCTCTCTCTCTCTCTCTCTCTCTCTCTCTCTATCTGAACACACGCTCTCTTTTTTTAACTCATCCATCTCTCTTTTTGTCTGACATCTGACATGTGAAGGGTGTTACAACCGCTCACGTTCTCCTGTCATTTTCTCGCAACACACACACACACACACGTTCTCTCTCTCTCTTTTTTTTCTCTCTCTCTCTCTATCTGTCGCGCCGCGCCTGCTCTCGCTCGTCGTCGTCGTTCCCGTCAAGGTCAGGGTGTCAATGCTGCTGCTGTCTCCCTCTGTGTTGGCCATCTGTCATAGATGTGGAGCTGCGAGGCGGGGGTTGACACGAGTATGTACCTGGTAGATGCCCAAGTTTGATGAAGCCAAGTTGGCCAAGCCATGCTGCGCTTGCCCCGAGACCAAGCAACCTCGTGATAAATGGTAAGTGCACATGTGAGGCGCTGGCCCGCCACTTTGCACACTCGCGCCAGCTTTTGGCAAGCCATGCCTGCCTTTTTTTACGGGTTTGTACCTAGACTCTGCCACACCTCTCACTCCCTGCCGCCTGCGCCGTGCCTGCCTTCCAATAGCATCGCCGAGTTTGGCGAGGAACAGTGCACCCATCTGATTGAAGCTCACAAGGTACGCGTGCCCGTGCCCCATGCTTTTCAAAGCCACTGCCCGCCCCACGGTGGATGGTGCCTGCGATCATCTTCATGGTACAAGACACCCCATGGTAGCGCTCATGCGGTCTCTCTGCCCTTGCTGCCCGCCATCCTCGGCTCCGGCGTGCTCCCGTTCCCAGGCCTGCATGCGTGCGTTGGGCTTTAAAATGTAAACTTAGCTACCTACCTGCCAGCTGCCATCCCTTTGGATTTGTGGTTGCTTCTGTAACCCGGTTTTTTCTTGCCTCGCTTTCTTAATGCGTACACCTGGGGGGCGCCTCAGTGTGCCAGTGTGTGCCCTATACCCTTGCCTGTGCCCTATACCCTTCCGTTTGAATTGGCATACGTTTAATCTTTATCATCAACGGGTCCAGCATGGCCAATGCAATGGTCATTGGCTATGTTCGCCGTCAAGGTCTGATAAAAACCAACAGGCATCCCATCACTTTTCAAGCTTGGACACGCCCATGTGTTCGACGTCCATGTCAATTTTTTATTTTTTCCTCCTTCATCACCTTCCATCATAAGCAAACCACGGGATGCAGGCTACACCTGCGCTTCGTCGGCCTCGGCCACCCAAGAACAGCAAGCGTTCGATTCGGTTGCCTGACCCGTCGAGGAGGGGAGCTCTAAACCTGACCCCGCGCAGCGAGCGTCCGGTTCATGTTCGGCACGGGCTGACCCTTGGGCTGAGAGGCCCGTGTATCCGGCCAGCCCCGCCAACACCAGAACAAAGCCAAGGATGTAGAGCCAGGAAAAGCGCGTGTGAAACAAAAAGGCACTGAACAACACGCTGTACACGTCGGCTGTCAGTGATGACAGATTCATCCACACGGCGCTGCTCCGCTGCAGCAGGACCGGCACGAGCGTGTACATTCCAAACAAGTCCAAGCCAAACCCTAAGACCAAGCCCACTGCATAAGGGACGCTCACGTGAGGGTGAGGGAGAGCCAAAGTAACGTCCGAACCTGCGCTCCACACCACCTGAGATACATACCAACAGCTGGGCTCCACTCCATGCGGCGCCATTGGGCGCGCTCCAGTATGACCCTGCACATTGTCGACAGCCGGTTCATATGAGGCAAGCCCTGGTGCCCCGACCAAGCCAAGGCCATACATGGCGCTTACATTTGTACTCCGCTGATAAGGGCCCCGAAGAGTCCCAAAAAGGCTAGATACTCGACTGTGGGCCGTGCCTTGACCATGCCTTCTTGCACCACATTGGAGACACCATACAGCAATGCAGCTAGCACCACCAGCCCATCACCCAATAACCGGTTCGATGCTATGGAACCAGATCAAAGCAAACCCGCTAGTGTTAGCTCGAGGACCAGTTGTAGCCTGTTTTGGCTCGCGCTCTCTCCCCAAGTGCCATCACTCTTGAAGAATGAAACCACCCTCGGAAAAAAAAAGTATCAAAGCAGATAACCCCCCTTGCCAGCGCACAGCCCCTCTCCCCCAAAAAAAAAAGCAAGCGGCTCGATCTCAACCCAAATGTACCACACTTGCCTGTTGAAGCATCGTGTCTTGAGTCTGCATACACCAGGACACCAGCTCCTGCTGCGCAGACGGCCACCGCTGCCAGCTGAAGCCAAATAAAGCGGCTTTTCAAAAAGATGGCGGAGAGGACTAACACCGTTGGCAACGTCAAGCAGTCAAGTCCCTGCACGCTGGTCAGCGTGGTATAGCGGTAGGCGATGGTGGCACAGAAATTGGCCTCAACATCGATCAGCGCCACCAAGGCGTAACGCCATCCCCGATCACGCAGGCAGGTCCAATATTGGCCCCGTCGCGCCACCAAGGTTCCAAAGATGAGCGCCAGCAGGACGTAATTCAGACAACTCTGCGTTGTCGGGATGTTCACCCCGTATCCGCTCTGAAGCTCCGTCGCCAGCACCCCAGTCCCACACGTCAGGAGAGAGATGAACTGTCCAAAGACCAACAGCTGCAGCATGGGTCGCGAGCACACAAACGCTCGCCCGCCCTCCTTTAAATCCTTGCCAGCTGAAGGAAGGGGTCCCACCCGCCCATTGGTCAAGAGCGGGGCCAAGTCATCATCCTCCATGGCCAGCTCGGCGTCATTTGCCTCCATCTCAGCTGTCGCAAACAGCGGTCGGCCTGGACCACCCATAGACGCACGAGTCTCGGAAACCCTGCTGCCGCCCTCGCCACTCAAGTCATATCTGACAACACACAAACTCAAGCACTCGACCCTCTACCACCCTCACCCTCACCCTCACCCTCACCCTCTCATCCGCATCTACCGCTCAGTCACCGCCGGCACCGTCGTCTGCGCATGCGCACAAGACCGATTTCGAAATGAGAACCTGACTCGCTCTCTCTCTCTCTCTCTCTCTCTCTCTCTCTCTCTCGCTCTCTCGCTCTCTCTTGATTTTCTCATGACGATCACACCTCTGACCTGTACTGTAGAACACAGCAACGCAAGATGTCAGCATGGCCACGTGCACACTTGCTCTCTTCTCTCTCTCTTTCTCTCTCTCTCTCTCTCTCTCTCTCTCTCTCTCTCTCTCTCTCTCTCTCTCTCTCTCTCTCTCTCTCTCTCTCTCTCTCTCTCTCGTATTTTTTTTTTTTTTTTTTTCGGACGGAGGTACTGAGGTCGGCGCGGCGTTGGCGTTGGGCGTTGGTCGTCTAGGGGGGGAGGAGGGTTGAGAATGTGTGTGGCAGTGGTCTGGGTTGACGTGGTACTTGAGCTCACGGATTGTTCCGCAGATAGGAACAATGGCCACGCTCGAGGCGATCAAGTATGACGGTGAGAAGCTGCTGGTTTTGGACCAGGTACGATGACCAAGCACTGGATGCCCAGCAGCGTCTCCTTTCCGTTCAAATGACTCAGCACATGCACGCTGTGCGCCCCTTTCTCCAGATCAAGCTGCCTCTCGAGACCCACTATGATGAAGTGCTTTCGATTCAAGATGGCTGGGATGCCATTCGCGAGATGCGAGTAAGTGCTGCTTCCAGTCGTGGCCTTGATCACGCCTCAAGCCGCTGCAAAAAAAACCCTCCTTCTCCTCCTGCGACCAGGCTCTGCAGCTCGGCCGCCAATTCTTGTCAGCTTGTTTTCTCACATGTCACCCCGTCTGCCTCTTTTCTGTCTTCCTTTTCGCTCCTTTTCGTCTTGCTTCTTTCTGCGTTGTCATCAAGGTACGCGGTGCACCCGCAATTGCCATTGTGGCCGCGCTCACCATCGCCGTGGTCATGAAGCGCTCGACCTTTGCCACGGCTGCTGAACTGGCCGCCTTTGTCCGCACCAGCCTTGAGCATCTGCGGACTTCTCGCCCCACTGCAGTCAATCTCTTTGAGATGGCTGGCCGCCTCGAGGCACTTCTTCAGGAGCAACCGGCCGACTGCACCGAGGCAGCCTTGCGCCAGGCCGTCCTTAGCTACATTGAAGGCATGATGCAGGCCGATATCGCTGACAACCAAGCTATTGGCAAGTTTGGTGCCGAAGCCATCCTCAAAGACCTCAGTGCGGACGTCAAGGTCAAGGTCCTGACCCATTGCAACACGGGCTCGCTCGCCACCGCCCGCTACGGCACGGCCCTCGGCGTCATCCGTAGCCTCCATGAGCAACAACGCCTTGAACACGCCTTTTGCACGGAGACTCGACCCTATAACCAAGGCGCCCGTCTTACAGCCTACGAACTCGTCACGGAAGGCATCCCCGGCACCCTCGTGGCTGACTCCATGGTCTCGCTCCTCATGAAGCAAAAGGGCATTAGCGCCGTCGTCGTCGGTGCCGATCGTGTCGTGGCGAATGGTGATACTGCCAACAAGATTGGCACTTATCAGGTGAACTCGCAAACATTCCCCCTCCCTGACCGCCTGCCACACCGCTGCCTTGTCTCGTGGCCTTGCCACCTCACACTGCCCCACCTTGCCCTTTCTCACCATACCCATGCCCCCTGCCCACCTCATTAGATTGCTATCGCAGCCAAACACCATGGCGTGCCCTTCTTTGTTGCTGCTCCCCTCACTTCCGTTGACCTTAAACTCTCACATGGCTCCGAAATTACCATTGAGGAACGTCCTGGCAAGGAGTTGACGCACATCTTTGGCCAGCAGGTGAATTCTTTCGGCACCACCTTAAGTCGTCCGGCCACCATGCCCACTTGAGACTGTGCTCATTGCCGGCAAACCTCACTCCTGGATATGTCTGTAGCTGGCTGCCCCGGGTATTGGCACGTGGAACCCGGCTTTTGACGTGACGCCTGCCGATCTCATCACTGGTCAGGCGCACCCTCTCCTACCCAACCGATGCCTCGACACCCCCAGGCCCAAGACCCGTCCAACTGACCCCTGTTTACATTCGTGCCCCCAACAGGCATTATCACAGAGCGTGGCGTGGCTTACAAGGCAGAAGGTCAGCAGGAGTTTGATATGGCGAGCTTTGCGGCGAGCGTAGGCCGCGCTTGAGTCTGCAAGCCCAGCCCTTTCTCACCGACCTGCGGCAAGAGCCCGGCCACCATACCTCCAGTCACATCGTGTTTCGTGTTTTTCTCCTTTTCTTTCTCTCCCGCCTGAAGCCCATGGGCAACTTCCAGCGAATAAGATTGCCAAAATGACACCGCTCTGTGTAAAAAATGAATCATCCAATTGAAGCCTTGAAAGGCTCCTCTCAACAATAACATGCCTCTACCAATTTGGCCAGTTCGCCACCGGCCCCTGCGCTTGCCAGATTCCAAATTGCACCTACTTCACGCCGTGCTAGCCTGCTGCACTTTAACCGGACCTGCAGGTACACAGGTTTCCTGACCCACCAAAAGTGCTTCGTCGTTCACCACGAGACTCGAGCCATCGTATGACTCATGCAAACGTAGACACGTGTTGGTGGCATTGTAATGCACGTCAAAGCAAACAGACCGATATCGCACGCTGGCCCACGTGAGCGCTCGAACGCCACCAACGTCGGGAAGACGTGGATGCAGCATAAATGCCTCCTCCGTGACATCTAGGCCTCCAAAGCCATACAAGATGGACTGCAAAAACCCACCGGCCCCGGTTAAAAAGTTGATGTTGTTGCCAGTGACGGCCTCCTCCTAAAACAAATCCAATCCATCCCATCAGCACTCGCACACACGACCGAGGCCAAGTCATGTATTGTGCACAACACGAGAGCACCAAAGAAAACCCGCCGATCGCCCCCACAAGCGCCCAGCCCCGACGCATCTCTTTTGACAAACCTTGAATAAAAAGTATGGGTCATCCGGACTCAGATAGCGAAATGTGCGGGCAAACTGCTCATTGGCAGCACTCATGTTGCCCAAGCGTGCCCATGCGATCGCGTAGGAAGAGTCTCCGGTAAAATAGCCATTGTCTCGAGTCACGGCCTGGTAATAGAGTAAATCGTTCTGCGCCACGGATACGGGCATTCTATCAAAAAGACACGTTGAGGGCCATGTACTCAGGACGCGAATGAGAACGAGCACATGAGACAGGGTGCAGAGCAATGACTTGCATGTAGCAGCTATCGGAACACGCACGTGATGGCAAGTGGGTACTGCAACAGCCCGACGGCCGATTGGGTGATGGCCTGCCCTTGCTGATACCCTTCGTACTCAGGATGTACAGGGCCGCCGGCGTACAAGTCATCAACAAGAGGCAAATACATTTGGTCGGCAATGAGACTGTAATTGCTTGGTACGGTAGCTCCAATCAATGCCGCCACCTCCTGGGTAAAGTTGAGCACGCTGCTAACGAGCGCGTTGGTGTATGCGCCGCTGTCGTGCTGAATGCGCGCAAGGATGGCCTCTGAGATGGACCCAAGCGGGCAGGCTTGAATGGATGGAAATTCGGCTGTAACAAGACACGACACTAACCACGCCCGCACCCTCATCAGGAGTAATGATCCCTTGAACAGTGAACGCGCCCGAGTGGTGTAGGGAAACCCGACCAGCCCAGAACCTATAGATGAAGCCAACGCGCGATTGACAATTCAACATCGATCGGCATCAAACGGGGACCCAGCTTCACAGCACTGTCTTGTACAAGGTGGATGAGGTGCTCGAAGGCATGGCCATACTGTGCTGTTGCCTCGATCATGGGCCAGGCTTCAGTGCGCAACCACGTTGTGTTGTGGGTCAGGCGATAGTAGACACGACAAGCCAGAGCAATATCGCCGACAATATGTTGCTCAAAGCGCGCAATTGTCCGTGCTGTGCACACATCACGGCCTACACCATCATCAACAAGGTCTGTAAGCTGCATCCCAGCGGCCTCAATGATCCCCGTCATTCAAAAGGTGTGATACGAAAGATGACTCCTCCAATTTATGCCAAAGTACAAGGCGGGCATGTGTGCTGGGTCCTACCAGTTGCTGCAGATTCCCAAGGATAAAAGGCTCCAGGGTAACCATAAGCAGCTGCCTCTTCACGTGCGGCATCTAAGCGGTTTTGACGGTAGCTGAAATGGCATTTGCGTGAGAAGGTTCACAAGTGAACAAGACGTCCATGTGCTCAAACCGTGAGTGCCAAAGGTGGGGCTTTCGCAGATGGTGAAAGGAAGAAAAAGCGCAACTGACCGTAGCAGAGAACGTGCAATGTGGGGGTGAAAGACGGCATAATATGGTAGCATCCAGGTCTCGACATCCCAAAAACTATGGCCATGATACGCGTTGGTTGCCAGGCCTCCAGGCGAGCCACCTAATAGTAGACAAAAAAAAAAAAAAAAAAAAAAAAAAAACAGCCGTCAGTAGCAAGCGGCTGAGGTTCACCCGACAAGAGCAAAGGTCCGCCAAGCCTTGAAAGCATTTCTCAAGCGCATGAGACTTGCCTTGTGAAACCCGAGCATCGACCGCGTTCATGAGATAAAAGACAGAGGCATTGACCGCTCGTGCTAGTGTGACATTGCCCTGCACGAAGACGGACGCATCTCGCAGTCGAGCCCAGGCCTTTTCGTGTTGCTGCAGCAGAGAAGACGGGCTGACAGTCCGTGCCAACTCGTATGCTCGTGTACAAGTGGCGTCGGGATCCTCGCTACCGGCAAACACGGCGTTCGTTATTTCGCTGTGTCGAATGAACTTTGCAACTGTCAAGAGTCATAGCGGCAGCGCGCACCTGTCGATACTGGAGGCCACGCTCAAGATGAACGTGTGCTGCAAATGTGAAGAATTAAATGTCACGAGGGATGGCAGCTAATGTCACGTTCAACATGGAAGGCGTGAGCACCATAGGGCCCTGGAGGCGAAGCCGATGATGTGACAAGGTCTGCGTTGCCTACTTGATCGTAAAGCATGACGACACGAGTGGAAGAGGCATTGGCCGTCTCTGCCACGTGCGTGTACATGTCCAACTTGACTCGACCTCTGTACCAGACGAACCAAGAACAGCATCAGCGGGCCACCGACAATTGTCCACAAAAGGTGGAGCGGACACGACGATGTTGATCATCAAGCCGGGAGGTCGCGTGGACACTCACTGTGGCACGGGAAGTGGCGACATCGAGACATCAGTCTCGGTTTTGTTACAACAAGACGCAAAATGAACCGTGCAAGAGGAGCCAAGCGGCAAATCTAGCCATGCAACCCCTGATCAGCGCTCTTTCGTGCTGTGTACTAATTTGTGGCCACACGATCTGCGATGTTTTCGAGTCAATCCTATGGCTATCGTGTGAGATAAGAGCGTACCACGGATGACGAGCTGGAGCACCTCCAGATTGAGTAATTCGCGGTGCGCCAGAAGCCGCATTTCCAAGACCGCATCTAACCACGAGCATCAGCGGCGCAAGCGTTCGGATGAGCATAGCAGACGGCGAGAGATCTGCAGCGTTGAACCCACCTCCGCAAGCAGGAAGGCGGGTGCGATTTCGAAAGATAGCGGCCTGCAGGTCCAGGCCACTGGCGTTGAAGACAACGGGAGCCCCGTTGGCTTCGATGGGGTACGCCATAAAGGGTGAAGGCAGCCCTGCCCGATGCGATGGCGTCACAAAACTTTGGCCGTTGAAAACCCCGGCCAGGTGCAAGCGACCTGAGCCCTCCTCTTGACCAGGCGTATAAGCGGCTACGGTGCGGTAATCGCGAAGAAAACAAGCAGGGCCATGACAGGTACATTCACGTGATGAGGCTGGGACTGTATAAGCGATGAGCCCGGTTAACTCAAGAGTACAGAACTGTGCAAGCGCCCACGACTGCATGTCACTCACGGCCACACCCCACTGTGTGGCCAATGTAGCCGTTGCCAATGTTGGGCTGATAGCCTGGTGCAACAGAGGTTGAGTTGTGCCACAGCAAGTTGCCCGTGGCAATCAGATCCTCCCAGTCACTGGGCGGGGCAAAGGTGGCGGTTGCGATCACCGGGCCCATCCAGGCCAGCATCAGCAAAACCCCCGACCGGCGCATGCTGGCGTTGAACGACAAGCTTCGCCTATCGCGCACCACGAGCACATTCCGAGCACGCGTTTGAGACCACACCGCCAAGCACCTCGACCCCAATCCCTTGTTTCTCCCCTGCCTCACGATCCAGCAGTCACTCCACCCACCCACAAGTTGTATTCGGTTTTGCCAAAGTCCTCTTCGTGGCAAACTGGCAATCAAGTCCAATCACAGCAGCAGGATCGAGCTTCCGACCTCCCGCTCTCCACCTCAAGCGCCCCCCCCAAAAAAAAAAATCTAAATGCGTGTGTGTGTGTGTGTGTATGTGTGTGTGTGTGTGAGAAAAAAACAAAATGCCGAGGGATGTCCGCAGTTTTGATGAGATGAGGTTTATGCTGCTAAATTCAATTTATTTGCTGTCACTAGTGTAATCAACTAGGGTGTTAAACGTTTATGGTGTTGAGGTTTGTGTGGTGGTTGTGCGAGTTGTTGTCGATGGTTCATCAGGTGCGGGGGTGAGGCTGGATATGGTGTGGGTGAAGGGGCACGCAGGGAAAATACAAGGGTGGGCCGCGCCTCGAGATGATTGCAGGACTTTAAAAAGAAGCATGCAGGGATTCGTCTGATGGCCAAATGGCGAGGTCAGGCTTCCTCAAGGAGGTGAAGGATGATGGCCATGGTGATGGCTCCAGTGAACGTGCCCGTCAGGCAACTGCGCGGACTGGAGCGCCATGCTTGTGGCAGGAGCTCTTGCACACAGACCGTCAGCATGACGCCCGCAACCACGGCCAAAGACATGTCCAAGACGAACTAGAGGCCACACCAACAGTGACCATGCGCCTTGGCAAGGTGATGCAACAAGCTGATTTCTGCGGGCAAGCACAGGGCGCACTGCGAACATACTGGAGAGAGGCGATTTTGAAGAAAAAGAACTGAGATGAGCGCGGCGATTGGCTCGACCAAGCCTGTGGCCGTGGCCGTCAGCAGGGCCATCCATGGTGGCACGGCGGCATTCAATAATGCTGAAAGCAAGAGAACCAGAGACCTGAATGAGGTTCAAGGCGCACGAGCCATGATCGAATAGACCAATGGTTCTGGGCCCAATACGCACCGACAGCCACAGCAAGGCCCTCGGGAATGTTGTGCAGCGCAATGGCCACCAGCACAAGTAAGGCTCGATGACCTTCATCGCTCATGGCTGAAATGCCCACCGCCAAGCCCTCGGGTGCGTTGTGAGCTATCAACGCGGGATGGATGGAATATAGCAAGCGGGGGCGAGAGTGAGACAGCTTCCTCGTGCAAGGAGCACGAGGGGCAGGGCCAAGCCACGTTTGCACGAAGCAGTGGCGAGGCTACGAATGATTTGCCCAGACGGACCTGCCAAGGCCAAGGCTGTGAGCATGGCCGACCGCAGGACGTGCGCGCGTCCTTGGTCACTCGATGAGGGAACGTGCAAAGTCGTTGGCGATGCATGAGCACTGGAATGCGATGCACCAGTGTGGCTGGGCGCGGCAGCGGGCCATCCGTTGCCCAGCTCCAGAGTTGGCCGCCCCGAGCTGTTTGTGACACGCGCTGGCAGCTCATTGCCAGCCTCGCCTCCCTTTGCAACCAACGACAAGAGTTGATCCTCGGCATCAAACGAGTCGAGAACGTAATTTAGAAGTAGAACGAGTGCATACCCCGAAGCAATCGCAATCAGTCCTGTAGCGGGTATGCAATGTGTGGTGCTGAGAAGAAAAGAAGCTGGGGGCGGGGCGATGGAGACTTCAGGGCCTTCAGGAGCAAGCGTCAAAAGAGATAGCAAGGAAAGCAAAGCCCCCGTGGCTCACCTTGAACAGGGGAGCCATGACGGAGCAGAGCGGGTGGCGCAAGATCCAGGATGGAAAGGCACAGCATGACGCCTGCCGCAAAGCCTGCAACAGACATTGGCCAGTCAGAAGTACTGAAGGCTCAACTCCCCAGTCTCATATAAAGGGCAGATGCAAAGATCCTGAACTGAGATGAGCCAACAATCGAAAAAGAAGTCTTCATCAACCGACCGAGAAGCGCGGCATTCAACCGAGAAGCACGGTGCGGCGCCACGACAACCACTGCAGCCCCAATGCCTTGTGGGTTGCGCGAGTAAGCTCGTGAGGGCCTGGCTCGGCTGGCTCAAACAGAGGCAAAGGTGCGATACCCCCAGGAACCAAGGAGGAAAAGAACTTGCAAAGGAAGGTGAGTCCTAGACCGAGGCAGCGGCGCCTACCTGTTGAGAGACCGGCGACGAGCGAGTTGAGGACGGCCGTTTGTTGTGCAGGTTGGAGGTGATCGGCTATGCCAATGGCTGCCTTGGTGCTCAACACCAGGCCTGCGCCCAGCCCCAGATGCAACAAGCACAGCGCCGAGAGGCGTCGACCGATGACATGGGTGTAGAGACGGACACCTAGACTTGACTCTTCCTGAAGATGAAACACCTTCGGTGGTGTTTGACGGCGAGCAGCTGGAAGAAGCAAGACCAGGTCCAGGCCTAACCAGGTGGCCAGGGCCAATGGCACCACCCCCGCATTGGTACTAGGAGCCGCCACTAACATGCGTAGACTCGTGGCGACGAGGCGTAAGAGCACACTCCACAGTGCCGCTCGCTCCGGCGATAGCCCGTAGCTGGCCAGATGCACCACAAATCCGGCAGTGGTGATGATTCCTAGAAGATAGGGTGGGGTGGCTGCACCAGCCTCAAGAAGCACGGCCAAGAGACCAGCAAACCCAAGCGTAACAATGCCGTGCTCTTGTGCCAACCAAGCAGCTTTCCCGCCACCGGCGGTTGGTGCCTGGCTCCCAGTACGCCAGCGGATGCCCAGGGCCCATAATCCCAAGACCAGACTCGGGCTCAGAGCAGCTGCTGCCAGCGTACCTAGAGCCGCCACTGGATGTGGTTCAGGATCGGAGTTGCCACCATCCCACAGGTCGTCCGAGAGCTCGCTTCGCTTCGATGCCACGTCCAGCTCATTTCCATTTGTGAGCGCACCAGCCCGCAAGAGGACGAGCGCGACGAGCGTCAGGTGGGCGCCCGTCACGAGACACCACGCAAGCACATGAGTGCGGGCTGGAGCCAGCAACGCCCGCCAGAGAACCACTCCCAACGCTGCCCCTATTAAGCTGCAAAGTAGCGCGTGCCGCACCACATCCGCCAGCTCCGGGCTGCCCGCCTCGCCCGTCATGATGGCCCGAACAATACAACCCTCTTCTCTCAACGGTCAAACCCGAGCTATCTTAAAGTGAAAGGCATTTATATACATATTTATCGATCAAAGTAGACATCTTAACAAGCACTCGTGGTGTAGTGGTTATCACGTCGCTTTCACACAGCGAAGGTCGTCAGTTCAATTCTGGCCGAGTGTATTGATTTTTTTTTTTTTTTTTTGGTTTGACTCTTTATTTTGTTGGAAGCACGCTTCGCAACCCACGCGCTTCTTTCAGCGTGAGCACCCGCGCGCATTGGCGAGCTGATGCGCCGTCTTGCTGGCCGCGCGAAGACGGCGACATTCGCCCAATCGAAGGCAATTTTTTTTACCCCTCAAAGTGATTATTCAATAGTGATAATAGCAATAAGCCATTTACATTGTCAAATTAATTCTTCTCGTCCAAGCGAGCACTCGTGGTGTAGTGGTTATCACGTCGCTTTCACACAGCGAAGGTCGTCAGTTCAATTCTGGCCGAGTGTATCTGTTCTTTTTGGCTTGTAATCTCAGAAATTTTGAATGATTTTTTTTCAGTGCGATGTGTTTTGTCTTTGTTCTTATGTACTATTAAGCCACTCATCTTCAACACCGGTTCTAACCGGCAAGCACCCGTGGTGTAGTGGTTATCACGTCGCTTTAACACAGCGAAGGTCATCAGTTCAATTCTGGTCGGGTGTATCTTTTTTGGCACATCATGCTTGTTTTTTTTGGAGAGTCTTTCTCCATCAGCTGTTTCAGTTCGGAGCGGCGTCGAGTGTGACTGGCGGGTGGGTGGTGGTAGGTACATGTAGGTAGTGTGGGTGCGCAGTGTCGTCCCTGTACTTCGCCCTTGCTTCCTACCCTCTTTTTTTCGCTTTGCCCAACATCGTAATTGATGCGAGCCCCTTTTTCTGTATTTTTACGTGATTTTTTTCGAGTTTTTATTCACTACTACCAATGTGCTCAAGCGCGATTCTTTCCGTGAAAACCCATGTGTGTTGTAGCTGCGGCATTATATGGTGCCGCGTGACGTGGTATGCTTTGCTTTTGCCCTGCGCGTGGGACGTGGTGTGCACGTGTGTCAAGGCGACCGTCATTGCTGATCGTTCTCTTCTTTTTCATTTTGTGTAAAAGCCCATATGAAATAAAATTAAGTCGATGCTCGTCAAGATGGACAATACGGCTCGAGTTTTCATCTCTGCAATTGTGCTGCATACAAGGATACCCGACGAACCAGCGCGACGGGCTGCACGCCAACGCACTCGACCCCGCTAGTCTGTCTTGGGTCGGATGTGTTGGCTGGTCCGAGCCAGCAGGAACAGGCAGCCTGCGGCCAGTTGAAGTAAACAGAACAAGGCCAACGCATGTCGTCCATAATCCAGCGCCAGCCCTGCAAGGAACGGCGACACGGTGCGACTCAGCGACATGACCACTTCTGTGCTGCTAACCACAGCGCCGCGCTGTTTAGGCGTCACCGCTTGTGACACCATTGAGAGGCCCACCGCTGCCATCACGCTACTCGAGAAGGACCGATCGACGCAACATTCGGAGGTGAGACACTGCCAAAAGCGCCCTGACGTAGTCGTCTGCAGCACCAGCGTACCTATTGCCTAGCCGTAGCGGAGCCGAAGCCAGAGTCATGGTCATTGGGCTCCAAGCTGGGCGAACCCAAGCAAGCGACAGCACGGCATGAGCGCCCAACAACAACAACAGGTATTTGAGTCTGCCGCAAGGAGACAAGCTACGCACTGTAGAATACAAAGCAGTAGGACAGGCCCTGCACCAGCAAACTGGGCAGGAACACGGCCGACTCGCTACCAAACAAGCGGACGACGGGACCCACACAGAGCCCAAACACGATGCCTGCCATGACACATCAAGTCGGCAAAGGAAGTGAGCGAGCAGTGACAGACATGTCCCACCAATCGACCAGCACACCAAAGAACAGACTCACCCATAGCACCCTGCGCCGACAACATGAGGCCCAAGACGTGAGGAGAAGGGGCAAATTCTTGCTCAGCAAACGTGGCAAAAACACTCCGTAACGTGACCATGGCCATGTTGGCGCCCAACTGCGCGGCCACCAATCGCCACTGGCCACTGGCCATCACAACCTTGAACATGTCCACCATTGATTCTGCATCAGCATCACAAGGCAGGCACGAGTGAGAGACGGCAGGCGCATCGACCAAGGACTGAACGAGGCGGACAAGCGAGCCACACCACCAGTCCGGCACGAACAAACCCGTGGAACACGCACCAAACTGAAGCCTGGCATGGTCGTAAGCGGTGAGCGGCCCATTGGACGGAGAAATCTTGAACTGCTCGGATGTTTCAGTCTGGTTACCCTGCGATGCTGGCGAGGATGTAGCCGTGGGCTCCTCTGTCTCCAGGGTACGATGGTGTGCAGCCAGTAGATCATGCAGGGCGCGCAACGCCCCCCAGGCAAGTAGTGCGTTAATGGCAAACACACCAGCAGTCAGCATGGCAGCCAGGCGCACACGTTCCACGTCGTGGAACACAAAGCCTCCAATCAGCGGGCCGATGATAAAACCAGCACTGGCCGCGGAGCCAATCCGACCAAGATCACGGGCTCGGGTTGCCGGTGGCGTGATGACGGCCAGGGTTGACTTGGCCACGGTCAAAGTCTGCTTGAAGCAACCTGTGATTACGCGTGCCAGGCCCATGACTGCTAGCGAGTCTGCCGTGCCCAGCAGCGCGTAGCCCACGGCGGAGCCAACCATCGCCACGGTCAGCGCAGCACGAGGGCCGATGGCGTCCCCCAAAAACCCAAAGATGGGACCGCCCACGAGGTTGGCTGTTCCGTAGAGAGACCCCATGAAGCCAATCGCCGAGGCCGAGGCCTGGTGCGAGGAGTACAGTCGCGGCAAGAGCGGGATCAACATGCCCACGGCAGTCATGTCCAGAAACGAGATAAGGGCCAAGATGGCACCAACGGTGCGAACGTCCAATCCCGCCATCTCCACACACACACACACACACTGCACACACACTGCACCCTCCCTTCACTGATCCACACCACCCCCGGGTCGCTTCACATTACCATCGCTCCTTCCCCCGCCCCGAGAGAGATCGAGAGCGGGAGAAAGCGAGAGAGAGAGAGAGAGAGAGTACGACGAGGGATCGAGATCGCCCAGAACCAGGGAGGCTCCCGGAAGCAGAAAGAAAGCGCGTACAGAGAGAGAGAGAGAGAGAGAGCGCGCGCAGTGAGAAAGAGAGAAAATACCCTTATCCATACCAAAAGTGTGAAGGGTAGCACACTTCCGCATACACATGCTGACAATTCTATGAGCACAACACGTTGATGGAGAGAGAGAGAGAGAGAGAGAGGAACGTGTTGTGCTGTGTGTGCGTTGCGGATCGTTCATTTGGACCCGGGAGGTGCTTGGGAGGGGGACAGGTCTTGGGGGGGCACGACGCCGAGAGGGTACGGGCAGGGTGTGTCGTGTTAGGATCAAGGGTTGCGCGTTCTGTCTCTGCCTCTCTTCCTCTCTCCCTCTTTCTCTTCTTTTTTTTTTTTGGGCAGTTGGTGGCTGGCGCCATGGCGTTGGCCACGGCACTCAATGTGTTTGCCGAGGCGCGCAGCGATGAGGTACGCTCCCGTGTTTCTCCCAGTATCCATGCTGCATGCACCTAGCGCAACAGCAACTTCTCTTATTCTCATCCTGACATGGTCTGTGCTCGCTGTGGTCACACTGTGGGGCTTATCCCATTCGTTTCCTTGCAGCAACGGCTCGTGGGGCTGTTGCTACTGGCCAAATGTTCCTGCGACACGTCGGAAGACATTGCGGCCATTGCCGAGACCGTTGGGTTTCACTTTGTGACGCGTCTCCTCAGCACCAAGGAGGACGGTGCCACCATCACGCCTTACCAACGCGTGGCCATTCATGTCCTTGGCATCTATGCTCGAGTCCCGGCACTTGTGGCCGAGGCCGCTTTCATTGATGTATTGCCAGACCTGGTTGCTCTATTTCCAACTGCCAGTTCCGAGCTCATGGGTGATTTGATTCCCATTCTAACCGCAGCGTCCGCCACACCCGAATGCCGGCCGTACCTTGTCCGCCTGGGGCTCGTTGAAAAGTGTATAGCGAGGGCTCGCGAATATCTCCAAGCCTCTGAGGTGCCCGACACTTCTAGCGCGCTCAAGGCGCCCGCAGCCCCGGACGCGTCCGGCAGCTCCATCCCTCAGGCTACAGAGACCGAACCGGGAGCGGACCAAGGATCCCCATCCACAACATCACCTCCAGCCGAAGCCCCAGCTCCAGGGGAGCTCTTGTCACACACCATCTCGATCCTGGCGTGGCTGTGTCAAACGAGCGCAGACGCACAGCTGTACTTGTCGTCGGCACAAGTGTGCCTTGTGCTGGATTTTTTGGCGACAGAGGTGCTGGCGCGCAACGATCAAAGCCTTCCCTTGGGTGTCACGGTGATGCGGGCTTGTCTCGAGGGCGTCATGCGCACGGATGGCGATTCGGTCAAGCGCCAGCGGGTGCAGCGTGACCACGTCTGGCAGCACGGCCTCGCCACCTCCACCGCCCGCCTGCTTCGGAACAAGATTGGTCCGCAACTGCGTAGTGACGTACTGCAGCTCGCGGCCTGTGCCTGCCATCTTTGTCATTTTGCCTGGCTTGCAGCCCCCTCTTCGTCGCCCACTGCCACCTCTGCGCCCAACGCACTCGACACCAAGCAGCACATTGAGCTTCTGCTGCACTTGGCACAAGTGGAGATGCGCGTTGAGCTTGAGCGCGATGAGTTGGAGGCTGTCATGGAACACGCTCCCACCCTCGAGGCCTGCTGCACCATCCTCGTGGACGGCATCGCCCATTTGAGCAGCATGGACGATGGAGACACAAGCGGCAAGAGCAATGCCGCGTCAGGGCCTGCCTTTGATCTTGACCACTTTGATAAGCTCTTCACAGTCATCAAGGTATGTGGTCATCTGCCATCGCAAATGGCCCCCGTGTACGAGCGCCGTCACCTGCTTGCCGTCACGCATCCAGCGCGCTCTCACCAGACAGCCGAGAGCGAGGAGATTGAGTGCTGCGGCAACCTCTAGGTGCATATGGTCGCCGCTGGTCTAATTCAGTGCCGTCTCGTTGTTGGCGCGCGTTCTCGATAGGGTGCGGTGGAAGCAGCGGGCGAGTTCGTGGAGCATAGCCACGATCGGCTCGAGCAGAGTACGACATCGGATGAGCTTTTGCAGAATCAAGCCTACTGGGCATTACTCCAAGCCTGTGTCCGTGTTCTTGGGTCCTGGCTCGCCGAAGACACTGAAATGATGCGCACACAGGCCATCTTTGCTGTGCGATTGGTGACCAAGGCTGCCCAAAACCAAGGTGAGGACGGTACAGCTTCAGCAACGCCCCTCCCCTTCCTTCCTGCTCAAGCACGTGTGAGGCACGCAAACTTTTGTCTTACTGCAAGGCGCAAATGGGTGGTGGTCTGCGTGGTAGAGTTTGAGAGCCAAGCTGAAAACATGATGCTGGAATTGGCTCCCGGCCTGCCTGGCCTCTTGGCGGAGCCAGCCGGCCGAGATGAGCTTTTGGCGCGCACCGAGGCTTGGCCCGTGTTGGCACGAGCGCTACAACCACGCTCCCTTGCCCAGCTCCGCACGTACGTTGAGGTCAAGCAGAGGTTGCTTCGTACAGTCTTTGGGTTGCTGCAACTGGTAAAGTTGCGGGGGATAAGCGTCGTGCTCACATGACTGTGATGCTAGGCACGGTCGGGCCTACTTGGATATATGCCGTGGCCTCCTAGCCTTTTTGTTGGGAATGGAGCGATCCTTGTTGCAAGAGGTTGCCTTGGCGTTTGAAGCCATCGTGGGCGCTGTGGCCTCGCTGCAAACCCTACTCATTCGTCTTCTCAGTGAAGACTTCCAGCCGGGGGCAGCGGCCCTCCTTGTGGTAGCTTGTGCCCTTCAATGGCTTGGGCTGCAAAAGTCGGTGGGATGGCTCTCCGACGAGGCCTCGCGCCTCAAAAATGCCTGGAGCATCTTGCTAGAGGCCACTGCCTTGCTGTTTACCCTACTGGGCGACGAGCAGGTTGCTCCAGCACAGCCACACGCCCAGCTTTGGCTCTCGGCTGCTGTGCGGGAAGACACATGGTTGGTCCTGCGCACGATGAGCGAGGTGTTGGTCGGAGACGGCGCGAGTCAGCCACCGGCCGTGGCAGAGGCTTTGAACAAGACACCGCCCGAGCAATGGAGCACGCTTGCGACGGCCCTGGCCTCGTGGCGACAATCCTTCGCGATGCGCGCCGACGGCGACGACACACTTGATCTGATACAAGCAGCCGAAACGCTGCTGCCGCTGCTGTCAGCTCTCTAGGTTTCGAGTCCGTGCAGAGCAGGGCCACTGTCAAACCCCTTTCGTACAATGCAGTGTGAACACGGACGACAGCATGTCTTAATTGATTCAATCCATCAACTCCAGCTCCCGGCCCTTACTCCCCGTAGCCACTGTCGCCCTTCACTCCCGGCTTCGTCCGCTCCTTTCCTGTACGTACAAGTCTTGTCTTTTATCGAAATGTCAGATAAAGGCCTGAGGGTTGAAAAGTCATCTGATACCGAACTTGTTGTCGATGAAGCGTGAGTTATTGTCGTCTGACATCCCAAAACACTCTACTGCCCATTGTGGATATCAGGTACTTATTGTAGCATGGTGAGCGGTTTCCAGGTTGATGTTTGGAGCGTGAAATTTTCGAGACGGGGGGTGGGGAGCAGTTGGAGGGGCGTTTGTGGGCAGACGGGGAGCGAGGCAGCGGTGCATGCGAGCGAGCTGGCAGACAGCGGGCAGAGCCTCTGGTAGTCAGGTTGCGTATGACTTGACTGGGTAGTGGTACATTGATATCGCATAGCTGTTTGTTGGATGCCGAGTGCTGTCAGGCCATGGGAAACAAGGCGACGCGACAAGTAAGAGCAAGGTGGCGGCGTGCTGCGTGCTGTTGATCGACATCAATGTCCTTTCCTGTCACCGCGGTCTCTGCCTGATTCTCCGGGTGTCTTTCCTTGAAGACCCTCAAGGCTCACGCTTTTATGCATGCTGCGACTGGACGCATTCTGATACAGCCCGCTGTAGGGTACAATGGGGAATTTTTTTTCCAGCCCAGAAGCGACGACAGCGACGAGGAAGTAGAATCGGACGCGGCAGCTGCGGGGCCCAGCCAGCCAGGCAGCCGGCAACGACAACCATCGCACCGAGCTGACCGTTACCCTCGAGGTGAGGCATTTGAAAAGAACTGTCTGCTGCTGGTGGATCAACTTTTGCAGCTCGCAGGGCAGGTGAGGGCATGTGAGCCGCCAGGCAAACCTTGATCGTGTGCTGCTGCTAACTAGAGCGAGCAGCCGGCGTCAATACCAACTTTTTGTCTTCGGAGATTCCGGCTTCAGACCAGCCTCGTCCTCAACGCAGCCTAGCATCTTCCCAAGATGATGCGCTTGACCGTACGTCTTCTCGCCACATTGCTCCCCACCAGCCCGAACGGCGCCTCTCAAAGCTCTTGTGCTTGTGGTTCCATAGAACCTCAAGTGGGCGACGTGTTTGTGGGTGTTTACAACTTTCAAGGCCGGACTGAACCCGAGCTCTCCTTTGAGCGTGGCGAGAAGCTTACACTGCTCCGGTCAGTGCAACCGAGGTGTCGCCTGACCTCAGACCTCTCAGTCCATGCAGTGTACTCATTTCCGTGCACGCCGCGACGAGGGAAGCGTAGACTTGATGAGAACTGGTGGCTGATGAGGTCACAGCGCTCTGGCAAGGAGGGCTACGCTCCCAGCAACTACATTGCACCGTTTAAAGATATCAATCGCAATCCTTGGTATCACAGCAACGTGCGTAAGCCCCCGCCCTTGTTGCGGCATCCCTGAATCTGCGCAACACCTGTTGTTCCTCCCGGATGTCATGACATGCCTGACTCTGGGCGCTGGTCTCCGGAAATGGAAAATTAGATTTCGCGCAACACCGCAGAGTACCTCTTGAAAAGTGGCGTTGACGGATCCTTTCTTGTGCGCGAGTCCCTCAGCAGTCCTGGGGAATATTCCATCACGCTCCGCTGCGATGGAAAGGCACGTCTGTGCATTGGGCAGCCACATTCCTACGTCTGTGCTGCTGCTGCTGCGTGCGCGCAGCACAATTAATCATGCCTGCTTTCCATGATGGTGGGTGTTGCAGGTGACACATTATCGCATCAACCATGATGCCCGGGGCTATTTTGTGGCTGCTGGCAAGTTCTTTGCCACGGTGGAGCAACTGGTGGCGCACCATGCCGTGGTTGCCGATGGCCTTGTGGCCTGTCTCAAGGTCTGTTTGCCAAGGGACAGGCTTGGAAGCACTCCTTTCTGCCTGAACCACGCCTTCTGGTTGCCACTTCAATTCACATGGTCCACCGTCTCATTTCGTCACAGCATCCCGTGGAAAAGGCCGAGGCCAAGCCATTGGTCCTGTCAAAAGAGGAAGACGAACAATGGGAGATTGCACGATCAGAGATCGTCTTGGGGCATCGCCTGGGCGTATGTGAATCGGCTCTTGCTCAGAACTCATGGCAATGCCTTCTTTTGACTGCGAAATCACGCTTGTCAGCCCTGATCTGTGACACTCCTGCATGGGATGGCGAGCAGGAGGGCCAATACGGTGAGGTGTACGTGGGCGAGTGGGGCCCCCATCGTGTGGCCATCAAAACCATCAAGGATGGTGCTATGGAGGCGAAGGACTTTATGAAGGAGGCTGACATTATGAAGCGGGTACGTTGGTGAACCCAGGAAGAAGACCCGGCAGGATGGTGGCACTCTCACACTGCGGGCTGCGCACCTGCAGATGCGCCATCCCAACTTGGTGCGACTGCTGGGCGTTTGTACGCGAGGCGGACCCCTATTCATTGTGACCGAGTTTATGAACAACGGCAACCTGCTAGACTTCTTGCAATCTGAGCGCGGCCGTGCCGAGGTCAGCACCACTGTCCATCTCCCTTTGACGTGATTGGCATGGTTGCAAATCACGTCATATTCTCATCAACCTATCCTGGCTTTGCCCAGATTGACCCCACCTCCATGATGCATTGCGCCCTACAAATTGCTGAGGGCATGAGCTTTTTGGAAGAAAAGCACTTCATTCATCGGTGGGTACCACGGCTGGCTCAAGGGGGTCCAGCCAACAATTGGTGAGATGGTATGGCGATTTGGGTGGTTGTATTCATGCTGTCGCTGTGATGCACGCAGGGATTTGGCAGCGCGCAACTGCTTGGTTGGCGATAATTTGCAGATCAAGTTGGCCGACTTTGGTATGTCTTGCGCGAATGGGTTTAGTGCAACAATGTTCAAGTCATGTGCCCTCGATCTTCAAATTCACAGTCCACTTGTGCGTTGGGCGAAACCGAACCCACTCGCATCAACAGGCTTGGCTCGCTTTGTCAGCAGTGATTTCTATGAAGCAGCCATTGGCAGCAAGTTTCCCATCAAGGTTGGCTGGCCTTGTCTTGCCGCATTTGGACGGCGATGGGTATTCGGGCCAAGTACCCCAGCATCTGGTGTCCCTTGGCAGCGCGCACTCGTTGCCAACGCTACAGGTCTCATTGTGTGGTGGTGTGGCGCAGTGGACGGCACCCGAGTCTTTGTCGCTGGCCATCTTCACCATCAAATCAGACGTTTGGTAAGAATTCCAGAGTCGCAGCACGGCGCATAGGGCCGCAAAATTCACTGTTCATGAGATCCCCTCACCGGCAAATGCGATTTGTTATTTTAGGGCTTTTGGTGTGACTTTATGGGTATGCTGTGCATCTTATATCGGGCATGCGCGCAGCGAGATGCAGTTGCACAGCTGCATTGGAACCGCCCTCCGGTGAGCCTGTCTTGAACTGACATTGACCGTGAACTCATTAGGAAATTGCCACCTACGGCTCAGCACCGTATCCCGGGATTCACCACAGCAAGGTGTTGGACAAGCTCATGATGGGCTATCGCATGCAGCGGCCCGAAGGTTGCCCCATGGAAATTTATAACATTATGCTTCAATGTACGTTGTGGTTGCGCCATGCTGTACCGTTGGGGCTATGCGTGCGAATAGCCATTCACGCATGGGTTCTGCTCTGCGTGTGCGTGGGGACTGAATGCAATCACAGGTTGGGATGTCAACCCCGACCTGCGACCATCATTTCACAAGCTCAAGCGTCAGCTGCAAAGTTTGTATGGCAATAGCAGCATCGAGGCCGAGGTGAGTGGCTCCTTGCAATCAACGTGGGGGACGTCTTTCACACTATATTGCAGTCCCAGCTCACGGCCAGAGTTCCGTCTGCAGGTGGAGAAAACACTGAGCCTTGAGCGCGGTGTTTCATTGGCTTCGGCAGAAGCCATGTTGGAAAACGACCCGAGCGTAAGTTTTGTCACCTCACACGTTGTGTGTGTGTGTGTGTGTGTGTGTGGGTGTGGAGGGGGAACGTCACGGGTGTGGTTTGATGGTCGTGCGGTTGGCATACACGGTTTGCTCACATTTGGGTTGACACAGTTTCCTACCAGCGCGCCAGCGGATGCTGTCCGTGTCGGTGTCTCTGAGGGTGCAGAGATTCGCGATCTGACCAAGCGCATTATGACTCAGGTGCAGTCGTTGCATCCCTTGCTCGGTGGCGGCGGTGCACATGTGTATGTGGTTTCTGAAGCAAGCATTGCCATGCTTTGAACACAACTGGTTAGGCATGTTTTCTGCTGGAGAACCAAGAGACATCCGAGTTTCTCAACCGTCTCAACTTGCTCATCGTGGACACACAACAGCTGATGGGTGCTTGCGGGTACGTTTATTTTGTCAAGTTCATCGGGTGCTCTGGCTCCAAGTGAAGCGCTTCGACTGGATTGTGTTGCCGAGTCATTGCACGATACGCGCTTGGTTGGCAGTGCTGTGCTTCAAAAAGGCCAAAACGTTGAGGCGGACCAGGCCATGGATTCGTTGCGACGACGCTTGCAAGCCATCAATGTGGCAGCAATGCATCTTTCGCAGCATGTGTTGAATGAGGAAGGCTTCAATCAATTGCTGATAGGATTGCAAAAGGTGGCTGGTGCAGCAAAGGCGGTGGCTCAAGCTGTCAAAGCGAGCAGTTGACCACTGCAGGTGTGCGCAGCGCGTGCAGAGCGTCCACAATGCTGTGGTTTTTCTTGACGACGGAGTCTTCGGCTGCATTGTGCGATGTCCCTGCGAGTGCTCGTTCAGTTGATGACGACAAAGATGAATTGATAGATGACGAATAATGACTAGCTCTGCGTGGGTGTGCCCTGGGCTCGAGCCACATGTCTAACACTCCTTGCAGTTCGGGACGATCCTAGACTGTGATATCAAACAGAAAGTTGGAGCCCAATTCGCTGAGACGCTTGTGCGCTTGAGCGTAGGCGTGAAAGAAGGCGTCTTGATCGCGTGCAAACTCTTCGAAATGGGGCCGAAAGCGTGGGTCCTCGTGCAGGGCCTGGTCCGTGGCCATCCATAACAGCTCTTCGCGTGGCTGGCGCAGGCTCTGTGGGTGAAGAAGTGGCGGTGAAAGGTCAAGGTGAAGAAAAAACGGCTTCAATGGTGCCCCACTCAGCTCGATCACAGCATAGCAAGTCGTGCGAAGACAGAAACGAGGGTCCGGCAGCGCACGCGCGCGCAAAATACGGGGCGAGGAGTGCCGAGTACCTCGATAAAATAGCTGTTGTCGAAAGTGAGCCAGTTGGGAGTCCATGAGCGACCGCCTATGTGTGTGTGTGTGTGTGTGTGTGTGTGTGTGTGTGTGTGCCCAAGATGGGCATTCAATGCATATGAGAAGCGTGCTTGGGGTTAAGCGCAGGGTCGAACCCAGCAATTTTTCGAGGGGAACTCGGCGTTGGCAAGTGCAACCAACCTGGCATGCCCACGCCGGCACGGCCATCAGCGCGAGCAACGGCTGAGCTCTTGGTGTATCGAGTAGCTGCTTCATCGCCATACCCGTTGTTGGTGACGCCCGAGCGACCCTATTGGCAGGCAAGGATGGTGAGAGGAACCATCAAGACGCAGATGATTGGTGGGCGGCGAATCGAGGGCTGTCGGCTTACTTTGAAGGCACGTCCAATTGTGTGCGCACCACTGAGGGCTACAATGTCCCGGTCATTAAACCCCATGCGCTCAAACACCTACGCACGCGCCATTATAAAGAAAGGATGCACATAGGCTAAAGATTGAGGCGGGCAGGCCGGCAGCATACCTGGCGCAAGTGTTGAGCGGGATTGGAGGCCATGGCATCGGGAAGATTGCCGTCGACGGCTGCAGCCTCGACATCAACGCGGCCATAGCGCATGGCCAGTTTGGGGCCACCAGCGAGCTCAACCGCGAGTGCCCCAGCCATTTGGATGGCATCGGCCCACGAGACGGGTGAATGCTTCTCGACGAAGGGGCGCAAGAAGGTGATGCCTTTGCTAAGTCCTATGTGCCCCTCGTTGAGCGGGTGAGCGAGGCAGACGAAACAGGCGGCAGTGTGTACAGACGGGACAAAAGATGGCACAGCGCTTGGGGGGTTGGTGGGTTCAGGGCGTGGGGACCCACCGGCGTTGGCGCCATGCCCCATCTCCTCCTGAAGGCGAATGCTGCCATTGGCGCCCCCACAGCGGTCCGATGGGGCTGCGATGAGTCGTGGCACAAACGGGTCGGTCAAGCCAAGAGGGCGTCAATCAAACGAGAAAGGCGTCGGGTCAGTGGCGGTCAGCGGATAAAGTAACTGGGGACCATGCATTCACTCCAACTCACCGTGGCGATCAAAGGTACCAGCATCGTGCCAGGCAAGGCGAAGGAGGATGGGGTGGCAGTTCTTCTCGTTAATAAAGGCGGCAAGATCTACTTTGAGCGCTTTCAGCTGATTCCGACGACCAATTGAGTTGTGAGACATTTAGGGCAACACAGCGGCAGACAAACGCAAGGTAGCGGCGAAAAGGCGCCCCAGGTCATCCATCGTCAAGAGAAGAGCGTCGTACCTGGCGTTGGTATGTCTCCGGGGTGATGGCGGCCGCCGCTTTGGTCCGATACCACCGATCTGTTTGAGGATCAGCGCCCATGGGGGCCGCTGCATGAAAGTCGGCCCGCCAGGGCTGAGGCTGTACATGGCGCAGCAGCACGCGCGCGCGCGGGGGCAGCGCTGTCGGCGCCGGCGCGGTTCCGTCGGCCATCGATGCGATACAGCGACAAAGATCACACTTTCAAAGTAACAAGCGAAAGCAGTGAAACGTTTATTTCGTGAGTCTCTGTTTTTGGGTCGCTGGTAACGGATATTTTTGTATTGTGTCTGGACAAGAAACCGTACCAAAACAATTGTATTCTTTTCCTTGCCTCGCGACCGTGTTGAACGACAAAACCCGTTTCTTTTGTTCTCCCAAAAAGAGAGAGAGAGAGAGAGAGAGAGAGAGTGAGAGAGAGAGAGAGAGAGAGAGAGAGAGAGAGAGAGAGAAAGAGAGAGAGTGAACCGTCAACACACACACACACATGCGTTCGCACACACACACATGATTCTTTTGTATTATTTTTTCTGTGTGTGTGAGAGAGAGAGTTTTTTTTTTTTTTTTTTTCGGGGTGAAAAGACTGGTGAGTCGGTGGCGGTGTGGCGGTGGGGGCAGGGGCGGTGTGATGGCAGTGGGGGCGGTGGAGGGGGGAGGGGGGCCTTGGGGTCAAAGGCAGGATCAGGCGTAGGCCATGGTACTGGGGGTGGGTAGCGAGCTGATGGTTGACGATTTGCATTTCTCACTTTTTTTTTTTTTTTTCGTGCGCGGCTCGAGATAGCAACGACCTGCGCTTGACTCGACGTCGTTCCATCTCTCCCGTCTCGCGAGAATCTTGGACCAAGTAGCACAGAACAGACATAATGGCTGGTCGCGGTGGTTTTGGCGGTGGCATGATGCCGGTATGTATGCTTGAGGGAGAATTGTGTGCTTTCTTTTTGCTGCCGGGCCTAAATAGTCTTGGGCCAAAACCGAAGCGCGTTTTTTTTTTTTGTGGCCTTTGCCATGGCTTCACTCTTGGAGCTGCCGCCTGGGTGGTCCCTCGTCCTTCTCCCACACACTTCTTTTTCCTCTCTCTTGTACCTCCCTCCCCCTTTTGTTTTCTTTTTGGGTGCTCTTCCTTGTGCGGCGCTTTTCACATAAGCCTTTGGCAGCACCTGTCATGTATCCCTGATGACCGTTTCTTTCTTGACCCGTTGGTTCCCACAGCAACCGGGCATCATCCTTCTGCGCGAGGGCACGGACACGAGCCAGGGTAAGGGCCAGCTTATCAGCAACATTGGCGCTTGCCAGGTCATTGCGGACGCTGTGCGCACCACGCTTGGCCCTCGTGGCATGGACAAGCTCATCATTGACCAGCGTGGTCAGGCCACCATCTCCAACGATGGTGCCACCATTGTTAGCCTCCTCGACATTGTGCACCCCGCTGCGCGGACGTTGGTGGACATTGCAAAGTCGCAGGACGCCGAGGTCGGCGATGGTACCACCTCGGTCGTGCTTCTGGCTGCCGAGATGATGCGTCAGTGCAAGCCCTTTATCGAGGACAACGTTCACCCGCAGATCATCATCCGAGCCTTCCGGACAGCCACCTCCCTGGCTCTCGAGAAGATCAAGGAAATGGCTGTGGGCATTCCCAAGGACGACAAGGAACGTCTTCGTCAGCTGCTCGAGAAGTGCGCTGCCACCACCCTCTCCTCCAAGCTTGTGGCCCGTCAAAAGGACTTTTTCAGCAAGCTCGTCGTCGATGCCGTCCTTCTCCTGGACGATCTCCTGCCTCTGAAGATGATTGGTATCAAGAAGGTTCAGGGTGGTGCCCTCGAGGACTCGGTTCTCGTGGCTGGTGTGGCTTTTAAGAAGTCCTTCTCTTACGCTGGGTTTGAGATGCAGCCAAAGTCATACGAGGCGCCCAAGATCGCCCTTCTCAATGTCGAGCTCGAGCTCAAGAAGGAGAAGGAAAACGCAGAGGTGCGTATTGACAATGTCAAGGAGTACCAGGCCATTGTGGACGCCGAATGGGAAATCCTCTACGACAAGCTGCGCAAGATTGAGGCCTCGGGTGCCAAGATTGTGCTCTCCAAGCTGCCCATTGGCGATGTGGCCACTCAGTGGTTTGCCGACCGCGACATCTTCTGCGCGGGCCGTGTGGCTGAAGACGATCTCGATCGCACCGCCAAGGCTTGCGGTGGTCAAGTTCAGACCTCCGTCAACAACCTCTCTGACAACGTCCTGGGTACCTGCGAACACTTCCAGGAGAAGCAGGTCGGCGGCGAGCGCTACAACTTTTTCAACGGTTGTCCCAAGGCCAAGACCTGCACCATCTTGTTGCGTGGCGGCGCGGAACAGGTGCGTTGTTCATGTCTTGTGAGCCTAGCCGGTTTTTGTTCCGTTTCTTTTTCGTTGTTCGCCCAGAGTTTCATCTCATTCTGCTCGGCGCCTTTTTGTTCCTTAGTTTATTGAGGAGACACAGCGTTCGCTCCACGATGCCATCATGATTGTGCGTCGTGCCATCAAGAACGATTCGGTTGTGGCTGGTGGCGGTGCCATCGAGATGGCTCTCAGCAAGTACTTGCGCGATCACTCCCGCACCGTCTCGGGCAAGCAGCAGCTGATCATTGCCGCATATGCTAAGGCGCTCGAAATTATCCCCCGTCAGCTTTGCGACAACGCCGGTTTTGATGCCACCAACATTCTCAACAAGCTGCGTCAGCGCCACGCGGCCGGTCCCTGCTGGTATGGTGTCGACATTCGCTCCGAGGACATTAGCGATAACTACGAGTCGGCCGTCTGGGAGCCCTCAATTGTCAAGATCAATGCCTTGACTGCGGCTGCCGAGGCCTCATGCATGATCCTTTCCGTCGATGAGACAGTGACTGCGGAAAAGTCACAAATTGCTGGTGCACAAGCCCAGATGGGTGGTCACCCCGGCATGATGCGTGGTCGCGGTCGTCCCATGTAAAAATGTTTCCCACGACTACCAACATGACACGTGATTTTTGACGCTGCGCCGTCCCTCCTCGTTGTGTAGCCCTTGTTGCCTACCCCATTCATCCACCCTTCGTGCGGGCCTGCGTCGTCCCGCCACGGGCCTGAGTGGGTGCTTGTGATCAAGCGCCTCTTCTTGGAACCCAATACTCGCCTTTGCTTCTACTCGCACATCACTGTGCCCTCTCTTGAACAATCACCATCAATTGAAAGACAAACATAAACCCCCTCGCTTTTCTGCGGACAATTAAAAAACAAATAAAACTCATACGAGATGATGGTGTTGCCACGGAGGAGGAGGGGTGGGGCGGGCACGACCCTGCTGTTGGCGGCTGCCATTGCCTGGTTCTGGCACTCTTCCCGACAGCCGCAGGTAGTCGGTACTTCTACCGACGCGGGCCCACAAATCTTCTCAGCTACCCAGTTGCGAGCGTATGACGGAGTGCACAACCCCCAAATCTACTTGGCCATCTTTGGCGAGGTCAGTCCTGCTCTGCTGCCCGACCGCCACCGTATTCTTGTTCGTGACATGGCGCGGCGCTGGTCATCTCCAGGTCCACCAGGACCTCCAGCATCTTGATGCCAGACTGGCGCATGATGCTGATGCCGTCGACGGCTGACGCAGGCCATGGCACGCGGGCTAGGTGTTTGAGGTGTCGGCGGGTGCGCGATTTTACCGCGGTGATGCCGAGAGCGACTATAGTGTTTTTAGCGGGCGAGTACGTGGCACAGTGGCGGCTGATGCCTGTGGGTACATGCTAGGGACCGACTTTTTCAGCCTCATAGCGCGTGCACGTGTGTGTGTGTGGCATCTTCAGGACGCCTCAGCGAGCTTCGCCACGGGTGAATTCGATCCCGCAAAGCTAGGCACGCCGCGTGATGTCAGCTCCCTCACACTGCAACAGGTGCGCATGGGCCAATCTTTTCGTTGAGCCTGTTGGCGCAAAGCACTACTGCGTATCATTTTGCTTGTTGGTGGCAAAGCCTCCGCACTTCTCATGCAATGTTTGGAATAGCTGAGTGCCATCGAGCATTGGCGCACATTTTATCATGAGCACGCAGAATATAAGTTTGTAGGTACCCGACACCTTGGCTGAGCCATTCATTTTTGGCAGAAACCTTTCACTGGCTTGCCAAATCTTGCAGGTTGGCTTGGTCTACGAGGAAGAAGAGATCGGCTTTTACACGCCAGCGGGCGAACCAACTCCCCTCTTGCTCGAAGTTCGGGCGCGTCTCAAGGTGCGTCGCGGCACCAGCGCATACATAATGGGCAGCCACGCTTCATAACTCACCGGACCAAGCTTCCTGATTTGGAACAGGACGTTGCGCGCGCAAAGAAAGAAGAGGAGTTGGAGGCCGAGCGATATCCGCAGTGCAACTCCCGATGGCAGTCAGGCAAAGGTGGCTTCTTCTGGTGCGACGTGACACGCGTCCCTCGTCAGGTCTGATCCTCGCACCTCGCTAGCCTTTGACACACTGGTTCTTTTGCTGAGCTAGCCTCGGCCTATGCTCATTGTCACATCCATCTTAGGTTCCCATACAAACCAATCCTTCCCAAACGCGGTGTGCATGTTATCCCTTGGCAGACGCTCAACGCTTAGGACTTCAGGTAAGATCAGGACCAGACGCCCATGTTGTTTGTTCTGCTCAAAAACCCGCTGAGCTTGCCGCGCTGCGTTTGATTCGTGCTCGCGCATCCCCTGCTCTTTTTGTAGCCTTACTCTACATGTGAAGTGGATGACAGTACCTGTCCAATGCCTTCATAAAAGAGAAGGCCTGGGCACGGGGATAATTGTAATTGAAGTAGTTCAATAAGGTCTCAAAAGTCACTCACGACGTGTTTGGTTCGATGCCGAGGCCACGAAGAACGATCTCGGCTCTAGACATTTACTGGGTAGATACAAACTTCGCAACCGTCCAGATATGCTGCATGGACGCTAACCCTTGGGCGAAGCAGCTTCGGCTCATTGCTGCAAGGCCGCTAGTGCCGTCGTGCACCGAGATTGGATTTCCTATACCACACAAAAGCAAACACAGACACACCGAGGCGTTCAGTTGGGGACACATCCACAGCAGTGCCAATTGGCAAGCAGGTTGAACACGCGCAAGCATGGTGCTCAAACCTTATCGGTCGGGTGCTGTGCCTTGAGAGTCATGAGAAGCTCGGTAAAGTTACTTTCCACCAGCACCTCGGCGCTGTCACCTGTGCCCAATTTACAAACCACAAAAAGTCAGACCGAATCACACTCACGGTTTGCGCAGTAGCATGTTGTCTATCCACGGGTGGGCTGAGGGCTGCTCTCGGTGTGCACGTACGGTGGTCAGCAATTTCTGCAATGACTCCCACCAGCGCCTCGATAACCGGGGCCTCGGCTTTGTAGTGCTGCGCCGTGTCGATGAGCGTTTGCAAGCCATCAACACCCTCATCGCGATCCAAGACACACACGGTGCAAGATTCTGCGCGTGCAGGGGGCGCGTTGGCACAAGTGACTGAGTGACTGGGCGCACACCCCCTACCTCTGAAGGGACCTGGGGCGAGATCGCCCTGAGGAATTGAAATAAGGGAGCTGACCTTCAACAGCCAGGGCAGCCAACGCCTGCAGTGCTTCCAGAGTAAGTTCTTGATGCTCCTACGGCAATCGCAAATGACGGGCATCGAGGTTGCCATGTGAATCACGGCGTTAACAAAAGTTTGAACGCCCGCACGTTACGACTTACCAGGCCGTGGTTGCGGAGGGCCATCAGAATCATCGTTACACCCCCTTCATCCACGAGATCGTCCACAATCTCATCCACGGCAGACAAGGTCCTAGAGAGGGGTGCAAAACATGACGGGCAAGTGTATGAGATGACAGACATGTGGATCAAGAGCAAGTGAAGACACAGTCAAAAGCAGAGAGGTCGTCTTCTGAGCCGGAATTACCAGATTGCTGAGATGGCAGCTGTGATGGTGGGCACTTCTTCGCTGTGCGTATGAAGAATGTTAATAATATCTTGAATGCCGCGTTCTTCCGCTACGATGCGCCCATTTGCCTCTGCATCATACGGATTTGTGAGGACACGCCAATCTTTTTGCCGATTGAGTTTCCAGAGAGCCAAGACACAACGAAATCCGAACCATGCAGCGAGAGGCTCCACAGGGCCAGACAGCCATCCTTGGCAAGGCTGGCGCTATCAATGTTGTCGCGAATGGCTGCGAGGACATCCTGCACAGCGCCTTGCTGGATACGGCAGATCCAGCCAAGCACAAGTCAAGCAAGCAAACGCCGTGAGGTGCGTTGCAGAAACAGCAAAAAAAAAAAAAAAAAAAAAGCAGGCCCCAGCGACGAAAGCAGCTAAACCAGGACGCAGGAAAGCTTCTGTAACGCCATCCTTTGGTTTGCATTGCAGAGACTGACCTCACCCAGCAACTTGGCTGAGTTCTCTTCCGTGGCCATGACCGTAATGAGCTGGCATGCAACCTACAACGTGCGGTTCGCGGCAGGATTCCGGTTTTTATGCCTTGAGTTGGGTCCGGAGCATGGCACCTGGGAGGTGAACATGCTTGCTACCAATAATTAAATCACACACCTGCTGAAGTGCGCTGACAGCATGCGAGCGCATGGCTTGGAGCACATGGCGCACAACTTCGACGGTACGGTACTATGCGGCGCAGCAAAGAACGGGGCAGAACGCTGGCATGATGACAAGCATTCGAGAACTCAGAGGGTTGCATTTGGTTTCATTAGGTCGGGGGATGAGGGTCTACCTCGGGGTCCGAGTCCTTGGCTTGCATCATAGCCACCAAGGCTTGGCAAGCTGCAGTCTGCACCCACACATTGTTTTTAAAATCATGCATGGCCTCGAGGACAGCAGCGAGCATCTCGGTGGTGAACTCTTGCTCTACACAAAGTCACATACAAGGGCATGCGTACAGGGTGCACCAACGTCACATACAAGAACATGAGTACATGGCTCACCAAGATCTGCAATAGCTCAGCGGCTGCGCCACCAGTGATGAAACGGAAAGGTAACAGAACACAGGGACAGAGATCGCGCAACAAGGGCCTAAAACGTACGGACGGAGGAGATGAGGCGCGCTGCTTCTTCAAGCGCGGCCACTTGGCAGCCAACACGCGTGTCGTTTTTCTTCATGAAACTAGGAAGCTCTTCCACCTTGCTGGGAATGCGCTTGGTTGTGGTTGGTTTGGCGCCGGAGGCTTCCGACTCACCCGACAAGCAGTCTTTGCGGACCTATTCAAGCCAAGCATAGAGGCCAGGGGCGCCCGGCGCAGAGCCAATGAAGCCGTGGGTCTGGAACAAGCGTGTTCATCGGGGGCAAGCAAGGGGGCTTGCATCATACCAGCTCGGACTTGGAGAGGGACAGGCAACTCTGCACAAACATGAGCGCTGTCAGGTCTTTCGCGCTCGGGCGTTGGTGAAAGTTTCGCCGCAACATGGCACGAATGACTTGGCAGAGCTCGCGACTGTAGGTCTTGTTAATCTCCTGAAGAGCATCCTCAAGACGTGCTGGTTTGTGCTTGACCTCAAACAGGAGGCTCTGAGCTTGCGAGTGCTGGAAAAGAAGCCCGAGGCGGTGAGATGAAGCGAGCACGGGCGAAGTACAGCAGCCGCACTTGCGCTTACATCAAGAAAACCGCAGGTGCTTGCGTCAAGGAGAATGCAGCCCAGAGACCAGATATCTGAGGTTTCATTGTACGGGCGCTCCAAGACTTCCGGAGCCATGTAGTTGACCGTCCCAACTGCGAGCGACAAAGGTCAGATGGTGAACGTCAGAACAAAACTCCAAAGAGCGACAGCCAGTCGCGGGACAGCTCTGTGAAAATCGATTTCTGCCTGACCTGTGGTGCCTGTCTTGGTGCCTTGCATGACGGTGGCGACACCAAAGTCTCCAATCTTGATGTCAAGCTCATCGCTCATGAACATGTTGCTAAGCAAACGCCAAGCAATGTGTCACCAATAAAATAAAAATAGAGCAATCCCCCTCCCCCCCTTCAAAAAAAAAAAAAATAAGCCGGCTGGCTGCCCATCTTACCTGGGCTTAAGATCGCGATGGACCACCTGTGCGGGCAAGGCGAACGGGATCCCAAGTGTCATGAGGAACGTAAGGCAGGAATGCAAGTGCATCCAGATTGGACCGGAACCATTTACAAAACAGGTTAATGGGGGCACGCATGTTTTTCCAATCAATAGTGAGCCGGCTCGCACCTTTTGAGAGTGGATGAAAACAAGCGCTTCGACCATTTGGCCAAACCATTTCTTCAAAATCTTCTCGGGAATTGCCTTTTCCTTGGAGCGGTATTGCTTGATGACATTGTCCAAATCGCCTATCGCATGAAGTCAAGTGCACGAGTTGGCCCTGGGACGTGTGATCAGGTCAGACGCGAAGACACGATACGCACCGGCCTTGTAAAAGTCCATGACGATACACACAAACATGGATGTTTTCTATGCGCACGATGAATCGTGTCGAGAGTGAGGCGCAGCCAGGAGACAATACAAGGCAAGTCAATCGGACAAGGCGGCGTGCGCGTGTCACCTCGCGATCCCAGTTGACAAAGAGTTCACGATAGCCACAGATGTATTTATGTTTGAGCTTTTCAAGGGCCATGGCCTGCCCGTGTCCACAGTCAGGGTTGCAAGCACGGCGTCCGGATACACGCAGGAGGGCGTGAGACGAAAACCAGAGAAACTACAATCCATCCGACCATCTCAGCAGGGTGGGCACGTTACGCGGAGGTACCTCGCGAAAAGCTTTATCTGCTTCAGCTTCATCATTGCACTCGACCATCTTCATGACACACTGCTCACCCGTGCGCTTGTCCGTGACCAGGTAAACGGCACCCTGCGCACCCTTGCCGAGACGCTTGTGGACCTAAGGTGTGCATCAGCCAGGCAAAGGGTTCAGGCCACAGAGAAGAACAGGGTTGGCGTCTGAGTGCAGTGGTGGATTGAAAAAAGGTGGTGCTGGTGCAGATACTAGGCATTTCTGTCGTGCCAACGAGCAACGTACATCATATTGATCCATGATCGCGGCAGCGCCTAGCACGTCTGATGTGTGCAGCGCGGTGGCACGAACTCGAGCCGAGAGGAAGAGCGCTGGTCGCGAGGCTTGTACTGATCGGCTGGTGAATGAGGCACAGAAGTGACTATCGGGCGTTGTACCATGTATGACGTGAGAGGCGAATGTACATCAATCCTGCTTGTGTGAGCGCTGACTGGTGCGGCGATCCCTCCCTGTCAGGGTCGACGGTAAAGACCACCACCCCTCAGAGAGAAGTCGGGGAACGAACCAAAAACAACACAAATCAAAGAAGAAAAGCAGGTATAGAAGAACCAGGCCAACCAAACGCAGATCAAGAGACAGGGCAAGCAGGCGGGCCACCAGCCAGGTAGACAGGCGGGAACACGACGCTGCCATTCACTCACATGTCAAACTGCAAAAAAAAAAAAAAAAAGTCGTGTGTGTGTGTGTGTGTGTGTGTGTGTGTGTGTGTGTGTGTGTGTGTGGTCGTCAAGGTCATAGCCGCTACCAGCCGTAGTTGATACTCGGAAGAAACCCTTTTGTCTTTCATTCTCATCCCTTGCTGCCTCTCTCTGTCTCTGGAGCCCATTGTATTTCCCTCTGTCTCTGTCACTTTGTGTCTCTGTCCCTGTCTCCATCTCTGGCCCAGTCTCAGTCTCAGTTTTTTTTTTTTTTTTTGAGCAGGTGAGAGAGCCTGATGGGGATGGTGGAGGTGGTGGTCTCTGGGCAGGGCTGGCTGGCTGGTTTGGGTTAAAGGGTGTATGTTGTTGGTGACTGTTGTGCATGTGAATGGAGGCAGAGATTGGTAGACGCATGGTTGTTGTTTGCAGCCACTCGTGCATGAGCTCGCCCTGCTGCATCCGTTTGACGCGTCAGTGGAGGCGGTGGTGCTTTTGCTCGCCGAGTTCAAGTATCAGCCGCTGCTCATGTTTGTGGGCGTGTGCGATTTGACGCCCAAATCAGTTTTAGGCAGACTGGAAAGATGAGCACCCCGCGAGGCATGATGAACGTGGCGCAATGCCGGGCGTTGATCGAATCGACCAAGCTCTTTGTATTCGATTGTGATGGTGTCATTTGGCGCGGCGCCACGCTCATTGATGGCGTGGCCGATGCCCTGGATGGCTTGCGTCGACACGGAAAACGAGTGGCGTTTATTACAAACAACTCGACCAAGACACGCGCCAACTTTGTAAAAAAGTTCCACGGTCTCGGCCTCACCTGGGTTGAGCGCGATGACGTTTGGTCATCTGCTTCGGCCGCAGCTGCCTATCTCACTCAACGGGCCAAGCTTGACAAAAGTCGCAAGGTGTACGTCGTCGGACAGAGTGGGCTTTGTGAGGAGCTTTGCGAGGCTGGCTACACTGTATTGGGTGGACCGGACGACGAAGGCAGCAGTGTATTCCCTGTTCCAGAGCGCTTTGAGGTTGACCCGGCGGTTGGAGCCGTTGTCGTCGGCTTTGATCGTGCCATCAACTACTACAAGCTGGCTTACGCTACCATGTGCGCGCGAGAGAATAAGGACTGTCTCTTCTTGGCCACCAACCGCGATGCCATCACTCATCTCAATGACGAACAAGAGTTTCCGGGCGGTGGAACCATGGTGGCAGCGCTGGAGACAGCTATCGGGCGTGCACCCGAAGTCGCAGGCAAGCCCTCGCCTTTCTTGGTTGATGCACTTTATGCCTTCCATGGTCTGGATCGTGACTCGGCGCACGCCGTCATGGTCGGAGACCGGCTGGACACGGACATTATCTTTGGTAACACGAATAATATGGCAACGCTTTTGGTCATGAGCGGGGTCACGCGTCAGTCGCATGTGGATGCCACCCAGCCCGGAGAAGATGACTATCCCACTTACATTGCTCCCTCGCTCAAGCTGTTGGCTGATACCTTGGCTGAAATGTAAAGACAGTCTTCTTCTTCTGCTTCTTCCTCGTATGTACGACAGTGGAGTTTTGAGGGGTGACGGTGACCGGTGCTCAAGGTGTTCGGTCACGCTAGGATCAATGAATTTAGCAATTGATTATGAAACGACAACCCTCCAATAACTGAGCACGATCAGGGCCTGTTGCCGCAAGAGTGGGGTGAAGCACGACAGCGTTGGTTGTGATGAATACGGTTGGTGGCGGTAGCTCTGCTGAGTTTAGCCTGATTCGGGTACAAGACGGGGAAACGGTTTGTCTTCTGGGTATTGGAGCCAGTTGTCAGAAGCATAAACCGTGTCCTGGGACTCGATGGCGTGGAAGGTGTAGGCGTGGCGTGACCGCGCACTTTTGTTCGGGTCACTGCGATGCACCACCTATTGAGGACAAAGTGGGCGTGGGCTAGCTGGTTAGCGTGGGCGGGATGGGCTGCTGGGCGGGTCATTGTTGGCCCTGGTACGTACCGAGCCGTGAATAATGACGAGAGATCCCATGGGCGTTTCGCAGGCTTGAAACTCCTCAGGGGGTGGGGCGAAATACTGGCCCGTGAAGGTGGTGCCCAGCACGCCGGATTCGTTAGTGCTTCGGACCATGCGACGATCTCCGAGGAGACCCTGATGGTGAGAGCCTGGAACCATCTGTAAGCACCCGTTCTCCCGGTCACAATCCTATTTGACAATATGAAATGCGAGATCAGATGAGCGCGGATGTAGAGGGAAAGAGGCAAGAGAGTTTGAGAGAGAGAGAGGGGGAGGAGGGTGAAAGAGCTGGCGAGGTCAGGGCTGATGAGGTCAGGATGTCTTGTCCAGCGGGTCCGATGACAGGCATCACACCTGCAAAGGAATCCAAAATCCCGTAGTACTGAGTGGGGTGGTGTAGAGAAAAGTTGAATCCTGATGGGAGGTCACCTCCCCACCAATGCCAGGCTGCTTGAAGATGTACATGGACTGTGGTACAACGGGCTCGTTAAGGCCCAGATCTGCAGCAATGTCCACGATGCGCGGATCAAAGGTATACTTGCGAAAGGTTGGGTTCAAAGAGTGCAGGGCTATGACAATTTGGATTGCATGAGCGTCACGTCGGTTCTCGTGCAGACGTGTCGGAAAAAAAAGGCCAGGGGAAAAAAACAAAAGAAATAGAGAGAGAGAAGTCGGGGTACGTACCATGACCAATTTTGTTAAAGGCCGACTCGGTGGGGACCACGATGCGTCCCTGGTCATCGATGGCACCTGGTTCAAAAAAGTAGCGAATCTTATCGCCTGACTCGAGAAAGTAGTCGTTGCTATTCTGGGTTTCAGCGTTTGAGCTGAAGATGGTCGTGTGTTCCTTGGCGGGGTCATAGCGGGCAATCTCGCCTTCGATGGCGGTTCGCATGTGCTGGCAATCGTCTGCTGTGAAAAATTTGGGAATCACAAGGTATCCATCTCGCCGAAACCCGTCCAGCTATGCCGACATGATCACAAGAGCCAGCTTTGAGTCGGCGTACAGCCTCGACCTCGCAATCCTTGACGACAGCGACACGCAGTGGCGTCTCCGCAGAGGCAGATGGCGAGGGGCTTTTACCTGAGCTTGGGTGAGGTAGCGCAAGGGGCGACTGGCGGGTGCAGCCATGTTTGATGCTTCAACAGGGGAATTTGATAGCAGGCAAGCCAGGGTCTCACACGAAGGGCTCCGCCGCTGCTGCCGCGAGGAGGATGATGCAAGAAGAAGATGCAGAGGGCTAACAAACAAGAATTGGCAACAACAAGTGAGTCCAACAGAACTCTATAAAGACCACAAACAGCAAGTCTCATCCAACTTTCTGCCCCAGCCATTGACCAGAGGCCAAACCCACAAGGGTGAACGAGAACCGGTGCCGTCACCGGAGCAGCCCAACTGCCGTTGCCGCCGAGAGAGAGAGAGAGAGAGAGACGTCAACAGCCACGACGCAATGCTCCGCTACCTGATTTAAAAGTAAAATACTTGATGTAATAAGCTCCATCTGATGAGCGCTTTCCAGCCGCGTCAACGGAAACAGATGGAAAATACTTATTTTCCCAATGCCGAAGCGGAGGCGATCTTCTGGTCTCTGGTCCGGTCTCTGGTCTCTGGTCTCTGGTTGAATCGGGGTGTGGGGGTAGTGAACGGCGTGCACCAAAGGCTTGGGGGTGGGGGGTGGGGGCGAGGTGACGTGGAAGGTGAAACGAAGCGGCTAGGTGTCGGGTGCAGCTCAAGCGTGGCCGTGGCACGGGTTGACGTCTTCAAGCGCTGTGTGCCTGTCGAGGAGTGCTTGGTCAACCGACCCACTGTCGTGCTCAGGTCTGTCTCGGGCGGCCAAGATTGACCGACTGCCACTGCCAACAACGTATACTTACCATTGCTCCTAGAACGGGTATGTGCGTTCCCATCGATGCATCTGCTGCACGGTCGCCGGTGCTCATTCGACGTGATGGTGCCGGGCTGCGCCTATTCCATCCATCTGCTTTCAGAATGTGAGAGCGCCGCAGGCGCCGCACAAAGCCAGCAGGCATGTTTTCACTACTGAGCGGCTTTTATGACTACCTCACGCGGAGGCCCGAGTACTACGTTTTGATTCTGGGGTTGGATAATGCAGGCAAAACGGTAGGCTGAGCACGCTCCTTCGCGTCTTGGCTGATCATACCCTGGTGATGCACGATGGTCCTGCGGACTCTTAACTTTTCCACTGTTCACTCGATGATTTCTTCTCGAACCGTTTTGCTTTCTGCGCTGCCCTGCTTCACGACGATGCCTAGACGCTGTCTGAGCAATTCAAAGTTCTGAATCGCCCCGGTTACAAAGCCCGTTCTCGCACGGCCCCCACGGTTGGCCTCAACGGTCAGTATTGTTTCGCCTTGACGCAGGAAATAGCCGCCGTCCTGGGTTTTCCTGCATGTTTCCATCACTTCAACCGACGGTCTGATTGAGACGTTTTTCATGTGTGCCCATGCATCTATAGTGAGCAGCATTGACGTCAAGGCGTACGCATCACATTCTGGGACCTGGGTGGGCAAGCAGAACTTCAGGAGCTTTGGCCTAACGTGCGTTCCTTGCCTCCGGGCCGGCCACCATGACTTTGCACAGCTGGTCCATCTGCACATGTCAGCATCGCGGCTCGACAGCAAACTGACCAATGAACAATTTGGCATGCCCTCTTCAGTATTACGAAGAATGCCACGGAATCATCTATGTGGTCGATTCGGCTGATCGTGCACGCCTTGAAGAGTCTCGTATTGCCTTTGGTACGCGATGGCCCGCCATCCCAACGCAATTCCAAACACACAATTTTTGCCGTGTTCGTCATTGTAATGTCTTGCTTGACATCTATTTCGTTTAGATGCCATGGTCTCAGAGAAGCCGCTTGAGGGACTTCCAATTTTAGTGGTCTGCAACAAACAAGACATTGAGGTAGCCCTGGCGCTGCGTGCTGCGGGTGTGCAGCTGTGTGACTGTTCAGTGTGTAGAGGGGCTGTGGCTCACCTCATGGTGCCGGCTCTTTTCGCGACGTCACAGGACGCTATGACCATCGCCGAGGTGAAAGGTGTCTTCAACCAGAGCGCGTACAAGCTTGGGGTTCGAGATTGCAAAGTTCACTCCATCAGCGCCACCAATGGGTACGATGCAGCAAGCAAGCACCAAAACCTCAGCAATATCCCCAGGCGATGCTCCGCTCGCTGCTCTGACCATCACATTGTTCGTATCGTGCTTGCTTGCCGTAGAGACAACGTTCAAAGCTGTGTCGACTGGGTTCTAGCTGCTCTCAAAAGGAATCCGTTTCGTAGTCCCAAAATGACGGCCGCATAGTACCCCTGGTGGTCTTTCGGCTGAGTGTTGAAGATTCTTGGAACATTTGATGTGCAGAAGCAAACCACTTCTGGGGCAAGGCCCGACCGAGTTATGAATAAAAAAAATTGCACAGTATGACTACAGCTTGTACGAACAGGTGACGTGGTTAAAAGGCTCGCAGGAATGTGCAAGGCGAGGTCGCACTGCATCAAGAGCGGTGTGGATTTGGACGACAGTACTCAATGTGCAAAGTGTGGTGACCAAATCCGCGCAACACATGTTAGACAACCCGATGCTAGCCTCAGTTGGCTCGTGGGGGATGATGATGATGATGATGTGCATAGCTTTGTTCGATTGGTCTTCAGAGAGAAAGAGAGACGGGCAGACAGAGAGGCGCAAGCGTAAAAACAAACAAGATACTCGGGTATGAATATGGGGACAGGTGTAGAGGCATCGAGGAAAGGGATGCTTGCACAGCAATGACAACATCAGCCCCATAATAAGGGGCCAATTACAATGAAAAGAGAAAAAAAGAAATGGGTACGAAACGACGCGACAGAACGCCTTGAAGAGGATATAACAAGAGCACCACAGGCTTCCGCATGACCGATCAGCGGTAGCGACAGAGACCTGGGCGGGATAAAACGCTTTGCACAACAAATGGGCAACACTTTCAAAGCAATCTTGATGGACAATGAGATCGGCACGAGATGCGCTCTCGCAGATGGCACACAAAAATTATGTGGCAGGAACAAGTTGAAGGAGGTCCAAGGGGGCTTTAGCCGACAACAGTGGCATTCTCTGTGGCAATCAACTTGGTCCCGACCACGTCGCAGTCGATTTGCATGAGGTGTGCCGCTTCCCCTACAAGGAAGAAAAATGGCATGGGGTAGAGTGAGACAAGGTGATACATGAGCGTTTGGCGACAAGCGAAGGTAAGCGAGGGTTGTAGGACTGAAGCGCAAAGAAGCTTGGCAAGTGAGACAGCATGAGACTGCCATCCAACCAATCAGGACGGTAAGCACCACTAACCTTCGTTGTCCAGATCGTCAAGAGTAGTGGTGGGCACAATCAAGGATAGGCGGCTACGCGAGGAAGCAGCCTGAGCAGAGATCACTTTGACCTCGGTGCAGAAAATGTAGCTCGTGTCGTCCTTGCGATGCACTGTTGTTTCAAGGGCATCGCGCTGATTATGTCCAATCCGAAGGGTCGGTACACCGTCCAACTCCTCCTCCTCGGGATCCACGAGCGATTGATGACCTGGTTCAGGGGTGGGAATGCGAACACCATCGAGCATCATGCGCTCCTCTAGCGCATGCTCGTGCATTTTGAGCAAGGGGTTGAGCATGTTTGAAGGCATGGCCCGCGGCGGGCCATCGCGGAGCGACGAGGTCAGATGATCGTGGTGCAGGCCAAGGGGATACACCGTATCGGAGGGCGCGTTGTGCACGTGGGCCAGTAATGGTACCTTTTGGGCTGCCTGCAGCGTGCGGGCGTGCCACGCGCCACCAGTCACGGCCATGGGGGACGTGGGACCCTCAACCCCGCGCAGCAAAAGGTTGGACCCTGGAGCTCCCACAAAGGCAACACAGAGAAGGGCCGCAAGCATTACTGTTGCCGCAGCGGTACGGGCGGGGCGCTGGCTTGCAAAGGCCGCAAACTGTTGCTGAAGCGAAGGCTGAGAGTTGACAAAGCCATGGTAGTTGGCCAGTTGCTCCCGAAGCACGTGGTTATCGTTTTGCAGCTGCTGAATTTGGTGCTGTGCTCGACCCAGCTGCTGTTGGGCATCATGGAGCTGATGTTCCAGGGTTTCGAGGTATTCTTTCTTGCGTTTGCGCGAGAGGGAAGCAGACTCGCGATTCTTGAGCATGCGGCGCTCCTTCTTCTCCTTGATCTCAAGGAGCTCGACGGGGCTGAGGGCAGTCGGGTCTATTGCCTTGCGCGCGCGACGCTTGCGCTTCATCGGTTCCGCACGGGCAGCCAAGGGCGTGTTGGTGGTCCTTGCCGAGGTCGTCGAGAGGGGGTAAGCTGTAGGCGGGGTGGGCGGAGCCAGGCCGATGGGTACACCTTGGACTTGCGATTGGGTTGAGCCGGCATGGGTGTGCGTGGGGGCGGTGGCGTGATGAAGGGGAGATGTGGCGTTGGTCGTAGACAGTGGGGATGCAGCTGCCGATGACATGGTGCCCTCAGAAGTTGACTGTGGTTGAAAGGGGGCCAGAACAGGTTAAAAGAGGCCAGGACAACTGGGATTAGCGCCCACCATACTGCAGGGGAGTTTCGTACCTGCACGATATCGGCAAACGTTGGCAGCTCGTGTGTGGTATCAAAGAGCTTGATTGAGCCTGCACACAGTCAAGCAAGAGTGATCATCACTTCTTCATGAGGGTGGAGCATGCAATAGCGTCCACGCCAGCAAAACGAGGGCCGGAAAAGGTGCTTTGCGCATGGCCACCTACCATCATGGTCGTCCTGCCCGATAGGTGCACAGTCCTCGCCAAAAGGGGGAGAGAGTGCACTGGAAACCTAGTGAGTGGCCAAGGCGTCGAACCAATGAGTCGAGGCGTGGTGGCTTTGTGGCGTGGGCGTCGAGGAAAGCAGGGTCGTGGCTTAGTGAGGGGAAGGGAGATTCTTCACATACGCCTGTGCCTGTGACATCATCAAGCGAAAGTGATCCTTCGGCGCCATCGTCAAAGGGCACGGTGGCCTCGAGCATCAAGGGGTCGAATATGGAAGGATTCAAGCCCAAGTTCAAGTCGGCACCTGCAAGCGAAAGACCGTGGGCGGAAAAGTAGGCCATGAGAGCAGAGCATGCCAGCCAGAAGCCCCACGGGTGGCGGGTGGTGGGTGGCAGCGCAAGGCTCACCGAAGAGCTGATCTTGAGGCTCGAGACTGCCAAACTCGTCAAAAGCGGTCGGCGCCATGGCACCGGTGGGTGCCTTTGCCAGAAAAAAAAGGCAATCGGGCACCAAGAAAGAGAGGGAGGGGAGGGAGAAAAGCTGAAGGCAGATGAGAGGCTGCTTTCAAGACGCGTCTCGTCTCGTCTCGTCTCGTCTCGTCTCGTCTCGTCTCGTCTCGTCTCGTCTCGTCTCGTCACGTCACGCGCGTGTGCGTGTACCTTTTGATCAAAACGGGAAAGCGGGTTGGGCAAGCAAAAGGCAAACAGGTGAGCCTCATAAACTGGGAGGGAAGTGATGTGCTAGCAATGTGATGTGTAGTGGTGGCATCAGAGAGACGCAAGTGATCTGGTGCAGGGAGCCGGGGCTGCCAACGGGCGTGGTCCATGAGCCTCCGTGCCGTCGTCATCCCTCGCCAAGAAGCATCGGAAGCTTTCTGAATGCATTCATGCTCATACATTCCCAGTTTCCCTCACCCTCATGACCTTGTCAACCCCCTCACCCCTCCACGTGTATCGAGTGTGCTCCTCTCAATCCGCCAAAGCAAGGCAGCGACATGCGGCTGCCGTTTCTTACCTGTCGTGCCTGCCTCTCCGAAACGCAGACAAAAGATGTTGTTTGCCCACACACACACACACACACACACACAGTCCGTCTTCAGGAAAACGAAGAAACAAATGGAAGATGATGGAACACACACACACACACACACACACACACACACACACACACACAAAGAAGGATGTCAGATGAAATGAACAACAAAAGTAAAGAGAGACCTATGGCACACTTTGATGGCTATGTGTGGTGGCGCCAAGTCACAATTTGTCATACAATCAAAGTGTGGATACTGACGGACTTTGATATTTTGAAGGATTTTATATGAGGTTTCTCACTGGTTTCGTGAGTTTGAATTTCGAATTGCGGCTGCAGCTCATTTTTATTTTTTCAGAGAGAGAAAGAGAGAGAGTGAGCGAGAGAGAGAGAGAGCGCGCGCGTCGGAGGACCCGAGGTCTCCGTTCGTACCGCTAGTTGCTCGGCCCACTCGGATTTTGGCCGTACTGCGGCGCTTGATGGGTCCGAGATCGAAGGATCGAGTCAAGCAGCAGGTTGGTTGGCGGTAGGCGCACGACGATCCCAGTTGGTAGGCGGAGCAGTCGATCATTGATTGCTCACCCTTGGAGTCTTACTGCGCTCGGCAGGCCGTTGAACGTTGCCAGGATCTCATCTCCAGGCTTTATTTATTTATTTCGTGAGGCGGGCACCGAGCTGGTTCTCGGGCCTGCGCACAACACAAAGCCCCCTCCCAATCCCAGCAAGCACACTGGCGAGCTCGCCCAGACCCGGTTGTTGGGTTAGACCGTAGACATCAGCAAAGGATGACTTCCATGGACAGCCCGGCCTTTGCTTCCCCTACCAAGGTGGATGCACGCAATGAATTTTGGCGACATCAGCACGAGGTAAGCTGTTCCTGTCATCCAATTTGCAATCTTCTGTTCTGTCTCCCTAGAGTATTCGATTGACTTGGTCTGCACTCTTGACACCGAGCACAGGACGAGGATGTTCAGGCCATGCGTGAGGACATTACAGACTGGCTCAATCAACGCCTCAGTCTCGAATTGACATACTCATCCCTCTTCAAGGTGAAGATTTGGCGCTAGTATGACACGCCCGGCTGAAGAAGCTGCTATTCGTTCCGTGCCGAGCTGTAAATCACACACACCCCAACCCTGTACTGTCCCGATGCAGGAACTACGCTCGGGTATTCTACTCGTCAAACTGGCGCGCATGATTGAAGCGGAGGGCGTTGACGAAAACGCCAATGACACCCCCGAAAACAAGCGCGTATGTGCTTCTTTCTCAACCTGACACCAATGGCACTCCCGCTTGCTGCATCTAGATTGTGCATGCCTGCCTCCACCTTTTTTTTATTTGTCGTTGCACATGATGAGCCGATCCGCGCCCAAATATTTTGCATGGCTCACCACATGACTGGATACGGTGAGATCATCATAGAATGTACATAAACGACGTGCCATCTGGAAACAGACCAAACGCCGCGTGGGCGACGGAACAGCCCGCCTCCGCTGTCGCGAGCCGGCCAACCACCCTGCCTTTGCTCGAGACAACGTCGAGGTGAGCACTTCGAACATCCTACCTCGTACTGCTTGATCAAGACATAGAGATAGCGGAGATTGACCGACAAAGTGACAGAGGAGCTTGCAAGAGGCACAGCAACCCGTTGTTGTGGGCACGCACATGTCACTGCTGCCAGCTTCTCAATCCCCGTGGTCGCCATGCTGTGGCGGTTTGCTGGTCTAGACCTTTTTACGCTGGTGCCACGACTTGGGCCTACCGGAGCACATGCTTTTTGAGACCAACGATGTCGTCGAGCGTTAGTTTGTTGCTGTGCTTTGCCCGTGGCCTCTGCGCACCACCTCCTGAGATGCAGTGGCCCCTGTTCTCAATGTCCGATGAACCCTGCCATCTGCTTGACTCACAGAGCGCAACGAGAAGAAGGTGTTGAGTATCATTCTGGAAGTGGCCAAGTTTGCCGCCTACGTTGGCATCGGTTCGTTGTCCTGCACTCGTTTACCTGGATCGTCACGCCATTTGCTGCTGATTCCTGTTGCCTTCGCCCCTTTCTTCCTCATTCTTGACACGCTCATGCCTGGCAGAAACGACCGAAATGATGAAACTGGAACTAGAGATAGAAGCCGAGGAGGAGGAACAGGATGATGCAAGCGATGCAATCGCCAATGGCAAGGATGATGACCTGGAGCTCGGCGAGGTAGGCCAGCCCGACTTTCCATCGACTCGCATTACAGGATGCAGTGTCCGTGCTTCAACAGTAGCGTCAGCTGGAGCTCGTTTGCCCTCTTGACGCTGCCTCTACACACCTGCCCGCATGCCCTAGGACTCTGAGAGCGGGCTCATTGACGAGACGGACGACGGCGATGATGATAACGACGCTGATGGCAATGAGACTGATGATCCTCTGGGCGGCGATGTTGTTCCGGCCCAGACTCTTGGCTTGGACGAAGCGGATCGCCAGCTGTCATGCAACCTCGAGCTCATCATGACAGACGGCGACGTGGATTTGTGGATTCTTGATGACATCACCTGGTTTGCTGACCGGCTCATTGTCAATATCCCCGACCTGGTGTTGCTCAAGCGCATGACGATTGCCACTGCAGCTGAAGATACACTTGGCGAATTCGAGCTTTCAGCCACGCCCTTTGAAGAAGCCCAACTGTTCAGCCCAGTGCCGATGGCCGACAAGCCGTTCTCGGCAGCTTCCAAACTCATTTCCTTTCCTGACGGGATCTTGGCTCGTCGCCTGCAGCTCCGTCCCAAATCCTGGAGTGCGCCCTTTCGAGCCACACTCATGTTTCATGGACAACAACCCGGGCATTTGGCCTCTACCCTACGTGCCGATGACGCATCGAATGCCCCGAGCTGTTCAGCTAGCCAGGCGGGGCAAGACGAGGAGCACGCGGCTGGTCCGGTGCAGCTCGTCGTCAGTAGCGACATTGGTGACACTCATTCCTATGCCTGGCTCCGGCGCCAGACCAGAGAGCAATTTTGGCATGCTAACACGGCCGAGGACACCCAGCCTTGGGTCGAGCTACGCCTCGAGCATCGCATGGAGCTTCAACATCTTTACGTCTTGGCCGGCGCCAATGAAGACAACGTGGCCTATTCGCTGCGGATTCAAGTTCGCATGACACCAAACGGCCCGTGGCAAGCGTTTCAATGCTTGGACAGCGACATTGCAGGCGTGGTGGATGTACACGAGGATGTCCGCTGCTCGAACCGTCTCTTGACCTTGGATCCGCACCAAATACCATGCCACGTCGCAGCGGTTCGTGTCCAAGCCATTGATTGGACGGGCGTGCCGGCGCTGGCCCTCGATGCTTTATTGGTGGAACCTGCCACGGGAACTCTGCTTGATCCAGAGGACGACGACATCATGTCTCGCGCTTTGACGCCTTTTGGGGACGCTCTTAGCGATGAAGCCGTATTTGCCGATATGGAAGCCGCCCGTGCTCTCTTGTCTCGTCTACGGAGCTCCAATGAGCAGATGAATCAACTCTTACACGCTGTTGATGCCACTGAGCATGGTCAAATCCCACCAGCCAACAAGGGTATACGCCAAGTTCTACACCAAGCCCAAGAACTGCTGGCTGGTATGCACACAAGCACGCCTCGCTTCCTCGACCTCCTCGGTGACAAAACCAATCGCAAGCGCAAGTACGGCATTTTTTTTTTTCCGTCTCACTTGGCCAGTTATGGCCAACGCTGCTTGTTGTTCTTGCTGGATGATCGGTTTTCTTGATTCATTTTTTTTTTTTTTTTTTTTCCTTGCTGTATTGCTTTGCTGCACTCCTTGATTTTCCAGAGAGATTATGCAGCGCGCCACGCAGTTTGCAGACGACTGCTCGGAAAGCATGGATGATTTGTATGCCGGTGCGCAGAGCCTTATTGAACTGGTGCAGCGCTTACAGGGGCAACACGATCTTATGCTCCAGGCGGGCCAAGCCATCTTGACCGAGTCTGACATGCCCAGTGCCTCGACCATTGATGAGTTGGTCCAGCGCGTAGTTGCCTCTGGCTCAGATAAAGCCTTTCAGCTTAGCAGCGACCTTCAGCTCCAATTTGAACGATTTCGGCAGGTATGCTCAGCGGCACGCTCCCATCGCATTGTCATGGTAGTACATCCATTTCCCCCCGCCCTTTTGGTTCCATTTCCACTTCTCTGCCTCCCTGTGTTTGCATATGATGTCAAGCACCACGCTTGATCTGTTGTCATCGTGTGTGTTGCAACTCTGTAGACATTTCCGGTTGTGGAAGTGCGCTTGCCGCAATTCGAAACGTGTGCCAAAGTACTCGTGTCAAACATGGACGAGGGCAGCGTCGAGCTTGAGCAGCTACTGGCTGCCATGGAGGAGCTACTCAATGATCTGCGACAGCAGTTGGCTGCCACGGACGAGAGCATGGCCACGCGAATGCGCGACCGGCTTGCGCGCTTGAGTGAACGGCCCTCCGTGGCCTCAGATGGTCCGCATAATTTAGAAGAGCTCTCGCAGCAGCAAGATGTGGTTGCCTCACGTCTGCGTCGCTTCATGACCGGCTTCAAGCTTCCCCGCTTCCCCAAGCTTGATTGGAGCTGGGTGCGCGCCAAGGTGTGTCTTCCGTCCGACGTCGGTTTGACAGGCCTGCCGGAGTGGAGCGGGCTCAATGAGAGCATCGCCAAACTGTAAATATCAAGGCTCGTGTCGAGGCGTTGACTGGCATTGACCCTGTTGTCCCGGATTTTGTGGTGCTTCAGGTTGATACGAGCGCGCCAGCTAGCATGAAGATTATCAAAAAGCGCAAGAAAAAGGCCGAGGGGCGAAAGCAACTGCACGAGCCCGTGCGTGTGACCCAGGTCCATAGCCGTGTGGACACCGGCTTGTCTCGACGCGAAAGCGATCTACTCAACCGCCGTACCTCCTCTGGCATTCCCGGTAAGTGGGCGCTTGCAAGCTTCGCAAGCGACGGGGAGCAATATTGTTTGAAAGAATAACAATTTGAGGCCGTTCCGAGTAAACAAGTCGGTCTGATAAGCCAACTGGCTCTCTGCCATCATGGGGTTGCTGATAGTTGTGCAACAGTTTCGTGATGGCCTCAAAAAAACTGATCCTCTTGATGCAATGATGCAAGACCGTCTCAATGCGCTTGGACTCGGCGCAAATCTTCAGGTCCGCTGGCTCTGAAATCCGATAGGGCTAGCTTGTATGACTGACTTCCAGACCATGCTAACGGAGGCGTGACGTTTTGTATTGATGTGATAGTACAAATATTGCGGAAAGGGCAAGTTTCTCTTTGATGGAATGGACAAGGCCATCTTTGTCCGGGAAGTGCGTCAGCGCTTCATGGTGCGAACCGGAGGTGGGTCTTGCACCGTGATCTGTCCTGGCGGGGCTTCTCATGAAAGCAGATTCTGACTATGGGACCGCGTACTTTTTGTTGCTGGCTGCCGTTATTGGGTGTGTAGGTGGATGGAAGACCCTTGACTCGTGGTTGGGCGAGCACACCGCGCCGGGTGCTCGCCGATGCCTGACCAAAACTGCATCCGACCCTGCTCTGAAGGATCGTACATCCAATGCTGCCAAATTGACGCGGCGCTCCCTAACGCAGGCAGAGATTCGCTTGAGCAGTGATGCGCCACCGCCCCGCATCGCGGAACCCGAGCGCCCAGCCTCGTCGCCGCTGCGCTCCTCTATTTCTGCTTCTTCGGTCCAGCAGAGTCAAGATGAGGAAGCGAGTGAAGACTTAGTTTCCCCCGATGCCTTTACAGGTCTTGATCGTGACGTGCTGCATGAGATTCACGGTCACGAGGAGGATCACGCCACCATGACGACGAACGCTGAAGATGGTGCCCATGGCACAAGTGCCAGCTCAGACGAGCCCGGTCTAGGGACGGAGAGGCTTGCAAGCCAAAACATTAGCAATGCGCCTGACGGGCGTGACATGCTTATCACACCCTCCGCTCCGCCAGCGCCGGCACCTCGTCCGAAGAAAAAGGCCCCCGTGCCGATTCCAGCGCGAACCGCTCGCACCCCGCCGCCCGTGGCACCGCGACCCAGCAGCGCCCCTCGTCGCACTGTGCCTCTCGATGAAGTGGATGTGAATGCTACTGACTTGAAGCAAGTTGAAGAAGAAACAATCGAGGCGGCAGTGCCTCAACCTGAGGCATTCGACCGAGTTCAGCCTGAACTAGATGCAATGCGAGCAGAAGCCGACCAAGCACAAGCTTCTTCCCCGCCACCACCCTCGACGCAGGGTGCAGGATCGCCCAAGTCGCGATCCAAGTCGCGCTCGGCGTCCGCTCGGGCTTCACCGAAAGCTTCACCCAAGGCCTCACCCAAGGCCTCACCCAAAGCCTCGCCCAAGATTTCACCCAAAGCCCGACGCCGATCGTCGACGCACTCAACTTCACCCAAGGCCCGACGCCGCCTATCAAAGACTTCCCCAAAAAGTTTGACAAAGAGCTCACCCAAAGCGACTCGCCGCCTTAGTCTTACGAGCGCACAACCCGGGAGCACGTCAGCTGGCAAGACTACCAAGGCCAAGGCAAGCGGCAAAAGCACCGCTGCGACGGCCAAGGCACCAGCTACCCGGGTGCTTCGGGGCAGTCCGTCCAGTTCGGGTGTTGCGGCACAGCGTGCCAGCTCGAAACCTTCTCGCGGCACGGCAAGTGATACTAGGCGACACTCGGCGCTCGCGGGAACTCGCGTCGCTGACAAGACGCTGGCTGCAACCACACCATCCCCAAAAGTGCGCAGCGCCGGCTCTAGCCCCAAGGGCGTCCGCAAGGTGGGCACGACTTCGGCTAGCACATTGCGATCGGCCCAGAGCTCGGCCCAAAGCTCAGCCACAGCATCCCCTCGGACGCCACGGACGAGTACACCGGGCACCGCAAAGGCTCGACCAAGGTCCTCACTGACGCCCGGCTCGAGCTCAACTCGTTCATCGACCTCGGCCACTCCGACTGGAGCAAATCGTCGCACGCCAACGGGGCGCAGCTCGGCCAACACCGTGACACGACCAAAATCCATGGCAAGCTCGCCGTCAAGCGCCCAGAACAAGACTTTGAGTGCAAACAGAACAACTGGCAAGGCCCGCCCCAAATCTGCAATCATGGGCACAAGCAAAGCCAAGACCAGCGCGACGTCAAGTCCCGACGCACGCCGCAAGTCAGGGGTGGGAGCTGCACAAGCACAAAACAAGTGAGCCTGGTGGGGGCCTGTTTCACATGCGGTTTGTTCTCACAAGAGTCTCTAGCGCCGCTGCCCGTTCTAATGAACACTCCCACTGGCCCGGCGGGCAAACCTCTGATTCGTTCGCGGCGTTTATCATTATTATTAACTTGCTTTTCATTGCTTTCGTGATTCATCATCAATGCTGTGCCTGCCGTTTTGGCTTGCGTCTAGCCGTTCTTCATCTTTAATGGGCTGCACATGCTACCGTAATTATATACACCCGAATGTAGTATCACCTCTCCCAATGTATCATGATCCCCTATGCGTATCACTTCAAAGGGAGCCACTTTGTTTGCAGCCCTTGATGTCATCTCGTGGCTTCTTTACTGTGCTGGATGCCGCATGCACGCCAGCCAGACCAGGACAGCCTTCCCCACCTGCCAAGCCGCTGCCGCCATGGTGTACAGGAGAAGAGAAACGAGTAGTCGTTGAGCAAGCGACCACAGGCGATTGGAGGTCTTGTGCAGCAGCGATCATAAAGAACGGACGAAGGCCAAAAGCTGGAGAAAACAGGTGGTCGACCATGTTCAAGAAAACAAGTGCTGATGCCGCACAAGATGGTGGACTCTTCGACACGTATTCCTACCACCGATGCTGCCATCACACCTACGGGCGCGTGTGTGGAACGTCACGTTATGTTGAACCTTTCCTTATGTAGCTCGATGAGCAAAGCACCAATTCTGCTTGCAACGATCATGCATGCATGCACGCAGTGGCACGGTGCAATGCAGTGTGTTGCGTGTTTCCTTGAAAGAGAGGGTGATGGTGGTGATGATCGGTGGTGATGATGAGGACATCCGATGTAGACGGCAGCTGTTTATTTGAGACGAAGAAGTTGGTTGGTTGCAACCAGGCACAAGGGGCGCCGGTGCAACTTTGACGATGGCTGTTTCGCGTGCGGGGGGTTGCAGACCTGGTGCTCGGCGCCCACGTTGCTTCTGGGGCCGTGCAAGGGCTGAAGCTGGTGATGGCACTTGCACTTGTCTCGTTCACGTCCTGTCCCGACCCAGTCATGCTATGGGCGCGCTCATGACTTGCTTGCTCGTCTGCCACACTCCTCTGAAGCGGACATGGGGAGCATGTTCACCCCATGTCCACCCCATGTCCACCTGCCAGCTGCGGTGGGAGGCGACTGCCAGACTTAAAAGATGATACTTCATCACACCAGAAGTGGTGACAGATGCAGTCCACACGAGGACTCGGCTGTGCGTGCTGCTGTTGCACATTCGCCATGGGGTGTGGCCTCCGACGGCCTTGACTGTCTGCACGGCCATTGTTGTCGTTGCAATCAATCAAGCACCCGTGCTCATAACGCCGTCCTCGGCAAGCCTGATCGCAGCGTGCACCACGCAAGTCGCGAAGCTTTTTTTAACAGTAGATGACGCGTGCGACCTTGAAATCCTTCGACTATGTCTGTCCATCAGCATGGCAAGCTCGGCCAAGACTGCTCAAGTCTATGGAGCCCACATCCTTGTCATCTGTTCTCAGCGCCGAACACCACCGTGCGATACACGGACATCATTGTATTACATGTACTGCTTCATGGCGCCACGCCCACTTGCACATGCGGTGAGCCTGCATCACCCAAAGCAGGCCCTAGCAAGATCGCGCCAGGTCGGCCTGGGTCGCGGCGCAGATGCGTGCGCGCCATGATCCGAGCTGGCTGACCGGGGTTGCATTTTCCTGCCTCCAGCTCCGTGCCACTTCTGCAACAACTCCGGACCGTCTCGCCTGACAAAGTTGCCCTCCTTGTGCGGATCGTCAAAGGACGTTACGAGCGCTGGTGTGCCCTCCATCCTCAGTCATTATGAAGGCTGTTTTTGTGTTGTGCCTGCTGCTAGGCGCAGTCGCCGCGCAGCAGACCATTGGCGATCTTTTGGACATGGAAGAGTTTCAAGCGTTCAAGTCGGCCCTGGACGCTGCCAACCTGACCGATAGCTTGGATGATGACACCTACACCATCTTTGCCCCCACCAACGACGCCTTTGCCAAGCTGAATGATACCATGGTGACGCTTCTCCTCTCAGAAGAGAACCTGGACCAACTGCAAGAGCTGCTGTTCCACCACGTCATTGCGGGTAACATCTCAGCCAGCCAGTTTGTGAATGGCACGGAATACCCCACCCTCTTGGCGGACAACGATGTGACAGTCTTTTTCGAAGGCGAGGGTGACGACACTTCTGTTTTTGTGATGTCTGCGGGTGACGTGGAAGCCGAGGTGGTTGGTCTGAACGGCTATGTCGAAACTGGTATGTTCCACCCTCTCCTGCCCTGCCGGCGAGCAACTTGGCTCTTCCCCAGCATTCGTACCAACGCTGCATGCCAGCACCTTGAACACCACTCATACTCGCGCTGGTGCTCCCACGCAATCTTACAGGTGTCGTGCATGCCATTGACACCGTCCTCATCCCCCTGGACTTTGAATTGATTGTGCCCACGACGCCTGCCCCCATGTCCACAAGCACCGACGATGACAATGATGTCGACAATGACGATGAGACCACGATGATGCCCATGGCCAATGGCCTTGAGGCACTGTTAACCGGCGACGTCTCCTACACACTCTTTTACGATGCCATCCAAGCCACCAACCTGACTGATCGCCTTTTCCAGAACAACGGTTTGACGGTCCTCATTCCCAACAACCAGGCCTTTGGCTTTCTGGATGACGACGAGCTCAACGACCTCTTCGAGACGGATTTGGATCGTCTCCGCTCGATTGTGCTTCTGCATATCATTGACCAAACTATGACCCTGGATGCCTTGGTCATTCAGGAAGATGTGGACACTATCGATGGCGTAAAACTTGAATTTGATCGCGACGTGTTCAGCGTTGAGGTAAGCCGCTCGTCTCTTTCCATCTCTTCCCGCGTTGTTCATGCTCGCCCTTTGCACTCGCGCTGGCATCAATGCATTTTCTGACTCGTGTAAATTTGCGATGCTTTTTTTTTTCTTTTTTTTTTCGCTCCCCTCTTGATCAGGTCGAAGTTGAGGATGGCAATGAGGCAGACGTGGTCGAAGGCAACATCCAGTTTGATGGCGGTGTAGCCCATGAGATCAACCGAGTGCTCATGACAGACAGTGCCACAACGCAAGTTGCTAGCTTGCTCTTGGTCATGCTCGCCGTTGCCTTTAGCAAGCTTTTTTAAATGACTCCCCGGGCCTAAACCCTGCTTTATATGTTGTCATGTGAGCATCCCTCGACTCTGCATGTATCGGGCCCGTGGCCTTTCTCTGTCGCTCGGTCGTGGTGCCAGCGTACACGCCAACGTTGTCCCTGAAATCCGCGTGCTTGTGCACCATCGACAACAAATAGTTTGCAATGCAAACCCTCTCGTGATCGTGTTTGTTTATCCGTGCTGTTCTGTTTTAAAGCTCCGGCAGTGTCGAGAATTGGGATGTTTGAAAAAAACAAAAGTGCTGTACTCAATGAACTATTCATCCAACTATTCACAAGCAATGATATGGCCATTGCCAAGCACTGCTATCCCGCTGCTAACACCAAGCATGAGCTAGCTGAGCTGGGATGGTGCGAGTTTAGCAAGGAAAGACAAGGGAAAAAAAACACAAAAGCAAGCCTAGATTAGAGTGCCATAGGCAGCGACTTCAGAGCCCTACTCTTCACTCAGGTTGGGCCGAGGCGCCGCCGGCCGCCTGCCATTCGCGATACACTGCATCAATGTCCACATCGGCATCGGCACCGTGCTGACGAAATACCGCTGCAGCCATGGCTGCCCGCTCCAGGCTCTCTGACGCCGGTGGCTCGGGGTGTGTCGCCAAATAATTGGTACTCACTGCCTCAAAGACATCTGCCACCAGCGCCAGCATCTTAATACGCTGATCGCGCACCGCGGGATCCACTGCAGGCAAGCCATGGCTGTTGCCTTTGAGCACAACAGCCGTGGCTTCACGCAGCAAATCATCCAGGTCCAGCTCCATACCACACCAAAGGGCCTCTAGCAGTGCCGGCAAGCTGTCCCCAAACAAAGCCTGCTCTCGCTGGCGCTGTTCTTCTTCATCAAGCAAGGGCTCAGACTCGCTGTCTTCCTTGGCTCCTGCTTCACCAGCTGGTGTGGCACCGCGACCCGCCGGCTTCGAGCTGGGCACCTCGCCACCAGGAGCCCGCCGCGTCTCGGCACCGGTACTTTGCTCGTCATCGCTGCTGCTTGAACTGGGCGCTGCTTCCCAGCCACGCACCTCAGATGCTTCGCTTGTCTCATGAGTGGGTACCGGTCTACTCTTGCTTGAAGGGGCATTCCGGGATCGCTCGGAGGAGACAAAACTAACGTTGACAAACGCATCGCCAGCACCAGTGCCGGTACTCTCAGTCTCGCTCTCCTCGCTCAAGTCTTGCACAGAGATGGAGCGAGCCATGACCTGTTCCTGGCGCTGTCGTTCGGCCGACTCGCGCTGAATTGCCGACTCGCGCTCAAAGCGCTCGTGGGCCTTCCCCACGCTAACCAAGGACTTCATGGAACGCATTGCGTAACCTAAACGACGAAAGGGGCCCTGTAGACGTGATCGGAGACCGGATAGCCCGCCACGGCCGATGGCGGCGCCTGCACGATATTTTCGCGCAATTGTGCCCAATAAACGAGGCCCATACGAAGCCTCCACCAATCGCTCCGCCTCCTTCAAGAGCTCGGCATTCACTTGATCCACGCCTCCATCACGCGCCACAATGTTGGCGAGACGATCAAGGCGTTGTGCCAAGCGCTGAGTAACTTCGACTCGGCGCCGAAGCAGGGCGCGTTGCAGATCAATGCTCGTGCCTTCCACGTGGCGAGCCACCTCTCGAGTCAGAACCATCACGGGTGTGCCGAAATAACCCTCAAACTTGTAGGACCCAAACAGCATTGTGAACAGCAGCCCAACGTCCTCCATCTCGCCAGACTCAAAGTCTGCCGACGCACCATTACGATCATAAGCGGCCCGCAGGTTTGGGTCTGAGAGCACCTGATAAGCCATGCTCAGCCGCTGAAAGTTTTGGTTCGCAGCCTCGTCGTCGGGATTGCGATCTGGGTGTAGCTCGCGCGCGCGGCGGTAGTATTCGCGCTTGATCTCTTCGGGGCTGGCATCAGATGCAACGCCAAGGCAGTCATAGTAGTCGGTCGGGCCGGAAACCTTACCACCTGGTGTCGCCTCGCTGTTGGCACGGATATGTGCGCCGTCCAACCCTCGACAAAGGTGCAAAAACGCGTCATAGGTGAGGTTTTGCACGACGATGTACTTCTCGTCGACGATGGCCCGCGCTGGATCATAGTCCACCCAGGCGCGAGATTCCTGGTCCCAGTAGTGGCCTTTGGAGCGATGCATGACCTCTTCACCAGTGTTGAAGAGTCCGCGACCAATCTGCGTGGCTGCCACGCAGACTCCCGCCAGGGGCAGGGCGACGACGGAAGCGAGCCCAAGTGCAACCCCCTTGGCCGCTCCTTTGGCGCCTTCCTCCGACGCCATAGCCACGGGGGCACCCACCAGACAGACCAAGCCCAGGCCCGTGCTCTTGGCGATGGTCTTCACGCCAGACGAGACACCGGCCAGCAGGTTCTTGGGTCGGCGCAAACTATATACCGCGCTCAAGCCCTCCGCCATGACGGCGATGGCGTGGTCGTTTGCAACCCACAGCCCTCTTCTTCGACCTGCTGACACGCGAACACCCAAACAGACAACCGCCTCACCACCGCTACCACTGAGCTGCGCTATGCGTTGGAAACCAAGAAGCAATCCAGCGTACAGTCAACACCACCACCGCTGCCGCCGCGCTGCCGTTTCAGGAGATGCGACGCAAGCAAAAGGAAAATGACACACGCACCTCAATGGTCCGTTTTCTCTGACTTTCTCTCTCTCTCTCTCATTCTCTCTCTCTCTCTCTGTTGTTCTTTCTCCTTTTTCTTCTCTCTCACATGTGGTAGTTGTGCTATTCCTCTCTATCTTTGCTGTTTATTTCTCAAACCAATTCATTTCTTCTTTCTCTCTCTGCACATGTAGCAAATCCGTGTTACGAGCAGATGCTCTTGGCACTTTCTCCCCCCTCGCCCTCTTTGTCTGCATGGCCCGCTTGTGTTTGGCGTCTCTCCCTGACGCAGATCATTGACACGGGTTGTCACGGCGGGGTGACGGTTCGTTTTGCTATTATGCCCGGCGCCAGCCTGAAGCAACAACAAACTAGGAGGCAAGGCAAAGTTCAACCCTCTTGTCCCGTCAATATTTCACTGCAGACTTGGCGGCCCGCACAAAAGCACCAATCTTGTCAAGGCTCTTGACACCATCCGCCTCGACCCCCGAGCTCACATCCAATCCCATGGGTTGTACCTGCATGCAAGAGCGCAACGTGAGCATGTCCTCGGCGCTGTAGGCGCAGCAGGCCACACACCCGCACCTTTGTAACGGCTTGCGCCACATTGGCGGGATCCAGGCCACCGGCTAGGAAGAAGGGCATGCCCAATTTGGCCAGGTTGGCTGCAATGTCCCAATCAAACGCTTGTCCTGCCCACATGCACACACACAGTTTAGAAGACCTCGAATACTTATCTCGAAGCGGTAGTACGCCTGCCCTGGCTTGGTAAGCATGGTTTTGAACACCCACCGGTTCCGCCAAGCGCCAGCGGAGATTTAGTGTCGAGTAGTAACGCATGGGCTCGAGAAGCAGATGGTATCGCCTCTGCTGCCGAAAGCAAAGACTCGCCCGTGTCGCCTGCTCCCACATGCACAGCCTTCCACACAAGATAGCCCGCATAATCTTTGGCCGCATCCAGGCCCTCCGTGCCGGATAGTTGGATCACGTCCAGTCCAACCTACAGGCAGCAGTGCCACAACCATTGGTCATCAAGGTGAGCGAGCAAGCGCCCAGTGCAAGGTTTATATGAAAAAAAAAAAAAAAAAAAAAAAAAAAAAAAAAAAAAACTCTCCATGTGAAAAGGGCGTGCACCATCCCAGGCCAGCCCACCTCATCGGCGATACGCTTCACCTCCGCCGGAGGCTGGTTGGCAAATACACCGACCACCAGGGGCCGATGAGCCGTCATCTCGCGCAAGAGCTGCGCACGAGCTTGCCAGGCAGCGATCCCGTTTTCTTCGCTCTGCGCTGCCAGTATTTGCTGGCGCAGCGCAGCCACGTGTGCGCTGTGGCGGGATTTTGTAACGCGCTGAGCAATGCTCCGGGCCGTGGCCACGTCAACTAGCCGCTTGCTCTTCGGTGCAAACACCAAGCCCACCATGTCGGCGCCCAGCCGAAGAGTGGCATCAGTGGTTTCCACATCCCGCAAACCACAAATCTTCACCAGGGGATCCGTGGTAGCCATGCCACGCAATGACTGGATGAGGGCTCCCGGAGAGGCGGCACGCATGAGTGATTCACCAACTAACACGGCATCACACCCCACGCTTTGGTAAGCCTGGGCATCGGCACGGGTTTTGATGCCGCTGAGAGCACAAAATAAAAGCCCTTCGGGCCGCGCCCCGCCCATTGTCTCCATGATTGCCCGCGTCGTGTCGTTGTTTACGGTAAAATCCTTGAGGTTGCGGTTATTGATGCCAATGATCTTGGCTCCAACGGCTAGTGCCCGCTGCAGTTCGGTAGGCGTGGCCACCTCCACGAGTGGCTCCATGTCGAGGGAGCGCGCATATTCCAAGAGGTCACCGAGCGTCGCATCATCCAAAATGGCCACAATCAGCAAACACGTGTCAGCGCCATAGACACGCGCCTCTAGCACCTTGGTGACCCCAAAGCGGATACAAAGGTGAAGTAAGAGGTAGACCCAGTGGCTTTTGTGTGGTGGGTCGTGAGCATGAACACGGAAGATGCCAAAAAAAGACCAAACCCGGGCGATGGCCAACCGCACAAGCAAGCCCCACCTGATATCGATCAACGAGAAAGTCTTTGCGCAGGATCGCTGGGCGGTCACTCATTCCTTCCACAGCTTCACGAGCAGCCCGCATGTCTTTGAGCGTACCCTAACCGTGGTACCACAAGGGCTGGGTTGAGAGGTTCTTTGGAGCCTAGTCATGTACGGGTGGGCTAAGTCTGACGGGAGGGCCTAGCACATGGGGTGACGCCCCTCCATACCTTGAACCAAGTCGGCTCGGTGAGGACAGAGATGGTAGCTGCGCCTGCGCTAGCATAGGCATGGGCTTGACGTGGCACATCCACGTCGGTGGCAATGTTACCCTTGGAAGGCGACGCACGCTTAATCTCTGCCATCACAGCCAAGGGGCTTCCGGCAGCCAGGCGCACAGCAAAGTCGAGAACGGCTGGGGCCGAGGACAGTTGTGCTTCAAGCTGCGCTGTGGGCGTCTGTCGGCTCGCCTCTTCAACGTCCCGTCGACGCTGAGCGCTAATGACGTCGAGAATGTTGCCGCCTTGTTGTTGTCCGCCGGCTGTTACCGGTACGCCGTAGCGCTTTGAGAGTGCCACGTAGCGATCGGCAGTGGCCTCGGCTCGGCCACAATCCAGCAGCTGTTCGGCTTGCTGCCGACCCTCGCTCCATGTTGTTGCACAGCCAGTGAGATAAAGACCAAGAGCCGCGTGAAGAACAACGACATCGCGCAAGGGGCTTGGCTCGTGAGCTAAGATGGTGCGCAAAGCCTGGGCTGAGCTGGAAGCTGCAAAGCCAGTGGGTGCGGTAGCTGCGGTTGCGGCGGTGTCCCAGCCCAAATCGGCGGGGGTAATGGTGACTGGGTGCACTTGACCCTTACGCAGCTCGCAGCCAGATACGGGCGCGCTGGGAGTCAGCGGTTGGCCGGGGCTTGCCGCGTTGCATAGAACCAGTGCCTGCTCGACGTGTCGCGTGGCTAGGGCTTCGGCAAGGACTGATGCCAATTGGGGCTGCGCCACGGCGACCAGCATCCTGGAATCGAGGGTGCAAATCAAGACGGAGGGGCAGAGGTGGCATGCAATGTCAGATGCGCGAATCAACAGGCCAAGGAGAAGCCAACGCGCGGAAGATGGCCATTGGCCACCATCAGAAGGAGGGCTGACCTGGCCGGCTGCGCTGGGTGAACCAGTGGTTCTAGCAGGCTGAGAAAGGCGGCGGGCGTGCCCCGCTGGCGCATCGCCTCGACGGCGCGACGGATGGAAGAGGCATGTGGTGCGGGCACAAAAGCACACCCACACTCAGTGACCATGGCACGGGCTTGCGTGGCGGTGACATCGGCCGTGCCACCGAGGGCATCCATCACATCCAGCAGACCCGGTGCGCTTTTGGAGTTGGTTGGGGCCCGATCCCCTTGTAAGACTACGCGTGCCCCACCGGCAGTCACGACAAAGGCGGCAGCCGTGGTGACATCAAACAAGTCAACTGGTCCGCCATTGTCTCGTTCGAGACTGATAATGGGGGCAGGAAGAGTCAGATGCTCGCCAAGCGCCAACAACTGATCGGCGACGCGAGTCAGCAGCGAGGGCCAGGTGCTGATGTCCAGCGCATCCAACGCTTGGCTACAAGCCTCGAGCTCAGCAGCACTTAGACTGCCCTGCGCCACAAGCTCGATGACAGACCAAACCGCCTCTGCCTCGGGGGCAGGCAGACTTTGCAGTCTCTCCAATGCCACAGCCGACATCCTTAAGAGAGCGCGACTACATAAAGAAGTAAAAATTTAACCACATATCATCAGACACCAAACATCCAGAGTGAGAAGACCAAGCCACGACTCGCACCAGCCCACCCCACCACCTTGCTGCCCTGCCCCGTTCCCGTTGACCACCCACACTCCACTGCCCTACGCCTGCCTCATCGGCACGCTCCGCCGACACACACACACACACAATGATAATTGCCTCGAAATCATCTCCTTGCTAAACTCGTCGTTGTGTTAGGCAAAATCTGACATTCTCGATCAAGATCTGACAACGCGACGTTTTGGTTCTCTCTCTCTCTCTCTCTCTCTCTCTCTCTCTCTCTCTCTCTCTCTCTCTCTGGTCAAGAATTGCATTTGGTGGTGGAACGCGAGCGAACGAGTCTCTCTCTCTCTTTGGCGGGGGAGGGGGATGGAGTGTCGTGGACATGGTGGCTTAGCGCCGAGGCGCTGGGCTTGGTGTCTGGTGGTGGTGATTGCGGTGGTGGCATTGCAGGTCTTGCCGGCGAAGGTTGATGAGTCGTTCCCACTGCCGGCGAAATGCAGTGCAACGCATTGTACTTGCCCGGCAAGCTCGGCGTGCGTGTCTGGCGTGGAGCGAAAGTCCTCGCACGAGCATGGCTGCATGCGGGGCGTACATCATGACCTGACCTTACTCAGTGGTTATGCCGCAGACTGCGCCACCTGTACCTGTGAGCGAGCAAATACGTATGTGACCTCGGCGGCGCCCAACACCAAGCCCATCGTGCCCGACACTCGTGAGCTGTGGTACATCGGTCGGCAGCCCGGTGAAACTGGGGACGGCTCGGACCCGGCCAACAGCTTGCCTCTGCGCCTGGCCACCGACTACCTGAAGGAGTCGGTGGCTGACCCATTTGAAGAGCCGTGGCTGGCCCTCTGCGCCCTCGACCATAGTGACCGTATCCCCGCCAACGCCCAGCTTCGCTTCCATGCTCAGGACCAGCGCATTGTCACCTGGATTGCCCAAGCCTTTCTGGAGCACGAGTTTGGCTTGGAACTGGTCTACAAGCAACTGCGTTACCATGACTTGCACCCCATGACGACGCGAGGCATGTATGTCATGGCCATTTTCATCCACGACCTCTCTGACACGCACCCGGCCATCGTCATCCATCCCACGCGTTACCTTCGTGATGCTTGCGCGGGCTACCTTGTCAACGGCTCTCTCCCCTCAGCCGACTCACAAATGTACGACCTGGGGGACCGGTTTGTACACGCCCATTATCGCAATTTTGAAGCATTCTATCACATGCAGTCGGGCCACTCGACACAGCAGGTCCGTTGTGCCGCGTCAAACAATTGCTTGCCACAACAAGCGTCCCTCTATTCAACCTATCCGTGTGCAACCTTAGACGGTACATGGTACAGAAGCGCTCATGGCGGGCGAGGAAGGCGGTTGCTGGGGGTACACCCCCAAGCAGAGCAAGGTGTTTACGTCGCCGCAAGAAAAGGTCGCGCCCACGTTGGCCATGGTCCTGCCAGCCTACTCTGGTGTGTGCGAAGCAAACCTTTGCGCCTTGTTGCCCCGCCTTGGCTCGTACCTGCCTTGGTGCCCGCACACCCTGCCGTTGCAATGTCTCTCACCTCGCATGCCCTTTTACCGTCCCCCTTCCTGTGGGCAGGGCACTGGCGTTTCCTCAACGAGAGTGTCCGGCGCCAGCAGGCTTCGACAGAGCAACCCGACGCCGTTATTGTGTCCTCCTCTCAGCTCAACATCACGCATGCCCGACAAATTCTCTTTGAATTGCCAGACATCAACGGACAAAACCGTTTGGCCGTGGTCGGGCGCTTGGTGCGCCAGCGAGCTGGTCCCACGCGCAACATTGGAACAGCGCTCTCGCGCATGGAATACACCTGCACCATGGACGGTGATGACTGGCCGCAACCACAACGCAATGAAATTGTTCGATGGATGGCGCGCCAGCACCCCTTTGCGCTACTAGCTCACACGAGCCAGCGCTGGTACATCGATTTGGAACACCATGGCATCAAATGCTACAACGAGAGCACAGACATCAACTCGACCACGTACATGCTAGACTTGGGCAACCACATCACCCAGAACCACACCCGCAACCCCACTTATTTACAAAAGGCTTTTCACACCTGGTATGCGGCCCACATGAGCACTTGCTTCAACACGGCTCTCTTTCGTGAGTCTCGGTGGCCCGATCACTACGGCGAGGACGTGCGCTTTGACCACTCCACCATTTTTTTGGGAGAGCGCTTGAACATGACCAGTATTCTCATGTCCGAACCCCTCATCTTTTACATTCGCGTACGTACCACGACACCTCATACCAGTATGCGCTTTGCACGCGGCTGCTGCGCGCGCCCTCACATGTTGCCTCTTGTCTGGGCCATATGATGTCCTCTGTTTGTGGCGCACATTCGGCTAGGTCCGAAGCGCCACCAATCGGGACAATGGAAAGCGGCCTCAGCTGCAAGACAAGATGTTGGAAGCTCCATGAGAGCGACAATGTTCATACTACGGAGTCTGGAGCAAACACAAGACTAAGTGATGAATCTTACCAGCGCAGCCGCGCGTGCTTCTTCGCTTTGTTTCATCTTCCCACTCTCTTCTCGTCGCTATGCTTCATCCTCCCCTTGAAGGGTAGTTGTAGCTCTTATTTATCATCGTTTGCATGATCGTCTTGTCACTCTGAACACTCTTTCTGTCGCGCTCGCTCACGTGAACTGAATGTATTTCAAAAAAAAGCAACCAGTGACTGTTGACAAACGCATGTCGTTGCAAAAAAAAAAATTAAAAAAAAAAAAATCAGATGGCAGCTTGACCGCGATGGCTCGCTTTTCACGCGAGAAAGGCACAAAAAAAAAAAAAAGAAAGAAAAGGCACGATAGTACTAGCATGGCCCAACATGGCTTAACTGCGGCGATCGGACGAGAGCCGGTGTATTCCATGTGGTATGACCGTTGGCGATATAAAGAGGCAAAAGATGCTTTATAACCGTGGTTGTTTCAAACCCATTCGTACTTGGCACCTTGAAGGACACAAACAGAATCAGGCCAAGCGCCGGTGCGCGGCGGCGTAGGGAACGCAACAGGCTGCCTCTTCCAGCTTACATGTCATCGTGCAATATCAAACCCCGGAAGCAAGCACCGCTCAAAAGTCCAACCACTCACGACTGACACAGCGCATTCATTACGACCTTAGCAGGACCTTTTGATTCATTCCCCCACGTCATGATTTCGTGCCAACCCACGTTACACCTCTCTCTCTCTAATGCCTCTCTCATGCCTCTCTCTCTCTCTCTCTCCTCTCTCTCTCTCTATCTGACATTTCGTTGCACTGTTGCGCTGTGCCAACAAAAACCTTTTCGTTGTGAGGGAGAGAGAGTGAGATTTTATTTTTTCGTCATTTTTTGGGCTTTTTATTGTGCTCATCGCGCGCGCGTGGCAGCGTGTGTGTGGCAAGGGCGGGGGCAGTGACCGACGGCGAGATTGGACTCGAATTTGGTGGTCTTGCATTTGGTGGCGTAAAGGTCAAGGGGCTTGGATGAGGAGGTCTGGGAGGTGAATCTCACGGTCCCAAACTTCACATTGCGCCCCAAACGCAATTGGCCCCGCCAGGGCTGCTCGTGATCGTCCGTCCACTTGTGCACTGGGTACGTCTTGACGAATCACAAGACAGCCCGCACCACTGGCGCTCCGTGCATTCGCCACGGTTCCCATCCTGAACCTGATCCGTTCGGTTTGGATCGTGCTCCTCGCGACAAATGCAATGCCCTTCTGTTCCACCGTCGCATCCTTTGGAAACTTGCACAACGCCCCGTCAAATGCTTTCCTTTTTTCTGTCTTCTTCTTCTTTCCTCACAATTGCTTCTGTGCTTCCGCCCCCACCAACAGCTCAAGGGCGCTTGTGCCCGTGATTACCCTCCCCATCTTTCTCGATACACACCAGTCAGCAAGATGGGGAGGATGCTGATTGTCCTTTGCCTGCTGGCCGCCTGCTTGCCCCTTGGTGCCCTTGAACCGGTACGATGGCTTGTCTTCTATCCGTCGTCCCAATTCCGACTGCTCCATGACAAATGAAACACTGGGCCCGTGTCTGGAAACCTTGCCTCTAATCATTGGTGCGCACCCATACGGTCAGACTGCCGACGATCTGGCCGAGGCCGAAGCCCAGCTTCGTTGCTTGGACAGTGACCATGATGGTACGTCTCGTTTCCTTTCTCTCTCTTTCTCTCTCTTTCTCTCTCTCTCTCGCTCTGTGCAGGGGTGTTTCTTGTTCCAAGCCACTCTTGCCCGCCCGTCTACTACCAACAAGTCTTCTAAACTGCCATGACCACTGCAATAGGGGAACTCTCGAACGAAGAATGTCCAGAGGGCGAGATGGTACGCCCCCTTTGCCCCACCACACACCACACACCTCGCACCGGTTGGTCCAACAAGCCTGTGGCTCATGCTGGCACGCGTCTTTCAGGACATGCATGAACTGCGGCGGCTTTGGTTCAACAATCCTGCTCGGCATTGGACCGCGCGACAAATGGCCGACTGGGCCAAGACTAACCAGCTGGTAGAAGCCGCTCAACTCTTCATCACTTACAAGTACGGTGACCTTAACTTCAGAAGCTGCAAGACGGAGAGGCAGCGAAGCTTTCTAATCATTGCACACAGGCAGCCGCTTCACCATTGCTCACTCTGCATCGGCCTGCTCCCATGTACTCGTGCTCATCAACAGCATCCAGGGCAGCGCCATACCGCAACTCGCGAGCAAGGACTCAGACCTCTGCGATCGCATTGGCATTCCAACAATGTTGCGGTATGCCTACCGCTCTTCGAGGCGCAGGGACGTGTCAGCTCCTCTCACCTAATGACCCCGTGCCCTAGGCATCGCATTAGTGCCAAGGCCTATGACCTGCTCCTCTTTGGGCCCACGGGTCGGCAGATTCACATTGGTTCCGTGATCATCATCTACGTCTTGCTTGTGGTCGCAGTTGTCGTGGCCGTCTATCTTTACACCTCCCGTAAACTAGCTATGCGCCACGCTGTGGCCCCGTTGGACGCGGGTCGCATCCGCAGCTGGCTACTCACTCGTGGCTACGAAGAGGTCAGGGACACCATTCCATGTCCATGCTCACTGATTTGGCCCTTTTGCTCGTCATGATTTAGCCCTTGATCTTACGAATGGTGTCGCTTCTGTAAAACATAGTTTCAGCCCATTTTTGACAAGGTGGAGCCGCAGAAGCTGCTACAAATGTCGGCTCTGGAGCTCATGGACTTGGGGCTTTCAACTGATGATGCGGTCTGTCCATGACCCTGACTGCTGAACTCGGTCGCCAGGTGGCAACTGACACTAACCCTCAAATCAATGCAACCCATGCGTGCAGCTGGAGTTGGCCGAGGATCTCAAGGCCCTACGCCGCCTATTCACAAGCGAACATGGTGTGAACTGCACCTTGCACCTTCTCCTCTGCCTTCCCAATCCAAATTCGTCCTTGACCGGGGCCGCTTCCGTTGCCGTATTCATCATTGGCCGTTGGCTTGTGCCTGGAACTCGTATAGGCACCCTACAACGTCGGGCTCGCACGTCGCGACCAAGTACTACCACAGATAGCAAGATGGGCACGCTGCGTGCATCAAATGGTGACGACAGCAACGGTGCACAATCCCCCACCCGGAGCGTCTTTCCGAGTGCCGCAGACGACACCGAACCGGAAAGCCCCGGGTCCGGATCCTTGAACGTCTTCACGCCGGCATCGCCAGTCACCATCCAACGGAGCCGTAGCGACGCCCTTCTCAGCTCTTTTATGGGACCGGGAAAAACAGTGGTACTCCGACCCTCGGCATCTGCCCTCAATACCTTGGCCTCTGATTCGGGCGTGACTCGCTCTGCCATTACCACGGGCGGCAGTTCCCAGACGTCGCAGAATCAAGACTCTCCGTGTGCGGAAACCCTCGTCATGCACTCGGGTATGAATGATTTTGCACTTGCCCCTTCTCCACAGCTTTATTGGGGCGGGGCGGGCGGTTTGGTTTTCGGTTTTCGGTTTTTTGGTTTTCGGTTTTCGGTTTTCGGTTTTTTGTTTTTTTGACTCCTTGCAGATTCACCCGCCCCCATGTCCGGTTTGACTGGTTAGGTGTATACCAACGCGTGGGTCGATCGTTGGTAGAACTAGCTGATGCTAGGCTGACTCTGCAAAAACGGGTGGGTAGTGGCCAGTTTGGCGATGTTTACATGGCCATTTGGTCTGGCTCCACCGCCCGAGGTGAACGCTTTGAAGAACAGACCGTTGCCGCCAAAGTTCTTCGCGCTTTGAACAGCCTTGACTCACAGTACGTGATGCGTTTTCGTCATCTCCATCACTCCATACCCTTTGCCTCTATCTTCATGTTTTGCGCCTCTTTCTTATTAGGCGACACCATCAGCGAGAGTTGCAAACACTCAGCACACTCGAGCACCCCAACATTGTCAAGTTGATCGGTGCTAGTTCGCTGTCCGATCAAGTCATCCTCTTGACTGAATTTTGCAATGCCGGAAGTCTATTTAGGGCCCTTCATGACATGCAAGAGGTTAGGTGAAGCGCAGATGCTCAACTACCATCGAGGTGGAAGCTGCTACTTAAATCTGCTCAAAGCGTGAGACTCATCCTTGAATTTTTCGCTGAAACAGGTCGTGTACGAAATGCCTTGGGTATGCCGTATCTCACGTGAAGTAGCCAGTGGAATGGCGTACCTACACTCGCAGCACATCCTTCATCGAGGTGCACCTGCTTGATCGCTCCCCACATCTCCGTTGCAAAAAGTGCTGGGCAAGCTCGTTGTCCAAAAGCAGGACTCATGGCTGGCTTGTTCTTTCCCTAGACCTCAAGAGCCAGAACGTCTTGTTGCACAGCACGGTTCGCAGACTGTCAACCAACGTCGTCTTGAACGTAGAGGAGGTGCATGCCCGCATCTGCGATTTTGGGTAGGTGATGTTGCTGTCGTCGGAGTCTTTTGCCTTGGAGACAGAACACAATGAGTCTTGACTTTGGCTGGATCATTGGGTCGGTGACATGTACTCATTTGTGTGCGAATGCACGCGCATTGCAGCCTCGCTAAACAATCAGACCACATGACGAAGATGACGGGCACGCCCGGCACGCCGGCCTGGATGGCTCCTGAAGTCATTCGAGCTGAACCCAGTGGCATGCCCAGCGATGTGTACAGCTTTGCCATTGTTCTCTGGGAGATTGTTTGTCGACAAGTGCCTTGGCAGGGCATGGAAGCGACCCAAGTGCTATTTGCCGTGGCTGCCTTCAATAAGCGGCCCCCTATCCCACAAGATTGTCCCGCTAATTTGCAAGAGCTCATCCGGGCTTGCTGGGACCAGGTGAGCTACCATGCACCTGCCTCTTTGTTTGTTTGTTTGTTTGTTTGTTTGTTTTTCTGCTTCAGCCATCAGCGGTGCACCCTTTTCTTCTAACCTCACAACTGTCCATCTTACTCCATGCTAATTGGTGCTTCCGACAACCAATTTCAGGCTCCGGCACAACGACCCTCCTTTGGTGACGTTGTGCTCGCCCTTGAAGCCTTTTCGGCAGCCAATACGAAGCTGGGCTTGCACGCAACGCTGGCGGCGACCCAAGCAACTTGGTCGGCTGACATCAAGAACAAAGTGGCCGAATACCAGCAACAGGAAGAGCTCATTCGAGCCAAAGACATTGAGATTGACAATCTGCGGATGCAGATTGAACACTTGCAAAGTCGACCGCCCAAAAGCGCACGCAAGCGCACCAAGAAGCGTTCAACTAAGCAAAGTACTTCAGACTACCTGACACCAAGCAGCCCTGACATTGCAAACTTGCGGCGACGCCAGCCCGCACTACCGACCGTCGCCACTGACTAAACCACCGAGCTCGACTTACAGCCCGTGTTGCCTTGTCTTCAAGTCCCGCACCGGTGTTCTCACTCGTTCATGCATTATTGTCCATATAAAACTGTCGTCGTCGTCTTCTTTGTCTTTTCTTTTTTCTTTGATTTTTTTTCGCAGAGCTGCAGAAACCTGATATCTCGATGGACGCGTTTTCAATTTTTTGAGGCATTCATCAACTATCCAACTTGTCCAACATGCTTTTCTACTCGATGGGCTTCTCTTGCCAAAACCCAGCCGCACGAACAGCACCAAGGCCCTCGGACGCCAGTTGCGCGCTGGCCATGAACCAATCTGGCAGCATGTTCGAGAACGGACTACGCGCCATCGGTGGGATGGTGGGCACCACTGTGTTTGCAATCAGCGCCTCAAGACTTGCGTCGTCCATGCCAAAGAGCAGCAGCTGTGTACCAAGTTCAGAAGACACTTGTCCACTTGTCACTGCGGGCATGGTCAGCAGAATGCTGGCTGCTGGTGATGCCCGTTGACTTTGATTGGCGCATGCAGTGTCAGAAGCGTTGCTGAGCCAGACTAGCTGGCACCAGGCCTCATTGACAGCAAAGTGTTCAGTGACGACTGGCTGATGAGCCTCAACCCAAGATCGCAGTGCAGCACTGTTATCTGCCGTGGCCAACACGATCTCATGAGCCTGCCAACGCTCAGCAGACGTTGCAATCGACGCAGCCACATCCGAGGTTTGCATAAACTGATTGTTGATGAAGACCGCCCAAGGCAAATGTTCTATGTGACACCAACCCACTCAGTTCATCGTGAGCTGCAAGGTCGCTAAGATCAGCGAGCTGGATTTTTTTCTTTTTCTTTTTCGTTTGTAAAGCAGGGTAGCAAGCACGTTCCTTGATGCGCGTGCTTTCGCGCTGCCCTGTCCTTTTGGTTTGTTTTTGGTTCCTTGTGTTTTTGCCTTTGTCTTTTCTTCCCTCCTTTTGAGTTTAGGTCAGATCATTCAACCTCGAGCAAATTGAGTTCTTGTTTTCGAATGGATGGTCCCCTTTGTGGCTCTGGATAAACCCTGATGAGATGGTCCACTTACCAGGATTGAGAGGGCGGATGGCGAACGGTTGGTCTGCAACAGCGTGTGGATGCGTCGCTGGCACACCGAAGGCATCACACCGACTCCAACTATGGTTCGCACAAAGACAAAACGCCAGTGGTTGCCCAAAGCTGCCTGTTACCGCCATTAGCTGATCATCTATCCTGATGGTACCCTGCGTTGATTGGAGGGGTGGCAGGGCGTGGAAGAAGACTCGCAGCAGTGAGAAAATTCGCTCTTAACGCCCTTTAGTCACATGGCACCAACATCACCAGACGATTCAAGCACACTTTTGTGCCTTGCCCTTGCCTCGACCCAACATGAAAACACATGCGTATTCAAAGGCCGTGCGTACCTGGAGAAGCTCTGGGCAAGCACGGAGGGGGGTCAAGCTGAGGCGCAACACATTGTGCGTTGACAGGACTACAGCCCCCGGCCCTTCCACGCCAATCTCAACCAAACTTTTGCCATGGGCCATACGCTGCGCAAGCACGCGCACGCCCCACTTGGATCCGGTGGTTGCGACGTCGTAGACCACCAGCCGAGCCTTTTGTCCTGATTTGCATTGTGACTCGGGCTGGGCGTTCAGGACTTGATCAAAAAAGTCGCGAAAGGTCTGATCAAATACTGCGCCCCCATCATTGGTCTTCTGGCTGTCCCACCACCAGTGCTCCTTGTTGTGCAATTCATCCGCGTGTGCGGATATACCTTGCTCTTGAAGAATGCGCTGCAGTCGACGATGGAAGAAGGGGTGCACCGTTCGATCGGCTGTACCCACACGGTGATATATCGGAATCCCCTTTAAATTGCTTGCGTGTTTGTCAACGTCGTTGTGGCGAAAGCTTGCCTCGAATACGGCTGCTAGCAACGGGTCCAGGCTCGCACGTCCAATATCAAAGTGCAGCCAAGCATTGGAGTCACCGTAGTGCTCTTTGGAGAGCCATCCCGACGCTGGAGCCAAGGCCAGAAGCCGGTCTGGTTGATGCGTGCCAAAATGCCAGGCACCATGACCACCCATAGAGTGACCTAAACGCATGGCGGCACGTGACATCAGTCAGTTCCTGCACGAGCTGGTTGTGCATGCTACATGGCCAACGTATTTTGTCAACGGCGCGGAACATTCGGGTGCTCGTACCTGTCACGATGAGTCGATCGATGTCAGCAAGGCGTGCATGGCATTGCACCTCGCCCACCTGTTGGTGAGTCGCATTGAGGAGAGCATCCGAGACAGAGCCTGACACAGGGGGCCGGAAGGGTACACTACAGGCACGCTGACAAGCAGAGCTTGACTGCTGCCTCAGAGATGCGGCACACTCGTGTGGACAAGACTGCTGCTGAGCACTGGAGCAAAACACTGGGTGCCGGCTGAGCCAATGAAGGTGCTCAAGCGCGGCAAGGGCGGTACGATACCCAGGACCTTCCCAGTTGTGAGCACCATGGCGAGTTGGCGCAATCAGCCAGGCGTTGGGCGAACCAAAGACCCAGTCATCCCCTTTTTGAACCCCTGAAAGCCAGGCTCTCCGTTTTTCATCTTCCTGTGCTAATTCCGCAGCCAGAACGGCTGAGGACACTTTGTAGCTCTCGGCCTGGCGCCGTGCGGACACCCCGGTGCCATGGAAGGAGATGATCACAGGGCAAGCGCGCGCATTTGGAAGAGTGGCCTGCAAATCCGTTGTCCAGGATGCACCCCGAGACCAGCTCGCTTCCGGGGCACTGGGACAGGGTGAGCGCGGGGCAAGCGCACTCGCCAGCTGCACAGCGCCATCGGCATCCAAGAATGTAAAATCAAAGGCTTGGTTGACACTGCGTCGACATTCCAATTGCAGCGGTGTAGCTTGCGACAGAACCATGCCTTTGGGCGCTTGGTGATCAAATTCACCGGTGGCCTCTTCGGGAGGCCAACGCTGGGCTTGAGCTGTCAGGGTCAAAGTGATGACGAGGGGACATGAAAGGCGAAATGCAGTGGAGAGCTGAACGCGAATGGGTACGAGCGCATGCTGGCCTGGCGCTATCAAAATTGGTGTGGCGGACACAAGCTCAACCCGGGCACTGCTGTCGCTGGACACTGCAGTGATTCGAAGCGCATGCTGTGCGTGCAGATTGGAGACGTGTATAGGCACTAGCCCGGTGGGCAAGGCCCCGTCCACCAAAGATGGACGCCGGTCATCCGGAACGTGGATCTGCATGCCACTGCTGGCAGGCTCCTCACGCTCGGGAGGGTTGTTTGGAAAGACGTTACGAATGCGACAGCTCACTTGAGCTTGAGCGCGTGCACGAACTCGCATGGCCACCACGTGTAAGCCTGGCTCCAGATGGATGGTACCCGGAAAGTGGGAGCGGCGATATAAATCACCTGTGATCGGTCGGCCATTCAGCTGAGGCCATGATTGACGATCAATCCAGAGCAAGAAGCAAGCATAACAATAGCACCGAGGCAACACCAGTGAGCCTGATGGGTGAAAACACGGCTCAAGACCGTTTAGAGGTTAATGAAAGAAAGCACAAAGGCATGAATGAAGGCAGCGTGTGATACCATCAGGGCTGCGACGCCGAGACAAGTCACGGCATAGGTGCCTGCGTGGACAATGCCGTACTCGGCTCGAAGCCATCCTTTGAAGTAGGTGCCAAGCAACGACTCGATCAGATTATCACAAAGAGGGACAATATGCGCCAAGACTAGACAAGGGGGAAAAATTAAAAACTTTGACCCCATCTCTAGCCACACCTTGCCACTCGAGAATAGCCATGTCTCCCATGGCGCGGACCAGTTCATTCCAGTCGACCTCGGGCTGCAGCATGACTTCCCCATCTGCATGAGCACGTGCGGCGATTTGGGTACATGAGTGCACTTGGTTCTGAAAAAGGGGAGCACGTGTAAAACATGGCCTAACCGCGAGCTGGGAGACGACGCCAGCTCACACGGCCATTACTTGAGAGCTCCGAGTAGAGGCTGGTGTCAGGAGCCACCTAGATCGGCCAACAAACGCCCTTGCAGTTTACCGTGAGCGACAGTGCACCCAAACACGCTGAGCCCTGGTACAGAAAATGACTGCCCCTATTGACGCACGTGATTGTGGCCACCTAGAGCGGCCACGGGATCGCCGTCCAGTTCATGCTTGCCTGTTGCGCGCAAACGAAACCCCCGTGATGGTCAGAAGGCGCCAAAGGTGAGCTTGGGTTGTGACTTGCATGAGATCGGATGTCGTTGCCGTGGTGCAAAATCTTCAAGTTAGAGCCCACCTATCGGAAACGGCCCCAGAAACCACCACTTTGCGCTGCCAAGGACTCCTGCTCGCGAGACGGATGTGCGTGCAGCGGCCAGGATCATTCTTCAACTGCCGCCGCCAACCCCCGCCGTTTGGTTTGAGAGGAGGTCAGATCATGTATGATGAAAACACGCAGGGCTAACGCATTGAATCATGCGTTGCGTACCACTTCATGATGGGTGGTGTCAAGTGCAGTGTACACACGCAGGAGAGTCAAGGTCGAAAGGCTAGTCGGAGTCTACCCGGAAAAGGATACCCGCACACGGGTCAGTGGGGAGGCATGCCTTGCAGCAGGAGCAAGTCGAAATCACATGCATGTTTGCTGACTGATCGCCAATCAGAAAAAAATTGGAATGAACCTTTTGTAGAGCGGCCATCAAGCAGGCCTTGTGGGCGGCATGATGCGGCCAGCTGACAATCTAGTTTTTGCGCCCACACCAAGGTGAGCCAGCAAGGAAATCTACGCGGACCAAATGCATGCCTCACTCACGCCGCTGTGTGGGCACGTTGCTACCACCGCCGAAATCTCAGCTGACATATTCGCTTGGTCTAAAGGGAGTCAAATCGCACGCAGGCTCTGGTCAGCGAGCGGCAGCCGTCGGATGTGCGCTGCCATCGAGCAGACGTGCAAAAGACCTACGCTCATGCCCGCGGAGGGCGCGCACAAGAGCTGCCGCATCGACGCCACCCTTGCCATCCGATCCAACAGATGCTCGTCCAGATGCAGATCCACCAGTCACCCCCACCCAGCACCCCATCATAAGAAGCACCAGACCGAGTGCGCGCCCGAGGGCTGCCCACCTCCGTGAGGCATCACGACCGGCCATCTCCTCCGACGTGTCCGCACTTTTGGTGTGCGACACAAATTGTCTGACAAGTCGAAATGGGGGTTTTGTTTCAGCAAAATGGTATATTTTTACCCCCTTTGGGTTCGCTGTGAGTCTTCCAGTCTCTGTGTGTGTGTGTGTGTGTGTGTGTGTGTGTGTATGTGTGTGAAACGGCAGCGGCGACGGTGAAGGCGGCAGGGCAGTGGCAGTGCCCTTAAGCAGGAGGATCTTCTGATCGGCAACGGGCACTATGGGATCGAGTCAGCGAAGACATGTCTTGAGGGAGATGGATGGACTTTTGATTTGGTGAACATGAAGGGGAAGCTTTTGTCTGAGAGGGGGGCGGGGCTGGGCAGCGGCTTGAGCTGCTTCGGAATCGTGGGACCCAACGTGGGCAGCCGGGGGGGGCTGAGGATCGAGGGCCCACTGCCTGCACCGCGCGGAGGGGATGCAGGGATCGCAGCATTGCCGTTACCCCAAGGACCATGCGCTCTTTTTTTTTTTTTTTTGTTTGTTTGCTCTGCCTCATCATTGCATGGTGTCGCGTCGCCTACAGGCTGTTTGTTGGCCTTGACAAGCCAATCTTTCCCGGCGCCATGTCCTTCTACACTTGTGGCCCCAACGAGGCGCTCGTCCTCTCTGGCTGCTGCCTCTCCAAGGTTGGTTAAAGCGTCCCGGCTTGGCGAATCTAGGCTGATCCGATCGAGGTTATGGCTTGTCCCACTTTGAGCCAACACTTTTTTTTTTTTTTTTTTTTGCTTCGCTTTGTCCTTGACCTTCTGCAGCCCAGGCTGGTGCCCGGTGGCCGCGTTTTCAAGCTGCCTTGGATCCAAAAGCTGCAGCGGTCTGTTTCTTGCACTGCTGCTTGCTGCGATCGCCTGTGACAATGTCATTTTGTGTCGCTGACTGGTGCCTGCGATACTGCTTGGACCTCGCCGTAAACTCAGCATAAGCCTGAACATCATGACGCTGAGCATCGAGTCTCCCCGCATCTACACGAAGCAGGGCGTGCCGATTTCCGTCACCGGCATTGCACAGGTCAAAATCGAGAGTCAGGATTCAACGGCCCTGCATCGGGCTTGTCAACAATTTCTTGGTCTATCCGAAACGGAGATCAAGCATGTTATTCTTGAAACCCTGGAGGGTCATCAGCGCGCCATCATGGGCACTATGACTGGTGTGTAATCACCATACCGGTCCCTTGATGCGCGCATGTGTTCGCGTGCCTGTGTGCTGTGCATCATGCCCCTCGGTGTTTTGCGCCTCGTCCTCGCTGTGCGTGATTCTGTGTGCCACGCCCGTCTTGTGAGCTCTGCTTCATTTGGATATGTGTTTGGTTGACGTCCCCTCGTGCTTGCAGTGGAGGAGATTTACCAGGATCGCCAAAAGTTTAGCGAAGCCGTTTTTGAGGTGTCTTCCCGCGATCTCGTCAACATGGGTGTCACCGTCGTGTCTTTCACCCTTCAGTCTATCAGTGATGAAGTGGGCTACCTCAAGGCCCTGGGTGAGAAGCGTACGGCCGAGGTGCAGCGTGATGCTCGCATCGGAGAGGCTGAGGCTGCCCGGGACTCGGGTATCAAGGCCGCCATGGCCCAACAAGCGGAGCGTGCCGTGCACTTTCAGAACCAGGTTTGGTCCCGTGTTGTCTCCCTCAAACTCTCAGACTTTCTCTCCAAACCTCTCTCTCATCGCCGGGCCACCAACCTGTGCTTCCGTTCGTGCCCTTGTTTCTGATGCTAGATTGAGGTGGCCAAATCCAAGCGTGATTTCATGTTGAAGAAAGCTGAGTTTGATCGTGAGGTCGAGACCCAAAAGGCCGTGGCTGCCCTCGCCACGGACCTTCAGACGGCCAAGACCCAGCAGAAGATCCGAAATGAAGAAGTCGGTGTTCGTTTGATCGAGCGTCAAAAGCAGATTCAGGTGAGCTCCCTGTGTCCGCTTTCCAGATCTTGCCTGGGTGCCTGCGTTCGTCATTTGCTTGGATGCTGACGGCCCGGTCCTCTTCGATCTTTGCCAACCTGTAGGTCATGGAGCAAGAAATTGTGCGCCGCGAGCGTGAGCTCGAGGCACAGGTCAAACAGCCAGCCAAGGTCCGTCGGAGCGGTGTCTGTTTCCCTGCGTTCTGTACCCCCTTCCTTTCTCTTTTTTTTTTTTTCCATTGTCATCCTGTGGTGAATGAGTTTGTTGTTGCTGGTTGTTCATCTACTGGTTGGCTCCTTCTTTCCAGGCCGAGAAGTATCGTCTCGAGACGTTGGCTGAGGCCGAGAAGAATCGGTTGATTCTCGAGGCTGAGGCCGATGCGGAGGCAGTGCGTGCTCGCGGTGAGGCCGAGGCCTTTGCCATTAATGCCAAGGCGCAGGCTGATGCCGAGGCGATGCAGAAGAAGGCGCAGGCTTGGGAGCAATACAAGGACGCGGCCATTGTGGACATGGTGCTGTCCACGCTACCTCGTGTGGCAGCTGAGATTGCCGCGCCGCTCAACAACGTGGACAAGATCACCCTGGTTGCTGGCCCCAACGGCGAGATTGGTGCTTCCAAGCTGACGGGCGAAGTGCTGAACATCATGAACACGCTCCCTGAGATGGTCAAGAACCTGACTGGCGTCGACCTCGCGCAGGTCGTGCGCTCCACCCGTGTTTAGATGTTGAAATACCTTTTTCCGTTTTTTTTTTTTCCTTTCTTTTGTTTTTCTTTCTCTTCGTCTGTTCTTCCGCCCCTCCTTTGTTGTCTGCCTGCTTGGCGACCCGTATTTCTTTCATCCCTTCATGCCTGTGTCTTTGCTGCGGTACCCTTGTTGTGTCTGCTGCACCGGCACCCCCTGGTTCTCGACCAGCCCGGCTGTTGATGTTGTTTTGTGTATATGCTACTGCCGACGTGGAGTGAGTGGATGCTGACATCCTTTGTTATTCGGGCATTTTTGGTACCAGAGGCGCCTGGCTATCTCGCTGATAACTCGTGTGCTTTTCCCGTTTGCTCTTGTGCTTGTGATTTAAACCAATCCATATGCTCCCTTCTGGGTACCATGCTCGTGAACGTTGCGCTGACATCGCTTTGGTGGACGATGTACCGTGCTGATCCATGTCGTGGTGCGATGCTCTGTGTCCAGCGTCGCCCAACAATACGACAGTCTACTTTGCTTTTTTTTTTCTGTTTTTTCTTCTCTTTTGCTAGCCCGTCCGCAACCCGTCCGCAACTAACCATGACGTACACTGGTCATAAAAGAAGGCGGGCAGACCCCGTCATCAGTAGCATTCAAAACCCGACGATGGACTCGTACTAGCTCGGTTTGTGAGAATACATGAGTTCACTGAGCATGTCATTCAATTCTGAGTACATTTATTGTTCAATCTCCTCCTGTGTGTCTCGAGGAGCACCCTTCCACAACTCTTTGAGTTCCACCTACGCACCATGACGCACACCGACGCACACAGGGTGAGGAGGCCGGCAAGCAAGCCGCAGACCGAGAAGCAAGTACCAAGCAGAACGAAAGGACATAAAAAGAAAGGGAGAAAAAAAGGGGGAAAAACAACAAAAATTATCACAAAATTGCGCAGAAAATAGACAAAGCAAAATCTCAAAAAAGACGCATGGCATGCGAAAAGAGAACAGCAAGCTAGTCTGACCTTGCAACCCAGGTCGCGAAGGGCAGCCTTGGCGTCATCCTGACAGTCCTTGAACTTGGACATGGCAATATTGATCAGATTCTCCGCCCCCTCGGCCAAGATGGCATCATGAAGGTCCGGATTGCGGGCAGCCAAATTACGCAAGGCGCTAGAACGGATAGATCAAGCCAAATGCACGTCACCGCGTCAGCAAACGACACCTGCGTCCAGGGCGTCAAGGCCAAGGGCAGCAAGGGTACCCGAGCGCAGCCTCACCGACACGCCTCCTTGGCGACACGGGCCGAGTCGGGATGCATGATGAGAGCCTTGACCACTGTGTTGGCCCCACCGTTAGCCACGACAGAGGCCGCATTCTCGCGACAGCGGAGGCAGCATGCCGTCAGAGCGGCGCAGCCATTGGCCATGACAGCTATACCGAGCAAAGCATACACGGACACGACCGCGCCGACACAAATGGTGAGGAAGCCACCGGCAATCGCAGCAAGGGGGCCAACGACTATGCAACACACGCACAAGTCTTTTTTGCATATTTGTTCATAACGGTGAGCATCACCGGGATTCCCTGAGCGGAGTGAATATCCAGTTTAACCTCGTCGTTGCCCGCAATGGCCTTGAGGACACCCAAGCCTGCAGACGCAAGCTAAGCAAGCAGAAAGCGCAGAATTGGCGGAAACGAACGGATCAAACAGTGAATAGGTCGCGAGTGTACAGGCGTGACCGTCCACGTGCTTCATGGTACATGGGTTGGTCGGAGGTGCAACGGAAGAGAGAGGGAAACCTCACCTTGGAGGAGCAATCATCCCGAGCCAGGACGCCAAGAACGGAGCGCAGCCCACCGAGGGCAACAATGTCTCGGCAATACTCGTTGCGCACGGCCAAGCGGGCGAGGGTGGAGCAGAGTTCCTGAAGAACGGCATCATCAGCAGCAAAAGTCTCAATGGCCTGCAAAATGGCGGGCAGCGCATTATGTTCGGACACGATAAGCTTGGCATGGTCATGAGCCTTGCCGAAAGCCACGCGAATGTCGTCATCAAGGGTCAAGTCGCGCAAGCAATGAGCAGCCTCAGCCACCGCGTCGGGCTGGTCCTCGTGAGTCTGAAGCACATGGAGGAGCAGGTCTATCAGGCCCTCCGCAACAAAGGTTTGACGGTTGGTCTCGTGCATCACCAGAGCTTGACGAATGGCATGGATGCCGTGCTGCTGCGTTTTGCCATCCTGAGGAAACCGACGAAGCGGACGGCACAGCTTCTCGGCGTGGGGGTGGGACTGCGCTTCCCCGATGATGTTGTTTGGGTTGTTGCGTGTCACGAGGTCAGGTTGACCGGTCAAGAGTTGGGCCATGACCTGCAAGGCTGTATGCAGAGCATCACGGGCCGGGAGCTCGGCGTGGCACAGTGCCTCAATGGCCGCGAGCAGCGCAGGAAAGCCATGCTCCTGGGCCAGGATGGTCTTGGCAGCTGGATCACGCTCGAGTTCGGCACGGAGCTCACTCAGGGCGGCTTGCGCCAGCACGAGGTCGGTCACCACGGGCTCACCCTCACCCTCGCTCTGTTGCATGGTAGCACGGAGGCGCTGCAGCACCGTCACCACCACTGGGATGCCGCTGCCGAGTACGCTGGCCTCGTCACGTCGGATATTGGTCAAGTCCACACCTGCGCACGAAAGAGACAGACCAAAGATGCTTGTTGGCTGGACGAAGCGAAGGGCGGGGCGGGCGGCAAATGGCTGGATGAAGATGGAGCGGGAAAGCCCACGCACGCAAGACCCACCTTGTGATTCAAACTGCTCGACGGCATCGTTCACAGCATCCTCCAACTCCATCTCAAACTCCTTGATGTTTTCCTATCACCCAAGAGTTGCCGGAATGTCACATGCGTCATCAGAACACAGATGCTGGTCGGAGGGACACGAGGGGTCGGGTAGAAAGTATCCAGTGTGCCCGTACCTGGACCACCTCGTTGAAGGTTTCCTGTGTGATGCGCTTCGAAGCCATGATCGACGGTGACTGAGAGTCGATGTCTATCCGCTCAACAGACGGAAGAGCGTAGAGAAGTTGTCTCGAGCTGATCAAGGGCTGCTCGGCAGCGTCAAATCCTAGCAGGAGGAAGGCGGTCACCAAACGAGGCCGTGAGTCCAAGATTGGCCCCCTCCCCAATGCAGCCCTTGCTGCGCTCCGTCTCCCAACCCAGGGCAGCCCGGCTTGGCAAGGTGCTTGGCCTTCTCGACAAGATAGCAACACTATCACACCGCACTGGTTCAACTCCCTAGCTGCTGCCCCACCGCCTTCCTCCTTCCGCCTCTCCGATCCGACCCGGCCGCCGTGTGCTCGCTCACCTCAATTTTTCAATTTTTCAATTCACTCACACACACACACGTCAATCAAGCAAAACGACCAAAAAAGTCACACACACACACACACACACACACACTTGAATCACCAAGGCGATCTACGATACACTAACAACAGTCACACTTTGGCTCGTTCAAGGTGCACTCTTCGCCTTGTTGAAGTTTGTATGCAGTTTTAAGCCGAGCAGATGTCGCCAACGGTCATACCACATGGAATACACCGGCTCTCGTCCGATCGCCGCAGTTAAGCCATGTTGGGCCATGCTAGTACTATCGTGGGTGACCAGATGGGAATACATGGTGCTGTTGGCCTTCCTTATCTTTTTTTTTTTTTGAGAACTCGTCTTTTGTTCTCGTTCTTTTTCGGTCTCCTCTCTGTGTTTCATGTCTCTCTCGTAATATCTCTCTCTGTCTCTCTCTGTCTCTCTGTCTCTGTCTCTCTGTCTCTCTGCCTCTCTCTCTTCTCTTTTTTTTTCTTCATCGTCGTAGTGTGTGTGTGTGTGCGTTCGTGTTGAATGCGCTCAGTGTCGTCTCGTCGTGATTGACCGGAGCAATGGCGGCGGTGCCGGCCACTCTGCCGCGGGGGCAAAAGGCGCAAAACTTGTTGAGGGGTGCCATTGCGTCTGTTTTGATGGATGTTGGCTTTGCTGATGTTTGGGCAGAGGCGACTCCCGCAACTACCGTGGCCACCAATGCTCGGTGCGCTTTCCCCGGTGCTCCCTTGGTCATGGCTCTGGATCCTTTGCACCGCTTGGGCGCGCTGCGTCAGGGTGCCGCCAAGCGTGCCCAGGATGCGCAGTCGGATGTGGATACTGACGACAATGTGGGCTCTGGCGACGCCAACGCACCGGCCAAACGAAGCAAGCTCATGACGGTCCAGAGCACAGCCACCACTCCATCCACCCCTACGAACGGCCCACCCTCAATACCAAGCGTACCTGCGCCGCACATGCCCGATGATCCCTACGGCAAGCTGCCTTCCAACCCTGCTCGAACTGCCAGGTCAACGTCCATGATGCCCGGACACGCTTACATGCGCACTTCTTCCGTGCCGACGACTGCTGCGGCCGTTCTCTCTGCGCCAACTGCGGCGCCGCCTGCCCCAACGGCGCCTGTGGCGCACCATGGACCCGAGTCAGAAACCACCCCACACCCAGTTGCCGAGGGTGCTCGTGAAGAAGTTGCAAAGCCTGCAGTTCCTACTCAACCTGCCGCTGAGGCGAGCCAGTCAGAGCCGGTCAACACCGACAAAGCAATGCCAGAGAGCTCGGCTCAAGTTGGTGTTGGCGCGAGTACCACCGATTCGCAACCGTCAGTCAAGGACGAGGCGATTGTTGAGAGCCCTGCAAAAGCAGAAGTCTCGGCAGATGTTGTTCCGTCTGGCGACACTCAAGCAACCACGACCACGGCTTTGGACGCAACAGACTCGAGCAAACCAGCCGCGCCAGAGGGTCCGGTCGCTAGCACAAACCCTCTTCAGACCTCGCCAACTCCTTCAGCCACCGCGAACACGGATGGCAAGGCCGCATCTTCGCCAACAGCTACCAAGGCCGCATCTTCGCCAACAGCTACCAAGGCCGCATCTCCAAAAGATGACGAGACTGCAGCCCCACAGACACTGTCTGATGGGCCCAGTGGTGTCAATGCCAATCCAAGCGCACCACAGGAACTGGCTGCACCAAGTGAAGTCAAATCGGAACCTATTGCTGGGGTGTCGGAGACAATCGCAAGCGAGGCAACAGCAAAACAGTCGTCCCTCGAGCCGAATGACTCAGACTCGGTCCAACAATCGTCCCTGGAGGTGAAAGACGCAGACCAGGTCACATCTGCTGCAGCAAGCCCCATTGCGTCAGAACCGATCCAGCCAACGGGGCGTGCCGATGCCCTTGGTGCCCTGGGTGAGGCTGTAGAGAAGTTCATATACGTACGTCCTTACTCGAGTCTGGCACCCTGCGCTTCTCGCCCAGTGGCAGTGAGAAGATGAAGCTTTTGTTGCTGAAAACGCGGGCCACACTTCTCACGCATTGCCTGCGGTTGACAGACACTTGCCGGCCATAGCCTCGGCCTCAGTCAAAATGCTAGTCGTTGCCAAGTATCGGAATACGACATTCTTATGGCCCTCCGCTTTCTGCGTGCGTTCCTTTCATTCTACTTGTGCAAACGCAGTTTTAGGGCTTGTGGGCGCATGTTGACAAGCGTCAGTTTGACTTTCCTTTCTGCCACGTCACTGCTCTTTAGACAACGCCGACCTGTCTCCAGAGGCCCTCTTTGCTTATCTGCAGCGCTTTCAAGCCTGTGGTACGTGCTCCATGGGGCACCGGGGCCGGCCCGGGCTTCTTCTCTCCCACTCCCGACGCACACACACACACGCATACACACACACTTGTTTTTTTTCTCTTTTTCATTTTTTCCCACAAAGCATCAAATCATGCCTGGCTTAATCCACCATTGTCTCTTGTGCCTGTAGCCAAGTCTGAAGAGGCGGCACCCATCATGACCGCCGCAGCGGATGAAGTGGAGCTACCATTGCCTGTCCCACAGACAATCCCTAAAGTAGGCGGGCCTCTGTGGGAATGGATGTTGGATCTTAGCACTCGTAGCATGCTCCAGTTGCTAACATCCTGTCTACGCTTAGGTCCTTAATGATGAGTCTCTCCGGGTACCCAAGCCAGCACATCTGCCCGATTTCCTACCCGATTTTCCTGAACCGCACACCTTTGCCCGTACTAGCGTATGTCTTTGGAACAGACGCATGGTGATGGTTACTCTTGTTGCGTCAAAGCTGAGCTTCATCGGATTGTCCTTGCTTCTTTGCTTGTGGAAACTAGCTGTATCAACCTGCTGAGCAGTCGTACATTCGCTACCGCATGCGTCGGGCCGCAGGTGTCCACCATGCACAAGCCAGCCTTGTCCGGTCAGTCTCACAGCAGTTGGGTAGTTGCCACGTAGGCCCCAGCCTGCTAAGCTAGTGGTGGCTCATTTCCTGCTTGCCCATCGTCTATACGATATGGTATTGGTTGGCGCGTGCTTATCTGCGTGTGTGTGGATATATCATGTTCTTGTTTTATTCTTCCGTGCAGGACCTTACTGTTGCCCAGCAAGGAGACATTGATCGAGCTCAAAGCCTCGACGCGACTTCGCGCAACAGGGACCAAGTCTTTTACTGCTCACTTGGGCTGTGCCAACGCCCTTCGACCCTACGCAGCCATTCTTGTCAACGAGAATGTGTCTCTTGGTCAGCTCCCTTGCATTGCCCTCCGCACCAGTTTTGATCTGTGGCCGCCTGGGAGCCGCCACCCTCACGAGGCCTTGTTTATGTTTTTGTTCTCACCTGTGTAGACGTTGAGGAAGAGGAGGGCCAAGACAATGAATTCACCCTGAGTAACATTTTGAATTTCGAGGATGATCGCGAAGCAGATGCAGCGCACCGCGCGCGATTGGAGGTCGAGGTCGACTATCCCAACGAGGACGACCTTATTCTCAGCTAAATAGGGGTTGAGTCAAAGCCCACCACTGAATTAACATGTTTAACTTTTTCGATCAATACAGCCACTACACCCACAATCAGACCTCTCATCCGCACTCAAAGCCTATTCCTTTCGTTCAGCCGACCACTGAGCCATCATTCAAGCCAGAAGCCAGACCGAGCAGAGAGTGAGAAAGACAAAAAAGACAAAAGACAAAGGAGGGAGCGCACACAGAGAGAGAGAGAGAGAGAGAGAGAGAGAGAGAGAGAGAGAGAGAGAGAGAGAGAGAGAGAGAGAGAGAGAGAGAGAGAGAGAGAGAGAGACA